GTTGTTGACCGTCTGGAGGGTCGATGTGTGCTTCGGTCCGAGTGCCTCGTAGCCTTGCAGCGCCCGGCTGTACATGGCCTCTGCCTCTGCCAGCTTGCCTTGATCGGTATACAGATTGCCTAGTTTGTGAAGTGCCCACTCAATTCCTATGATATCCGCCGTTTTATCCGTGATGGAGTTTTCATGTCTTGCAGCATGTTGGAGAAGCCGCTGCTGAAGGATCCACCACCTGTCTGCATCTGTACTAGGAACTTCAGATGCAACACAAGTTAGAGCTAATCTTGTCAGTCCCTTGTCCCGCCTCTCGTTTAATACAGAGATTGTCCATGAGTGCACACAGCTATGTATACCATATCCCGCAGACCCAGACGGCTGACCAAAGGCAGGTTCTGCATAAGCCAGACCGTACTCGCATAGCAGCCGAACCGCCTTATTAAAGCTTAATTCGTCCTCAGTAAGCTTTTGTATCCACTTATCGTCTGCAGAGTGTGCGTGTTGAAGTAGTCCAAACCACACGTCTTGCTTATCAAAATAGGCCCATAGTTTTAGCAAAAGGGCTGATGCTGCGTTCTGATTTCGGATCAAATCAAAAGTGATCTGCCATGTCGTATACAGTGAGCGATCTTCGTATGATTTCAATTTTGGGCTTGTCCTCTGGAGTTTCGACCAAGATGCGTCGTAAAGCCGAAGATAGTCTGCAAAGCCAGTCGTTACGTGTTCTAGATAAGCCCCAGCCGTGGATAGAGCAAGGGGCAGACCATCTAGCTTCGCCACGAGCGCTCTCGCCTCAGGGTCTACCTTATCAGATTAGTTCTATTTACCTAGTATCCAAGTAGACGTACCGTCATCAATGTCTTCTCTTCGAGACATGTTCGATAAGATCTTAAGACCGTCCTCAAGACTGGTCAACTTCTGAACGTGAATACGCCGGCCCAGCGTAACACTAGCTGACCGCGTCGTGATGATTACTGAGCCTTGGTCGCTTTCTGGCAGATACCGACGCACATCCACTGTCGAGCGATCAGAATAGTCAGCGGTTCGGGGATTATCGTAATTATCATAAATCATCAGCCAATATGGGTTGTCTCGGAGATTGAGCCAGGCTTTGACTACACTAATTACCCGATCAAGGTCGCCTTCCAAGTCTACATCAGCAAACAATGCAGTTGCAGGATGATGCGCTAAAATTTGCTGAGCGATGTCGCGAAAGCTAAGTCGGAGAGAATCGTCGTCATTCGCATTTAACCAGAATATTGCCGTGTATTTCTCTTTGTGCTTTCTAATGTACTCGATCGCCAGCTGAGTCTTTCCAATTCCTCCGAGCCCGTGTAGGACTATTGCCGATCGGCTGCTACGGCTATGACTATGACCATGAAGCAACTCATGCATCTTCAAGAGCTCTTTCTGTCTGGCCACAAATTGTGCAGCTTCGGGAATCGACGCGAGGTTAAGGCTAACGGCGTATTGTTCGAAGTCAACACCTGCGCTGGTCAGTTCATTGCTACCATCAGCACATTTAGGCAGAGGCTACCCTTGTTCAATTTGTGGATCTCTTCCTCCAGCCGCCGGAATGCTTGATCCTTTCTCTCCCCGTAGATCAGTGCCATGGATATATCAAAAATCCCGAGTAAGCAGTAGGCTGCATCCTCTTCAACTGTGGTACTGCGGTGCTCTGCCCATGACCTCCGCTCTCGGATGCTAAAACTTGACAACGCACCGCCTCGAAGAGCATTCTTCGCGATGCCAGTGATCTCGTGTATTTCTGTCTCTAGCAATAATTTGCTTCCGAGTCGCTTACCCTCTGAGCTGAAGAAGTCTACCAGCATTGGTGCTATAAGCTCTTGAAGCGTCCAGCCTCGAGTAAACCATCGACTCGTCCTGAACGCATCTATCCATGCTATTTCTCTGTCCACTCCATCGGCTTTAGGGACATCGGAAAGGTAGACGTAGCAGCGCGCGGCGTTCTGATACCAACGGAACATAGAGTTAATCGCCGCGCTAAGTTCGACCGCATTCTCCTTGTTGATGCAGCAGGTGTCTATCCAGAAGTATCGCAGTCCATCAGCCGCGGCCTGCTTTGTGCAAAATTCTATCTTCCCCCATCCAGCCTTGCCGACGGTCTTGCTCATGTCCGCGTTCGCTTCTATGTCCTGGAAGAGGACCTCCTCTTTTCCCCAGGTATGAGAGAGTATTGCGTAAGCAGGAGCATCGCTACTAGTCGTTTCGTGGAAGACGATGCTGCCGTCCGGTTTGTGCTGCAAGAGGCGTAGGAGAGCCATGGCTACGGATCAGACGCGATCGCATAGCACGCGCGACTCGTGTTACTCGTTTGGATCGTTCGGTATGTCGGCGCAAGGCATTCGAACGTCGACGAAATAGACGCAGGCGTTGAAGGACGAAGGGTGATAAGGTGGCACAGGGGTGCTTATACCCGCTGCCCACCAGGCTGCGTCGTGGCGCACGTTGATCGGCGAGGAGCGCCCATGTCACCGAAATATCACTGGGAGCCTTGCGCACCGCACTGAACCCTAAGGCAGACTATCTTGCAAACGATACCGGAAGCAGGTAATAAAAGTGCAAATTGCACAGGCAGTCAGGCTGTGCCACATCGCGGACTTGGCTTGGCCAGCTGTGGTGGCTTATGTCATCAAGTCCCGTGACTTATGCCTGGTGTCACTGTTCAGCTGTCTGTTAACAGTCAGTCGATCAGCAATGACCGCTAAGCACATTCCCAAAAGCAGCTTGTTCGATGATTACGATATTTTAAGTATATGAATCTACACAACTCCGACGTAGTTCCTTCTCAATAACCTCTATCCTAATACATCCGCGCTACTGGTGCCCTCCATGGCTCAGGCGCCCTTGCTGGCTCTATCACGTCGCTCAATCGCGTGGCTTTTTCCTTACGCTTTCGCACCGCTGGGCCTGCCTCTGGATCCGGTCCTGATCCGGTTTTTACGTCCGCACACTTGCGCTTACTACCGCGCTTTCCCTTACCCGCAGTAGCTTTGGCATTCTCCTTCTCAGCACGCTTCTGTCTTGCCTCCTCAAGATCTTCGTAGCTCATTACCTTAGCTTTCCCCAAGACCACAGACCTGGTCGATCGGCGGACCTTCGCTTCTTTATCCAGCTTCGACAAGAACTGTTTCTGGTCTTCAAGGAGAACCTGTTTGGTGAAAGATGCCTAAGCGGCATTTGCCAGTTTCTGTACGTGGCTCCGCAGACGAAGCTTGCCTAATTCATTAGAAAGCGCATGGGCATCTCGTTGGATCAATTTATGTAAAGACGTGAGACCCTCCATTGTCACTGGCGTTATGGGTGTTTTCACCAGCATACTCAGATTGGGCAGCCCACGTCTGGGGTAGATCTACGGGAAAACCTTCTGCCAGTACCTGGCTAGCTCGGTCCATGTTTACGAAAATGGGGGTTGTGATAATTACGATGGCGGTAGGAAGGGACAGGCACGAGCTGGAACCGGACACGTGGGTAACAACGAACGAGCAGCGCTATGTTGCTAAAGATAATTAAGGCTAAACGTCTTTAAGCAAACGCAAGGCACTAGATTAATTAAGTGTAGCGTTAAGTATCTAAGTAATATAAATCACTAAGTAAGTTTTCAAAATGGCCTGCGCTAAGAAGCTATCATGCTTCCCCTTATAGAGAAACTTTTAGGATCTACGTTATAACCCATTGAAGAGCGCAAAACATATTGGAGAGTCTCCAAAATAATATTGGTATGGCCGAAGGCGTCCGAGGGGAATTAATCCATGCTTTATTGCGGTGTAGTAGGGGTGAGAAGACAATGACGTTGTAGACGGGTACAAGTAACGATCGACGGCATGATCGAGGTAACGTATATCAGAGCTGCAAGCTGATAATCTAAGACTGACGTACAAGTTGGACTCAATGTTTGAGCCTGGCTTTGGAAAATTGTGTGGTGGTCAAAATATTGTCGTTGTGATTTTTCAATGTCTGCACCGAGGGTTTTCCGTCACGGAGGGGGGGGGACGTTACCAACGTTCAAATTTAATACATCAAATCATCCCCTCAGCAGACTGAAAGCACTGCCGTCCCTCAATAGAACTTGCACTTTAGAAGTAAGCAGGAGTCGGGCATGTGGCGACTGTAGCAGTTACGATTGCTGTGCTTGTGGGAAGGCCCGTGGAGTTGACGGTGGTAGTCGCGGTGGTGAAGGACTTAGTTGTGGGCACGCCGCTCTTCGCCGCCATGACAGTGGTGTTGCCAGAAGGCGCAGCCGTAACCGTCGTAATCCGGGGAGGCTTTGCGGTGGTGGTGCTGCGGAATGTTATCAGAGAGACTTTTTAATGTGGTGGGAGCACGTAGGCAGTGACGGTCAAAGAAGCCGTAGCTGTCCTCGTGACCATGTTCGTCGTTATGATGTATGTCTCGTCGGGGCCGTAAGTGATACCTCCGTACGTCTTGCCCAAATTCTTGAACCTGAGGACCGGAGCTTGGACCTTCACATCGGCCTCGCTGGGGACAACGCGCTTGCGGTGGAGATTGAATTTGGGAATGGACACAGGCGCGCTGCATCAGGAGACCTCACGTGCGCCCCAAATGTTGTCGTTTTTGCGGACACCGGCGATTTTGCCCTTCTTGTAGCAAGTTCCATTGATGACCCAGGAGACATCAACGCAACCGGCAGTGTTAGAGACTGTGGTGGTCACAGTAATAGTTCTAGCTCCGGCAGGAGCCGTTGTAGCAGGAGCATCAGTGGTTGCTGGAGCGGTGGTAGACGACGAGGTGGTCGTCGAAGCAGAAGCCAATCGTGCGCCCCAGACGTTGCTGTTTTTGTTGGGAGTACCAACGCCGTCCTTAAGGTAACAGTTGCCGTTCCATGATACATCAAAACACTGTGACGTAGCCGCACAGGCCTTGATACATTTGCCAAAGTTCGAGGGGCCGCTGACAACAGCAAGACCGCTATCGTATCGGTCGATGCCGCACTCAATAATGAAAGTTCCGGCGGAAGTACTGTAGACGGGGCTGGACGGGCTGGACGTTGGGTATGCCACCGCTGTCGTGGAAGTCGGAGTGCCCGCATCAGATGTCGAAACCACTGTCGAGGAAGTTGGGATACCCGCATCGGTGGTGGAAACAGCTGAGGTCGAGACCACTGTTGAGGAGCTAGTAGAAGTGGTAGCAACGTTCGATGTGTTCGGGCTCGATACTGGAGACGAGACAAAGGAAAACGAAGCCGGAGGTCCAGGTGGGCCGGGTGGTGTAGGCGCTACTGAGTATGTAGGCGACACAGAGGAGTCGATCGGGCTAGAGCTCTAGGAGGTCCAGGAGGAGTGGCTGTAGGCGATACAGTATTTAAAGAGGATGTGGGAGAACCGGGCGGGTTCGTAGGGCCTGGAGGGGTTCCTGATCCTGGGAAGTAGAAGATACAGGTGGTCCAGAGGGTGTAGGAGGGCCTGGAAGCGTCGGCGTTACGATAGAAGTAGAAGACGACGGAGCAGGAGGCCCAGGCGCCACAGAAGATGTGAGCGATGATGATTCAGGCGCACCAGACGTATTGGGAGAGCCGGGAGGCGTAGGTGCTGTAGTCGATGTAGAAGTTGGTGCCGTGGGAGGTCCAGGTGGTGTGGGCGTTATGGTGGATGTAGATGACGATGCCGATGGACTAGGTGGGTTAGAAGAGCCGGGAGGGGTTACTATTGCGGACGATGTAGAGAATGAAGCAGATGGGCGCTACTAGACAGTCTAACAATTATAGGTACTAAGAAGCACTCTTGCTACCAAGAAATAAGTCCTTCCCAGTAGCCCAAGCGAAGCGCTGCCTCTGCAGAAGCATCTCTATCAGCCCACTACTACACGCAGAGCCTGATGACATCAACTAGCACATATCGGTCGGGACTAGCACCGTGTAACGCACTCTACTCTAGATAACCGATTCGGTCCAATAGTAGTACTATGCGAAACAATTTTCATAACTCAACAATCGTGGACCCAACGAGATAATTCAAGATCAGCATTTTGATCCAATTTTGTTCATAATTGGCCAAGTCCATGTATTTTCCGTCTTGAAGTCGAGGTCGTTCCAATGATGAACGCGCGATAGTTGTGATATCAACGTATGTTCTTGGTGGTTGGAAGAGAAAGTCCATTCCGAGCTTCACGCATACTCTCAAACAAGGAAACGTTAGATCATTCTGGTGCATCATATGACAGAAATCTTTCCTATAACCAAGTTCCCAGATTGACATGCACCGCTTTGACCTGCGTGTACGACTGGAGAGCGTACTGACCCAGTTCCCTACCGATTCCAGACTGTTTGTACCCGCCGAAGGGAATACCGAAATGTGAATCCTGCGAGCTATTGATCTGTCGCTAGTGTTAGTGCATGTCGATCAACAGTTTCAGCAAGGTGCTTACCCAAACCATGCCCGCCTCGATGTTGCCTGCAACTCTGTGTCCCCGCACGATGTCCCTCGTGAACACTGCAGCGCCGAGACCGTACTGAGTATCATTTGCCTTCTCAACAGCTTCCTCTTCAGTCTTAAAAGGTTGGATGACTACGAAAGGTCCAAATATCTCCTCCTGCACAATCTTGATGTCGTTGTTGGTTGTGGTGAAGACTGCAGGCTCGACAAAGTAACCCTTCTCAGGTATGCCGGATTGTTTGCCGCCGTGTACGAGCTCAGCGCCTTCGGACTTCGCTGAGTCAAGGTAACCAAGGATCTTCTCTTTGGCGGCCTTGTTTATCTGAGGTGGGTGGGTGGTGTCCGCATCGAATTGGCTGCCAACGTTGGTGTTCTCCTTCGTGTGCTTCTTGAAAGCGTCGAGAAACTTGTCCCAGATAGTGTCCTGGACGTAAAGACGTGATGTAGCCGTGCATACTTGTCCGGCGCCCCCCATAATCCCCATATGCGACCTGTCTTATGCTCAGTAAGAGGCTCCCACGTGCGCTGTGCAATATATGCAGTGACTTACCATTTTACAGCTTGCTCTAGGTCGGCATCTTCGAAAACAAGAAGCGGGCTTTTGCCACCAGTCTCTAGAGTGATAGCCTTAAGATTGCCTGCAGCAGCCTTCATGATGGCTTTACCGGTGAGAGTGCTGCCGGTGAATGCAATCTTGTCAACTCTTGGATGCTCAGCAAGGCGCGAGCCAGCGCTTCTTCCAAGACCATTCACAACATTAACTACGCCGGGAGGGAATCCAGCCTCCTTGATCAGTGAAGCGAGGTAAAGAGCGCTGAGCGGTGTTTGCTCGGCAGGTTTAAGCACTACGGTGTTGCCGCACGCGAGTGCAGGACCGAGCTTCCAGGCAGCCATCTAAACCCATTAGCATTCTGGACCTTAAGAAGACCAAAATCACGAACCATAACCGGAAAATTCCACGGGATGATTTGTCCGCAAACGCCTGATGCTTGTCAGTGGCTATACTTTCTACATTATGCGTCATAACTCACCTAGAGGCTCATGCTTTGTGTATGCCAGCTTTGTTTTCGATGTTTCGATCGTCTGACCGTATATCTTGTCCGCCCATCCTGCATAGTATCTAAAGACAGAAATGGTCTCGCCAACATCCTCGTCTAGGGCCTGTTGATAAGGTTTTCCGTTATCCCACGCGTCAATAGTAGCAATAATGTGTGCGTTCTTCTCGCAAAGGTCCCCAAGCTTCCACAATAGTGCGCCGCGTTCAGCGGCCGAGATATCACTCCACTCTGGTGACTTGAATGCTTTGCGTGCTGCTGCTACAGCAATGTCGATATCTTCTGCACCGCCGGATGCGACCTTGGCGATCACAGACTCATCAAAAGGATTGATAGTCTCCAGCATTTCGCCAGACTTTGCTGCCACGAACTCGTTGTTGATGAAGAGGCCGGTGGGCTGCGTCCAGGTCGCGCCATTAGGTGCCTTGAGCTCGATCGAGTCTGCCATTGCAGTTATCAAAATGAAAGACAGTATCCAGGTAGTAAAGCAAGGATGAGAGAAGGGTAGAGATGAGATGGGAGCTGCGATGGGCGGATGATGCGCCTATCTACCTCTCAGGCGGTTTACTCGGCTTCCCAATGGTCGGAAGCAACCCCGCACTAGAAGCTGAGCGCGCCCCTCATGATACATCATGGCTTGTGCACGAACGGGTTAAAGTCTCTGTAGAAGAGCGCTCGATAGGGAATTGGAAGGAACGCTGAAGCTGGCCATTAGTCGGCCCGATCGATGATTGTGCCCAAAAACTTGCTTCTTGGGAACTAGCGCGTTGCATCCTTCAGGCCTCTAGGCGGCTCCACTAGACCCACACGCTCGTGGCGACCCTTGTCATCGGTACCTGCACCTGCACGCTAAAGAATGCCTAGCAAACTGCTGCATTCGGCATAGACAGCCTGCACCATGGACTCAAGCCTGGATTCAAGATCCTCAACGCGAGCGTAGCTTCACGATCCAAGCGAGCGCGGGGTCCCCGCATCATGACTCAAGATGCCTATCTACTTGCCCCTTTTGCCGACGCTACCAAGGATTATTTCTGCTACGCCAGGCCGAGCCGCGCTTCCAGTGATAATATTGTCATTCTTTGACTATTCTCACTAACTGACGGACTGGCGATTGCCAGTGTCTCCTGACCAATGCACAGGGTCCCGTGGCGCGGGTATTCACCATAGATATACGCCTTACACGCCTCATCTGGGCTTTTGGCGATTGTGTATTCGAGCTTCATCATCATCATCATCATCGCCATATTGTGCACTTCGAACTACTATCAACATGTTGAATACCGAAAAGAAACACTTCGACAACACGATGGGACACGAACCAAGAAGTGAAGGTGAGGGCGTCGTGCAGCACGTCCAACTTGGATATTCGACAACTCTCAAGAAGAACCGCTCTTTCTGGAGTGTTCTCGGTATGATACTTGCCATTGTCGCAGTACCGTACGGATTCGGTGGGCCAATGATCAGTGCCGTCTACGGCGGTGGCCAGCTCTCTATGTTCGTTGGCATCCTCGTCGTCCTTATCCTTGATGGCGCTGTGGCTGTCTCACTCGCGGAACTTGCGTCGCGGTATCCTACTTCTTCTGGCGTCTACTACTGGTCCTATCGGCTCTGCGGTCAACACAAAACCATGCGAAAAACTCTGTCATTCATCACCGGATGGTTTTGGCTCATTGGCAATTGGACTATTACGCTCTCTGTCAACTTCGGCTTCGCCTCGCTGATTGCGGCGACTGTTACTATCTACGAACCCCAATGGACAGCATCAAGCTGGGAGCTATTACTCATTTTCTACGCGGTCTGCACCCTGACGTTCGTCATATGCGCGTTCGGGGACAGGATGCTGCCGTACGTCGATACCGCGGCGGCACTCTGGAGCGTTGTGACCATCATTGCCGTTCTTATTGGCGTGGTGGTCCAAGCAAAATCAGGGCGACATGCAGCGTCTTACGCTCTCGGACATTACGACACCAGCTTCTCGGGTTGGGGTCCGGGTTTCACTTTCTTCATCGGCCTTCTACCTCCCGCATACGCTTTCTCGGCCATCGGCATGATCACATCCATGACGGAAGAATGTTCAGAGCCTGAGGTTGAGGTGTCGCGCTCGCTCGTCCTTTGCATCCCCCTGGGCGGTATCGCATCGCTCTTTTTTATTCTGCCACTCTGCTTTACGCTTCCGCCGCTTGAAGCCATTCTGGCAGCACCCAACGGTCAAGCCCTGCCGTTCATCCTCGCTACAGTTATGGGATCCAAGGTCGGAACATTAATACTTATGGTCATGATCTTCTTAGTGACCTTATTTTGCTCCGTCAGCATCACTACGGGCGCCTCCCGATGCACATGGGCCTTTTCCCGCGACAACGCACTTCCGTTCGCCAATGTCTGGACACGTACCGTCGCCGACTCGCCCATTTATGCGTTGGCCCTCGTTACGATCATCGAGATGCTACTTGGGCTTATAAACTTGGGGAGCACTGCCGCATTTACAGCTTTTGCGTCTGTAGGTGTGATAGCACTAGCCATTGGATACTTAGTTCCCATCGCAATCAGTCTCTTCTCCGGCCGCAAAGAAGTGGCCCACGCGAGATGGAATGTTGGCCCTGTCGCGGGTACAGTGGCAAACGTTGTTGCGATAACCTGGATTCTCTTTGAGCTTGTTCTTTTCAGCATGCCTACTGCGCTCCCGGTCACCGAGGTTTCGATGAACTATGCTTCAGTCGTTTTGGTTGGCTTGATCTCACTTAGCGGGATATGGTACGCGATATCGGGACGGAAACGTAAGTTACATCGACTGCTGGCTCTTTTACAGTGTGCTGACAGTGGCCAGATTTTACCGGACCGCCAGATGAGATTGACGAAATCTACTGAGTATACGTCGCCAGGGGGAGGGGGAGTCTGCAGTTTAATCGCACTGCTTTATTGGTTTATTTGGTCATAAATATCTAATCATATACAATGAGTGTCTACAATGTGCTCTTCTGATTCCCGTCTTCTCTAAAAACAATCGTAATATCTTAAAGTTGCCATGTTAGTAAGTGGTGCAACTATCCTCTTGACAGCGTACAACCTTGTGGTTCCACAATCGAGGGGTGTCTCCCAAAGAATCACTGTTTGCGGATCACATCAAATCAAGAACGATAATAAAACGGCCGCAAGTCAGTGCATCTGCACATAATCTGCCACGAGCGATCCAATCGCAGTAACACGCAATTTTCAATATCATTTTACGAATAGAAATTTTGACTCATCATATGTGTCTGGAAAACGGCGAACTTTGAGCTCTTCACCGATTGAAGTCTGTCTAAAACGGGAATTCGCCCTCCTCAGTGTCCAAAGCGCCACTTTCCTCCTGTTTCCGATGCATCTCATCCAAGTACGGCAACATAAGCCCCTCCCAATGGCTCCTTCCCTTGTAATGACTGACTGTCCCATCCCACGCTCTGATCGCTTCCGCCAATCTGCCCGGTACATGAGGCTCCTGCGCTATCACGGTGATAGGTTCGAAGTAAGTGCGAATAGTGAACATAAGGGCCCCAGATTTGGGTAAGCGGCGCAGTGACTGCCTCTCAGAGCGGAAGTGGATTTCATCAATGGTGAGGTCTTTGGAGTTCGCGTTGGCCCAGGAAGCGACTTGGTTGACGTTCTTCTCGTCGCCCATGCGGTGGGACCAGTGAAGGCCGTCGTCTAGCTGGATGAAGAACTTCACATCGATGTCAGTTCAGTAAAGGCACATCCGGGGCTCGGGCTGACTCACGTTGTTCCTGATCACGGGCTGATCGGGCGTCATTCGTGCGAAGAAGCGGTTCATGGATTTCATGAGCTTCTCTTGGTAGTGGGGGACGCCAGCTTCAATGTGCAGCGTGTCGAGAGACATTCTGAACTTCTCCTTAAGCCGCCAAAAACCGGGTAGACAGACTGCGCCTGCGTCGAGATGGTATTGACCGTCTGGAATACTATCAGTCGCTGCTTCGTCATGCCGTCTCGAGTGTGTTCATACCATCATTCATCACCATGAGTGCAATGTCATCCTGAATTAGCTTTGCCGACGTTGCCATAGCTTCCTTTGGAGTCGACGCAGGATACGGGAACTCTTCCTTCGTGACCGAGTTCCGAAGTGTCCCATCTTTCAGCGAGAACATCTCCGGAAAGCGATGTGTGAGATACTGTGTCAGTTCCTCGTAGACCTCGAAACAGGCTAGGCGCGTAACCTCGTTGTCGACGTAGCCAACATGGGCGTCGATATCCTTATCAAGCTGCTTAACCTTGATATCATGATACCGCACAAAATTGGAATCCATCTCGATCCACTCATTCCAATCCATTTTCCGGATGCCCATGGTTACGAAGTTCTTGCCATGGCGGAACGGCCGGTAGAGCTTAGGCTCAGTGAGTTCGAGCTTGTAGCTTCTTGCTGGCTCTGGCAGCGGCGTTTTGAACGGCCTTATTTCACCTGTGAAAATAAATTAGATGATGGCTATTGTCCAGTGGCTTCGAAAATACTTCACCTTTCTCTTTCTCTCCCGGGGTACTTGCCCGTGGCACTGGCAGGGCCTTGTCAGTTTTTCTTAAGTTCCTCAGCAACGACACTGAGAGTACCAGCACGCATGCTGCAAGGCCAAAGATCGTAACCGCGGATGATTGTAATAACGAATCCATTATAGATGGTGCTGGGAGCTCTCGGTAACTTCGTAGTTGCACCTGCGAACTAAGTGTATGTAGAAATGGGCACACGGCGGAAATAAACGGTGCATGACAATCATGCGAGAAAAAATGGGGAACCGTTCTCCAACAGAGTGGCTGCCGGTATCGCCTCGCTCTTGTGGATACAATGGGTAGTGTTTTTAGCGTGGCCGTCAAAGTTGCCGGATCCAGAATAGCGTCTAATGTAGGGCGGACCCACATCAATCAGCCGATTGTGGCCGTCAAAACTGCCTGGAAAGGCAACTTCGAAGGCACAGGACCTTTAAGTTCACGGACTGAACGTGTGGAGATGTTCTAAGACTTGAAATGCGGAGATGATGCTAAACCGCCGACGTCGGTGAGGCATTAGTCGCTGCGTGATGTCTCTGTCTCCGTCTCGAAATGGATAATCAGAAGGGCACGAAAACTAGCAGTCCGCGGAGTGAATCCGACCCGTTCTGACGAGCTCCACATGATGGGGTAATGCGATAACTTTAGATGCTCACGAGAGATGGATGAGATTGAGGTACACGTAATAGAAGGTGTCTGCGATGTTCCACACCGGCAGCGACAAGCCTACCCCTCCAGCTTGGCACGACGCTCCTGCCCCTACTCGTGGTACGCGTAGTGTATTTAGACCCGTGGCCCTGGAGACACGAGCAGCATATCCTCGCAAACTTTGCTGCAGTCTGATCTTGTTCTGTCTCCAATTATCTTTCGCCTCCTCCCCACAACCAAAATGTCTATATCTGTCCACAACTACGCAGGCACCGAAGAAAAGTCCGAGGCATTCCACTACTCGCAGGCCGTCAAGATCGGAAATGTCGTGAAGACATCGGGTCAAGGTGGATGGGACGACTCAGGCAAGGTTGTCTCGGATCTGAAGAAGCAAGTCGAGCTTGCGTTCCTTAACGTCGAAAAGGCTCTGCAAGCCGCAGATGGGAGGCTCTCCTGGAAGAACGTATACGCCGTCCGATCATTCCACATCGATCTTGATGAAAGCGCAGACTACGTCATTGAGAACTTTCGCAAGTTCACGCCAGACCGACGGCCCGTGTTCACCTGCGTTGAGATTCGGAAGCTTGGCATTGAAGGCATGCAGGTGGAAATTGAAGTCGAAGCCCTGATCGAGTCATAGGGAGCTTTTGAGTATTGAGCGATATGTATGAAATCAATGGAACTCTCTCATATGACCAGTGCGCATGGTGAGACGCCCTTGAACAAATCGTTCCAGGTACTGGTGTGACTTGAAGTCGTCCATATTTGCTCCAACGTCATGCGGACGCAGGTAACAGATTCGAATCTGAGGTTTTTGTAGATTACATCAAGCTTCTCCAAGACAGTTGCCTTATGGGGTCCGGAGATCGCGTGTGCCCCTGCGACGTAGAGCGGAAAAAGCGCGCAGTTCTGCACCTTGGTCTTCGGGTCCATTCCTTGAATACATTCCAGACACGCATGAACGTGTTGCTGCACTAGGAAGTGATGATTCGGTATGTGAAGAATAGCGCTGTAAAGATAGATCAGACCCGCGTGCTGGAACGATCGATTCAGGGACAGCGAAGACGCTGTAACTGCATCAAAGAGGTCGCATTTCAATCCCAGTGGTTTCTGTTCCTCCGCGGAATGCTCGAGCATGGAAAATGACGGCTGAAGTGCTCTTTCGAAGGCCTGTATCATCTCATTACACGGTTCTGTTCCTTCTTTTACATCTTGACGATAGGACGTCATGTCCGCCATTGTTCCCAAAACTGTGGCTAACGATCTATTTCCCAGTGGGCTTTCCCACCAAACTGAGCCAGGTTCCATTCGGGCCCATATCACGCTAGGGAAGCGCGTTCTCCGGTCCTGCATCATAGCTTCTGTGAGATCAGTTGAAGCGAACTCAGATAGGAGCATTCGAGTCATCTTATCGGACGACATGTAGGCCGCATCGAAGCCACCAAGAGCGTCAAGTATAGCCGACGCCCCTGATGCATGGCAAGGCGTCGATGCGTCATCGTCGGCGCAATTTACGTATCCTTCCAGAAAATAAAGGAGTAGAACAGCAACCAGAAGTGCAGATAGTGAGGCTGTCTCGGTCTGTTCCAAACCCAGCTCCCCTCGTATGACCGTCAAGCAATGTAGTCGTCTATTCTCGAGAGTATGTTGAGCTTGGCCTTTCTCTTGTAGTGCGCGATGCTCCTCTGCGAACACGCACAACGCTTGGAGTACCGGTTGAGATCGTAGAGCCAGAGCCACCGGGGGCGGTATGGGTTCGTGAACCGTTGAGAAAAGTGGCCACAATCGGCCTTTGAAATAATCCACTGCTCTCCTTTCGTTCGTTGCCAACGACATATCGTTGAGGGATCTGTGCACTAATAGGCTTTGCTGTGTCGTCTCGGGCATACTCTTGCTTGGCCGCTTCTTCCATCTGAGTAGTAGTTTGTCGTAACTGCAGTCTTCGGTCCCAGAAGCTATGCAACGGTGGCATGCTGGTTTGGTAAGATCGCATTTTATGCGACGCTGTTTGCAAGGCCAACAAGAACCCTCCACCGTTCTCTTGCGCCGCAAGTTGCTTGTAGGTGAAAATGGGGACGACATGGCCGATAGGGCCTGCGAGCGCAGTGGCAGCGAAACGCTCCGCACTATGAAGCGAGATTAGCAACTCTTGTGTTTGCTTCTTGGTCCAAATCAATATAAGTAAGTGGGGACAAGGTGAGGAATGCATGGGGTTGCAGGAAGGAAACAAGCCTAAATCGGAGACCTTTGGTTCGTCACCGCGCTAGCCTAGCGCGGAATTAGGGTGGCGGTAGCTGAAGATGGCGATAAAATCCGAGCTGCCTCATGGCATTGGTCTTCTGGTGCTTGCCATCATCGCCTCTAGGATTCTCTCGTCGGTTTTCACGAAAGGCTTCCGATTTTCCCGTGCTCTTCATCGGTAAGTATCACCATTTTGGCAGGAGATTGACATCAAATCCTCTACCCTCCACGAAGGTGATTTCTTCAATGGCATACGGTCTATCCATCAGTCACCACATATTCAAGTACGCCATTTGCTGTCAGTCTCGACAGGGCGCATCATATTTGTCCTAGGTCTGTTTTTCCCCTAGATTCTCAGGGCAGCACATGTCAAGGCTTCAAGATCTTTTTCGTCTCTTTATTGGAGCAGTACAGAAGCGTGGAGATAAAGTGCGCCCAAGACAAAGTTTATATAAACAGCCATCGTGCAAAACTTCAGGGCAGCTTGTCGTGATTGGTGGTTGACATCATCAACTCTCCACGAATATGGACTGTACACACTGGCCAACGCCAACAAGTCAGCACATCAAAGCTTACCTACCCTAAGCATTTAGTATGACTCACATGTTCCTTACTTCCACCGCGTACTCCATAGCCCTGCTGCACAGAATTTCTTCACTGGGCTCGGACACAATCCAGATATAAGTCCAGTTCTTCGTCGGGCCCCACCATTCAAGCTTCCGATAAGTGTTTTTAGTCTCCGCAGAAGAACCCTCGTATATGTTGAGGGTTCTCTCTTTGAAACACTCTGGCAAGCAAGCACATCACACAGTCTCAAGTCAACTTTTAGTTCCCAAGAGAAAGTCTCCAAAGTGTAAAGAACAAGACGTCGCCAGCGTGGGCAACGTACAAGATCATTTTCGTCCAGAGCAGTAATTACGTAGTATTCACTGTTATAGAATGTCATCACTCCCCAAGAAAGCATAAGAAGCGTCGTCATACATGAGTTCCAGTTCTCCACCACGCAGATCTCATGATATACACCGAATGCATTTTTGGTCTTTCCCAAGGCACATCCCATGATTTGGTTTGATAAGTGTGTTTTTAGCCCCCCAACACAACAACCTATTGATGGAAAGTTAAGGCTTCTAGTCTCCAGAAGAGCTATGCAGAAGCGTAAAGAGTAAGAGTCGCCCAAGGTACCTTGTGTACGAAATATATAGCATACTTCGTCCGGAGCAGCGGATACGTATTGTGTGGCGATATTGGACAGCATCATTATGCAATACAAGAAAACCTGACCGCCGTCGTGAGGTGGACAATGTTCCGGTGCTGGAAACGTGCGATCCGTCGAACCGCCTCTTGCCGTGTTTATTAACTCCAGAACACACTCTGGATGGCTGGGAACCATTTGATGTAGACATCCCGGCGAAGCGGCACATTTAAAACGGAGCACCTACTTTCAGCTCCCAGAGGGGACGCGCAGAGTTGTGAGGCATCGCGGTCGTCAGAAGCGAGATTATGCAGACCGTACCCTCCAAAATGCCGACTTCCCAGGATAGAGTGATGATGGGCATCAGTTACCCCCAAGAGAGCCTAACAAGCGTCGTCATATTTGGATAATGTTCCTCTCTTCCATCGCAAATCCCATGTAATGGTGGGATCGTCTTTTTCCGTCGCTGCAGAGCAAACCCCGCTATGATGAAGAATCTTCTTTTGTAGAAACCCCGCGAGGGTAGCATATAGCTTGGCGTATCGATCACCTTTAGTCTTCGGATAAGGAGCTGCGCAGACCAGACGTGTAGTGAGCAGGCTTCTCCAAAAGTGGGATTATATACGGACAAAGCGATGGGGAGAACACCGTCACTTCGCAAAGAAGCCTCATATAAGTCCTCTCATGTGCAAATCATTTTCTTCTCTTCCGCCACAAACCTCATACGTCGATCCGAGTTAGGCTTTTGGTTTCTCCACAGGACAACCCATAAAGTGGGTGCAATGGTCGTTTGTAGTCACCCCAACAAGCAAACACACGGAAGTCATTGAATACGCATTTAGGCGCTGTAATTATACACAAGTATGAGGAGATTAGTTACTCTTGAGCGGGTTCATATAGACTTTTTATTGCCTGAAACGATGACCTTGCAGCAAAACGTGATGATAGATACCATCTTCGTTCGACTACTCCACATTGAAGGCGCCGAAACCACCAAATCATATAAAGCGCTACGGACGCAGGACAAAGCAATAGTAAACATCATCGGTGCTTGAAAAGCCCAAGCTGGGAGTACCGCAGCCCATGTAGTTGCGCTGAGCTGAATCGAGGGACACCCCATAGGTGAGGAAGTCGTGTGCTTTTACATGCTAGACAAAGCAGCACATAAGTGGCGAGAGAGGCATATTTTGTTCCCTAACAAAGGCGTGCGAAGTGTAAGGAGTAGAGCTGGTCAAGAGCAGACGTATATCCACAAGCATCGTCAAAAGTGGCAATCACGCAGCGTATAGTGCCGGTGACGATGGACATCGGCACCGCACGGCGAGTCCACAACAGGAGCACTGCATCCCATAGCACGGCGGGATTGGCGTTTTGACCTCTCCCAGAGCACACCACAGCGAGGCAACACATAACAGTGTTCTCGACCATCTTTCGTTCCTCCGAAGAAGGCTATACAGAAGTATGAGTAGTAGTAGTTTATAGACAGACGTTGTCTGAACTGGTGCATCGCAGCGTAGAATGATGGTGCTGCTGTGCACCATCAACGTTCTCAGGAACACCCCATCAATGTCAACTCTACATCACCCAGTACACATCAACTGCTCAAACTTAGAGAGCGGAGAAAGAAGTGACATTGACGTAACCATCTCACATCTCACTATAATACACATACGTCTTCCCCTTCCTCCACCCCACATTATCGCAATCATGATGGTTTTGTTACACTTCTTCATCCCTCCACAATCCAGGTATATCCCCCCTCGTACATCTGTCGCTCCAATAAAAGCTAGTAGGGAGTAGTAAAACAAGATGCTGCTGTTCCAAGCCAAAGAGAAGAGAAGAGGAAGCTAGTCGCCCGAGGTATAGGTACAGTGAAGAACGTACAAGAGCAAAAAATACACGGACACACGTCTAAGAGACCCATACCTTCCCAGTGAGACCGTAATGCAAGACGCCTGCTTTTTTGCCGCGGAAAATGACTGATGTAAATGACGAAAAGAGGTTACAGCGAGGCAAGGCGTTTACTGCTTCTTCTCGCCCTCACCCTCAGGCTTCTGCTCCTGCTGCTGGTTCTGGCTCTCGTTGCGAGCCTTGTGCATCTGATCGAAGAGGGTCAGGGAAGCGTTCTGGAGGTCGTCGGTAAGCTCCTTGATCTGCTCAGCAGTGAGATCGCCCTCGCCAGACTGGCTGTTGGCGATCTTCTCGCGGACATCGTTGATCTTCTCCTTAATCTTCTCAGCCTCGGTCTTGTCGAGACGGTCCTCGAACTCCTTGAGGGCCTTCTCGGTATCGTTGACAACGCTGTCGGCGCGGTTGGCAGCCTCAATGGCGGCCTTGCGCTGCTTGTCCTGGTCGCCGTAGCGCTCAGCATCGCTGACCATGGACTCGATCTCAGAGTCGGAGAGACCGGAGCCGGAGGCGATAGTGATCGACTGGTCCTTGTTGGTGGACTTGTCCTTTGCGTGTACGTGGACGATGGAGTCGGCATCGATGTCAAAGGTAACCTCGATCTGGGGAACACCACGGTGAGCCGGAGGAATACCGACAAGCTGGAAGTTGCCCAACAGCTTGTTGTCACGGACAAGCTCACGCTCACCCTGGAAGACCTTGATCTCAACGGCGCTCTGGAAGTCAGCGGCGGTGGAGAAGACCTGGGACTTCTTGGTGGGGATGGTGGTGTTGCGGTTGATCAGACGGGTGAAGACACCACCGAGGGTCTCGATACCGAGAGAAAGGGGAGTGACATCGAGAAGCAGAATGTCAGTGACCTCACCAGCAAGGACGGCACCCTGGATAGCGGCACCAATGGCGACAGCCTCGTCGGGGTTGACCGACTTGGCGGGGTCGCGGCCAAAGATGCTCTTGACGGACTCGGTGACCTTGGGCATACGGGTCATGCCACCAACAAGGATGACCTCCTGGATGTCCTTGGCCTGGAGGTTGGCATCCTTGAGGGCCTTGCGGACGGGCTCAACGGTCTTGGAGATGAGCGGGTCGACCAACTTCTCGAGCTGGGCGCGGGTCATCTTCTGGTTAATGTGCTTGGGGCCGGAAGCGTCGGCGGTGATGAAGGGCAGGTTGACGTCGGTCTGGGAAGAGGACGAAAGCTCAATCTTGGCCTTCTCAGCGGCCTCACGGATACGCTGGATAGCCATGCGGTCGTTGCTCAGGTCGATGCCTTGCTCCTTCTTGAAGGCGTTGACGAAGTGGCGGACGAGGGTGATATCGAAGTCTTCACCACCGAGATGGGTGTCACCATTGGTGGACTTGACCTCGAAGACACCGTTCTGGATCTCGAGGATGGAGATATCGAAGGTACCACCTCCAAGGTCGTAGACGGCGATGACGCTGTCGGTGGACTTGTCAAGACCGTAGGCTAGGGCAGCAGCGGTAGGCTCGTTAACGACACGGAGAACGTTAAGACCGGCAATCTGACCAGCGTCCTTGGTGGCCTGACGCTGAGAGTCGTTGAAGTAGGCAGGAACGGTAACAACAGCGTTCTTGATGTTCTTGCCCATGTATGCCTCAGCGGTTTCCTTCATCTTTCCGAGAACGAAACCACCAATCTGGGAGGGCGAGTACTTCTGGCCCTGAGCCTCGAGCCAAGCATCACCGTTGGAGTGCTGGACGATCTTGTAGGGTACCTGCTGGATATCGCGCTGAACCTCAGCGTCGGTGAACTTGCGACCGATGAGACGCTTGGTCGCGAAGAGGGTGTTCTCAGGGTTGACGACGGCCTGACGCTTCGCAGCGACACCAACCAGACGCTCGCCATCCTTGGTGAAACCGACGACGGAAGGCGTTGTTCGGGTACCTGGGTGATGGTTAGTCAATGTGGCGGCGATTGGAGATGACGTGGCTACGTACCTTCTGAGTTTTCGATGATGCGCGGGACCTTGCCCTCCATAACGGCCACGGCCGAGTTGGTGGTACCCAAATCAATACCGATAACGGCACCCTTCACCTTCTCATCAGAACCCTCTGCGTATCCTCGCGCAAGGAATGGCGATCTGAAAGCGGAGGGCTGCACACGGCGAAGGCCAGCGGTTGCCCGCGGCATGACCTGGGACGAGGTCAGTCAAAAGTTTTCATGAACACGCGCGCGCATACTTACGCTTCGTGATATTCTTGAAGAGAACATGATGTGATGTGTGGGTGTGTGTTGCGAGAATGGGGCGCAAACAACAAAAGCAGATGGAGAAAGAGAATTAACTGATGGGAAGGAGGATGTTTATATGATGGCAAGATGGAGAGGAGCTTTGACAGGAGAAGTTTTAGTCGTCGAATTAGAAATTTCGAGAAGGGAAAGACGGCTTGGCGTTTTGCGACGGCGCCGAGGTTACGTCTGTGCTCGGCAGGGAGTCGGAAGCCCGCCCAAGTGAGGCTGCCGCCGGGTGCGGATGCGCTGGATGGCGGGCATCATTTCTGGACAGCGTGCGTCGCATTGCACCTAGAATGGGCCGGTGCAATGCGCTGTCCACGCTCTTGGCGCGGTGTCGGGAGCTCACGTGTCGAGCTCGCTGCGTCGTGGGGGAAGCTCTGCGCCGCGATGATGGAACGCGCAGCTCGTTGAGGAGCAGCTGCCTGTGAATTGTGCCACGCAGCAGTCAATCACCCCTACGAACGACCTGCCCCCAACCATCTATAAGAGCCGCCCCTCTCCCGACGTTGTGCGCGCACAGCACCTCTTCACCCCCAGAATTGCTGCAGCTCGCCCCCGGCTGACATCATCGCGGTCTGTCGCACAACCGCCTTGTCCGCCAAGTCCCCATGCTGCCATCCACCCGCGCCTGAAGCATGGCCGTTGATGATTTCTTGTGCGTGTTCTAGCCTCTATCTCTGTTGACACCGTGCTGACCAGACCAGAAGTCGAGACACCGACGCGTTTGTGCTGCCGCCCAGGTCCTTCTATCCGCTTAAGATTCCCATCGCGTACGTGACGTCTCATGCCTCTCGTAAAGGGCAACCTCTGACGCATGCAGGCACTACCAGCTGCGCCACTTCATCAGCTCGCCGGAGCCAGACCTCATCTACTACGCCAGCAATCGCGACGAACCCACCGGCCGCGATGCGGGCTCCGACGTCTACTGCCTGAATGCGACCACCCACACCCAGACCAAGATAGCGGAGCTGGACTGGGAGGCCCGCTGCACCACAGCCGGACATGGCTTCGTCTGCGTGGGCGGCGCCGACGACGGCCACTTTGCTGCCATCAAAGTGACGGGTTTCCCTCCGGCCAACTCTACCCATGTCGATGCCCTGCTTCCGCTCGACTTCGCCAGCCGTCCTACGTTGCCGCGCCCGGCTGGCCTCGGCTCTCTCGAACGACCGGACTACCAGAAGATCGGAGATGACATCGTGAACTCGATCTCGATACACAAGCTCCCAGTGGATGGAGACAAGGAGGAGGATGTCGTGGCAGTCCTCACAAACAACGACAAGACAGTCCGTCTCTACTCGCTTACCCGGAAGCAAGAGGTGACCGTCCTGGACTTTCCATTTGCCATGAACCACGCGACTATATCGCCGGACGGACAATACTTGGTGGCCGTGGGCGACATGCACAATGGTTTCTTCTTTGAGCGCAACAAGAACAAGAAGTCCAATATCGCTAAGAATCTAGAGGGACGCGTGGAATCGACACCGCCCGACTGGACGTTGCTTCACGAGGTGTGTCTGTACGTACCCACAGGGTCGCACATTGAGGGTTACTTCACGACGGCCTGGTCACCATCAGGCCGCCTATGCGCCCTTGGCTCCGAGTGTGGCTACATCTCCGTCTTCGATACAGAGCTTCTCAAGAGATGCGAATATGGGGAGGATGCTCTTGTTAAGCTTGTTAGCTCAACCCGGCCGGACATCACCTACGGCGCAGGTGCTGTGAGGACCATGCTGTTCTCCCCAGCGCCTTGGGACTTCCTCATTTGGAGCGAAGATCAAGCTAGAGTCTGTATAGCTGATCTTCGTTCCAATCTCAAGGTGAAACAAGTCCTCACGCTGGATCCCAAGAACGAAGGCACGGATAGAGTGGAAATTGCCAACTTTGAGGTAGAAGAGCTAAGTGATCTGCGACGAGAAGAAGACTTCATTCGGACATATCGCCACGCACTGAATGCAGATGGAACGAGCGCCGCAGCCAACCTTGCGAACGACTACATCGATTCGGCAGAGCGCAGGAGGCTTCACCGGCGGCTTGGAGTTGTCGAATCGGATGATGATCCGCATGCCGGCCTCACTGCTCATGAAAGACAGGTTCTTGAGACTTTGCAAAATGTGAGGCAACGGCGCGAGGGGTTGGGCTCTGGCATCACGCCTCGAAGCATCAACTACATAACTTCTTCCGCTGAGAGCATGAGGTACGCGTACCAGCATTCAGATCGAGCATTTGCCCATGCTAACACGTTCTAGGGAGCCAGCGGAACCCGCAAGACGTACCACAGCTCAAACGCGGCTTGCTGATACTTTTACGGAATTCGTCTCTGAAATCACTCGTCAATCCACGGAACGCGCAGTGCCCCAGCGTCGCGCGTCTCTCGTTCTGCGCGACCTCACAGCGGATCCTCATGAGGCTACTACAGGAACGTCTGATGCGCCGCCACACCGAGGAAACATCACAGGTAGTGCTACAACAAGGTCGCCGAACCCCATCACGGCGCAGATTCGTCGCGACAACAACGAGATGATTGCGTCAACCGACGAAGCATGGCGGACCATTGAAGAAGCGCTAGCACGCAACGCGCGGGCTGCAGACGGCGGGCGCTCCTCTGCCGCACCAGAATTACGCAATGAACTTCGACGTTTGCGACAGCTCACGCAGATGCGAGAGCGTCTCCGCGTTGCCCGCGAAGCGCAAGGGCCCCTGGAGACGTACAGTCTCGGAGGGGGCTACCGTCGTGCAAGCCGCAACATGTATGACCCCGCTCTGGGACTACGGACTGCAGGCCTCGCAATGAGCCCCGACGGTCGCACGCTGTACTGCGGCACGGAGGAGGGCATCTTCGAATTCCGTATGAACCTGCACCAGCGGAAGGGTTTCCCAGCCATCAAACCGCGATGAACATATTGCCATTCTAATCGTCACTGGCGTCCTCGACTTTTCCCCTAGCGCTTCTCTGTATTGTATTTTTCTCGGTTGGCTGGTTGGGGCTATGGTCAATTTACGGACATGACGGCAGTTGCGCGTTGGGTTCTCGGGCATGGCTTGCGAGCATCGGCGTTGGACCCGGTCGGCGATACTCTTCCTGTATGCTTTTTTTGGTAATGGTGTTGGATCCAGGTGTTGGAATGGGGTGCAGTATGAATACCCGCTACCTTCGCATCTCTAAGTATACAAAAGCACCTTTTTACCCCATTTCGACAGCGCGTGCGGAGGTGGGTGGTGCGGATAGTGATGGGTATCGTGCTTGATCCGGGGTAAGGTCGAGCGGGCCGATGGTCGGGCAGTATGACAACCGAGCCAGTGGCGGCCTTTGTCGATGGCGCAATAGCAGCGGTGACTCCCCACGTCAGACCAAAAGTACCTTGCAGCATCGCGCATCGCTTTCGCACTTCACTCTATCCTCCTGTCTACCTCTTCAACCCTCAGAGCTTGCTGTGGTTCTCAATCACACCTAGCAATCGACCACTTCAACAGTGTAATACCGTTGAGATTTAGACGCATATCTCAACCCCACATTTCCCACAGTCTTGGATAACGAGTCGCAAGGCACATTACCGCCGCCATGTCTGGAGGCTCTTTCCCTGGGAGCTCGAAGGACAAAGTCAATGGCGCGGGCAAGGCCTTGACCACACACGACCTCGACGGCCACGATCTGCCACCGTCGCCCGCACCAAGCACACCACGCAATGGCGGCAGGAAGTATGCTCTGGCAACGGAGCTGGTCTACACGGAGAGCAACGACCAGTACAACGCCGCGTCCGTGCCCATATACCAGGTATGCTTGTCCTCGATGTGGATGAACACTTGAGTGCTAATATGTGCAGTCTGCAACCTTCAAGCAGACATCCGCGACGGGTGGCGGAATGGAGTACGACTACACACGCTCTGGGAATCCCACACGGACGCATCTCGAGCGACACCTCGCCAAGATTATGAATGCGGAACGCGCGCTTGTCGTCTCGTCGGGCATGGGAGCTCTCGATGTAATCACGCGACTACTGCGACCGGGCGACGAAGTCGTTACCGGAGACGATCTGTACGGCGGAACAAACAGACTGCTGAAGTACCTCTCCACACACGGAGGCATCGTCGTCCACCACGTTGATACCACCGACCCTGAGTCCCTCCGAGCCGTCGTTAACAACAAGACCGCCATGGTTCTCCTAGAAACCCCCACCAACCCGCTCATCAAAATCGTCGACATCCCCTCCATCGCCTCCATCACGCACGCTGCGAATCCGGCCGCCGTCGTCGCAGTCGACAACACCATGCTCTCCCCCATGCTACAGAACCCACTTGACCTCGGTGCGGACGTCGTCTACGAGTCCGGCACAAAGTATCTCTCAGGCCATCACGATCTCATGGCCGGCGTCATCGCAATCAACGACAACGCGTTGGGAGAGAAGCTGTACTTCACAATCAACGCGTCGGGATGTGGTCTCTCGCCGTTCGACTCGTGGCTGCTCCTCCGCGGCATCAAGACGCTCGGCGTCCGCATGGAAAAGCAGCAGGCCAACGCCATGCGCATCGCAACCTTCCTCGAGTCCCACGGCTTCAAGGTACGCTACCCCGGCCTAAAGTCCCACCCGCAGTACGACCTCCACTGGAGCATGGCGCGGGGCGCTGGCGCGGTCCTGTCTTTCGAGACGGGCGATGTCAACGTATCGGAGCGCATCGTCGAGAGCGCGCGCCTCTGGGCCATCAGCGTGAGCTTCGGCTGCGTCAACAGCCTGATCAGCATGCCGTGTCGCATGAGCCACGCAAGCATCGATGCAAAGACACGCGCGGAGCGGGCGCTGCCCGAGGATATTATCCGCTTGTGCGTAGGGATTGAGGATCCGGAGGATTTGATCGATGATCTTAGCCGTGCTGTAAGTCACTTTCCTCTCCTGTATTATGTTGTGCACTGACTGATGGTGTGTAGCTCGTCCAAGCAGGCGCCGTCAACCTCACGCCCGAGGGCTTCCAGGCGCTCAAGATCAGCGACGCTGCTGAGTCGGAGGCGTCCTCTTCTTCTTCCTAAACCTACCCCTCTCGCCATCTTTGTCACCCCAGGCACCACCCAGTCACCTCTGCCATGCCACACCCTCATGGTAACGTGATACAACCCGCACCTGCCTTCCTGCACAGGCTTCGCTTCGTCCACTCTCCTTAACACTAGTCACCTCTGTCAGGCCCTCCCTGTTAACGTGATATACACACAGCACCTGGGACCTTGTGGAAAGGACCCGCGTATTTTCTGTAGCTAGATTGAGCTTGGAGTATGGGATTTCGAGCTCGAATCAATCAAATGGCAATTTTTTATTTACATTTGGGCCTTGACCTGCGAGAAGCGAATGTCTACTTACGAGGTCCCCCATCACTATGACTTGGGATCCCCACGCAGTTTACGTGTCCAAATACACCCCCGTTGCTTAGCCTCGCTGTCGGAGTGTATGTTTGCAGGAGCGCATGAGCTTTTGAAGGTGTCGTTGTGCGAATACGACTTTTTCGTGCGGAATGGGTTTGACTTGGTACCCGGGAAAAAACGACCCACAAGAGCTCCTGTGCACGAGCGCAACGGTGCGATGGACCCGCGAGCAGGACGAGGGCCCACCGCACACTGCGACGTCGCTGGGAATCGAGGGATTCGCGGGGATCACAGGGAGGAAGTGGCACCGTGGCTGCCCGATGGTGGTGGCGCATCGACGCAGGGCAGGCCGGCTCTGGCCATGCACGACGAGACGAAACAAGACATACTTGCAACATCGAGTGTTGCGATGGCAGCGTAGCATTGTCCGTCGCTCACAGGTATGCCGTGGTAAGGGATGCGTAATTCAGAGTTCGTCAGGTACTCTGCGAGGAAGGGACAGCAGAAGACATCCTGCATGTCTTCACGTCACGCATACTGTGGTGGTCCGCTCTGACTCGTTCAATTCATCACATCTATCAGTCTACCCTCCATCCCATCCCCATGACACCTCTCACTCCGGCTTCAACAGCCCGAAGGATCCAAAGGAAATGATCGCGCACGTGTAATGGTCAAGGAAGACTAGTTAATACATGCGATACCATGCAAGTGCTAAGAGCTGTGATCGTGCCATGTCGTGACTTCATTCCATGCCTATGTCCATGCCATGCCTCACAGCCGCCGTGAAGTTCTAGTTTCAGGTTCAGAAGGGAAATCGTTGGAGCTGCCGTTGAAGTTCATCATTTTCGGATAAGAATATTCAGTTGGTGACCGTCTAGATTGGCGTTCTGAAGGCGACGGTGGTTTCAAGGCCTCAGGATGTTCTGAAGTTGACACTAGCCAAAGAGCATTCCGGCTGCCACGTCCATGTTGCCGTTGGCCGCGGTTAACGCGTTGATAGCAACTTCACGGGGGACAGAGGTGATGCTCATAAGCTGCTGGATGTCCTCCTCCGGGAACCGTGCAGATGATGATGACGACGACGCGGGTGCAGGCTGAGATTGTGCTGGTGCGGCAGGCTGTGACGAGGGCTGGTTCGGAGCTTCACCAACCGCTACTGACGACTCTCCAGCGCCAGCCTGCTTCACGGCACCAGTCTTGGTCCCGATCTCGGTATTGCCAGGGCCGGGCACAGTGGGCTCATCCGCGCCGAAGCCTTTGGGAATTTCGTGTTCAGGTAGAAAAGGCACTTCAGTATCCGCAAAGCAGAGCGCGTTCTTCTCCAGATCGATTTTGGCTCGGTATTTTTTGAGCATGTCCAAGCCGAAAAGAAGGTCCACGTCCTTGCCCTCCATGACGGTGAAGGCGCACGGCATGTCGACTCCGCCAATCTTGATAACGGCGTGGTGCACGCGACCAAGAATGGCAGCCGTGCCGACTCCACGGGCGATACCAGCATAGCGCGTGTCCAGAAGGCGCATGATGCCACACCTCTCGGCACAACTTGGGGACATGATGGTGGCTTGGGCGCCAGAGTCGACAAAAGCCTTCACTGGGACGCCGTTCACCTCCGTCTTGATATATAGCATGTGGACCGAGGCAAAGACTGTTCTGTTAGCATGCCACTGAGCAAGCGATTGGGAGCTCATGCTCACCTTCCGGATTGAGATCGTAGGCAGTGTGCAGGTTCTCGATGACGCGGTCCTGGCGGATGATCTCCTCAATCTTCCGCTGGGCGTCGATGTTGAAGGGATCTTCGTTGAGTAGCTGGATCTGGCGCTCCTGCTCGCGGCGGGCTTGCTCCTGGTCACGCTGCATCTGGTTGTAGGCGGATCTCCACTGAACGGGGTCGTTGACGAGAGCAGCCAGCTCGGGCTTTTGCCTGGCGAGCTGTTCCAAAGTGGGCGGGCTGCGCAAGAGCTGCTGTCGCACATCTTCTGGATCCGGGGGTGGCACTCCGGCGGGTTGCTGTTGGCGCGTCTGACGAGGGCGAGATTGTGGCTGCACATTTCCATGCTGCCGGATGTGCACAGCCATCATCTCGTTATCCCTGACGCCGGCCTGCTCCAATGTCTGACTGTCGTCGCTCAGCGGCATGCCGTTGTAGAACAGGATCTGGGCGGCGGCGGGGCAGCTGGGGTTCTCGGCCTCGATGAAGGCCTTGAGGTCCCTCAGGGTCAGGTCGGCGGGCAGATCGAGGGTGATGAGCGGCTGGTCCGTCTCGCTGGGCGAGGTGATGGAAATTGTTACGCGTGGCCTATTTGAGGAGCGGTTAGCCATCGGGGCTGGCACGTTGCACACGACGGTTTCGGCGCGACTTACATGGTCGCGGTCAGCTGGCGCGGGCTCCCTCTGCGCTATGCAGGTCGATCTGAAAGGAGGCAAGAGGAGGTCGCACCGTACGCGGAGGGCGACGAGCGCGGGGGGATCTGGGTGGTTGACGGCGGGGCTCCCACTCGGCGGATGCACACACGGGTTTCAGCACGTTGGCTGGTGGCTTATAAGACAGCGGGCTTGTCCCGGGCGGGTTGCCTCCACGCACGAGAGCTGCTGCGAGGTGGAAGGCGGTGGAAGGCGGTCGGTCGGCCGTTTGCGCTTGTTAATAATCAGCGAGGAGCGCGGCGACGAAGTGAAGGCATCATGGGCGGTTACGCGGTGGCCGCGAGCGCGCTACGTCAGCGTATTATAGCAGCGCACCGGGGCTCAATGGCGAGGCCTGGGGCACCGGGGAGGCCGTGGTTGGGCTGCTGTGCGGAGCGCGGTAGGCAGCACGCAGTGCGTACGTCGGACACTGCCTGGAGTCATGAAACGGCGTGTCTGCAGCCCGTCGCAGGGGCTGGGGCCGCCGCGGGGCAGCTGCAATCTAGTGCGGCGGGAGGCCATGACTGCAGGCCACAGCAACAAGGCTGGCACGCTGGATGGACGACGGCCAAAGAGGGCTGATCCTGGCACCAGCAGCTGCGCGGGATTTCGAGCCTATATACACCACCACCTGCGAGCGGCGAGCCCTCTGAGAAGTCGTCCAGCGACCGGGTTGGCGCCTGCCGCCGGGGTCTGTTTGCTCGCACGACATGGGGAGCTGCAGCCCCGGTACCTGCCTGCCTGCCTCTTGCACCGTGGACAGCAAAGAACCACCGTCCCGTTGCCGCTGCCGGCCTCCACCGAGACCAAGTGCATGTCACCTCGACGAACTTGCAGCACGCAGCCTTGTCCGCCCCTCTTGGTGCACTCCGCCGGCAAGCCGCCTCGCCTGCCAAGTAGCCATGTTCGTATATGCTCGTGGTACAGGCAGGGAAGGCTAACGCGCATGCGATCTACAACGGCGGCAAGGGTCTGGCCAAATCCCCCGGAGCACATCAAACGATCACGGGTCACCTCCCACACATCCCCTCATCGTTAGAAAGCCAACCCCAGCGCCCAGTCAGCATGCCGCGGGATCTGCTAGCCGATAAGAAGACGCTCGAGGGGATGCCGCCGCTGTCAAAGGAACCTGCCGCTGACAGCCCCGAAGATCCGCACCCAATGCCGTCCCTCTACCAAGTGCCCACCAGCTTCGTTGAGGATCGATTCAAGCGCATGACTGACCTGCATCCATTTGCTTCCTTGCTGAACCAGGACGACCTGGACGACTGCGACTGGCTCGAGCACGCTGCCTTCGACGAGAGTGAGGCGGCGTCGCGGGAAAAGGTGGGTGGTCTGCTTCCATGCCTATTTCTCCGCTGCACCCTGGTCCATCTCGCTGTCCCTCCATGCCTTGATGCGTGCTTGTGCGACGACGTCTCCTTCGGGTATCTTCAGGCATCAATCGGCTGCATTCTTCTCAAAGCGTACAGCATACCGCTCATTCATCATGCGCAACTGTATCCCGCTTGACCGTTCAGCCACCCGATGCACGAAAACAGCACCACAGCAGCCCAACCTCCGCCCCGTTTCTGCCAAGACTGCATGTTGTTAGAGGGCCTGTCTTTGCACCTCATAGTACATCATCTACTTCACCCTGGCTGATATATCTGCAGATAGCATACCGCCTGACAGTCTGCGGCGAACTATGCAGCGGCCTCTTCTCTTCTGCCTACCCCACTGTCTCGGGTCCACTCTCCAAAATAATCAAAGCCCGTAAAGAATTCCCTTCAGTGGACTCTGCAGACTCTGACCGCAAGAGAATACTCATGGGTCACATCATAGCGACCAAGTTCAAAGGCAGCAACGTCGTTACCGACGACGCCATGGCCTACCCATCGGATTGGAAGACGAATTATCAGCTTACCCCATCAACCGGCCACAACGAAGATGGCGACACGATATGTTTGCACTCGCTCTGTGTGCACCCGGACCTCAACGGCAAAGGCCTCGGCGGAGTCTTGTTGAGGTCGTGGACGCAGCGGATGAAGGATGCAGGATTAGGAAAACGGGTCGCGCTGATATGCAGAGAGCGATTCGTGAAGTTCTACGAGAGTGCAGGGTTCGAAAAAGTTGGGGCCAGCGCGTGCCAGTATGGCGGAGGTGGCTGGATCGACATGGTTATGGAGTTCGACGCTGTGAACTACGACGATGATGTCTACCCTTGAGCTTGTCTCAACGAATTGGCGTTCTCTGGATGGCCGAGATTTGGGATGAAAAATCAGAATGATGTATGGGCATGAGCAACAAGAGCTTACGATGAATGATGAATGGCAGGTTGCATTCTCTCGATTCTTCGTGATTAGACTGCCATTGCGCCTTCACTTTCAGCTCCTGTTGTCTAGAATTGGGAGGAAGCGACGCGATGCTTTGCAGGCTATTTTTGTCCAATCCACTACATCCACGCCTGCTGCACGCTGTACCTCCATCCTCCATCTTCCACTTCAATCCCGCTCGAGACAACCGCACCTTTCTGTCAACGCGACCGGGAGCTTCTTTCGCCAAAACCACGATCAATTGAAATCGTCACAGTACACGTCAACAGCCCCGTCACCAGCCATCATTGTCTCCGGTCCAGCTCGCAACTCGCATGTTCCCCGATGCACACCCAAGAAGTACTTTTCGCAACAAACACACGCCAAGTAAAGTCCCTCAAGTGTCTGCACAGCAACTGAGTTCCTAAAAGGGTAATCTTTGCGGGCTGTCTGTTGTAAAGCGTTTACGCCGCGCTAGCGCGTATGGGAATGGATGCAGCGCGCGTAATGACGTTAGTTGCTGTTTACATATCAACAGGGCTACTTTTGCACATCTGGCGACCCAGAGCCACTCTTCGGGCAGTAGGACACCCCTGGAACGATCAAAGAGAACCACATTAACCCCACGTGCGCATCTCTTTCCCTGGCGGTATTCGCGTACGGGCGAGGCTCGTGGGAACTGCACGGAAGCCGTCGGCGGTCGCATGCTAGGCCCGAAATCGCATAGTCACCCGGGATGATTTTCGTCCGCCTAGAGCCGAGCACGGAGCCTCCTCTCCTCTGCGACCGCTACGAGCGTGCCCTCCGCTCCGCTCTCTTCGCATTCGGCATATTCGGTGATGCCAGCTTTAGATCCGATCTCATCCTGTGCGAAATGCCAATACTGTTCGACCTCACTGGATGGGACCGCATTGGACCATCTATAGGGTATCTGCTGGCGGCATTCTCTTGTAGATCACGCTGTCATCACCGACCAGATCATCCATAAGAAAACGTTCTGAGGTCAAACGGAGGACGGTACAATTCTCTGGCCAGCTCTCCGGTCGAGGAAAATGCCGATGTGTACAGTACCCACAAAACAACCAGGTCGTGTCCGCGTCACTCCGGGTGATAGCTGAGAGGAAACTCGAGGCTTAGCTCGCGGCTGCTTACATTGTCTTCCTTCTCGGGTTAGACTTGCGACCAGAAAGTTCAAAACATTGGAGGCTGAGGCACTGTGCACTGACGCAATGGCTCATCGCTCGCACAATACGCAAATGGACGAATCGCATGGCAGCAAAGCTCACGCCGCTTATCTGCCTTCTGTCCATGTCAGGCAATGTTTGAGTTACAGGCACGGGCGGTGTTGGAGAACTTACAGCACTTGGCATCCAAGACGCAAAAGGCTATTCATGCGCTGGGTCGATGCGCATCCCAGACAGATGGTCAAATCACATCACTGAAAAATCGCGGAACCACGAATCGCGTCCAGTTTTGGCCCTAGGCGAACCGCATCGCTACCAGGTTTGCCCTTATTCGAATCTTATGTTCGTAGAGCAGTGATCGGGTTTTAGCAGCGGGCAGTGCTGGGAGAGTGGACGCGAATCACTGAATCCTGCGGAGTGGTCTATGACATGTAATGTCAAATCCATCCGAGGGGGTATTCATATAATAAGGCACCCACGTCGACGATGAGATAACAGTAAGCTGCACACGCCAACTCCACCACCCCAACTCTTACTGCCTCATTCGGCTACCACGTCTGCCCATAGCCAACATCTAATATTCATCCTTCTTTCTCATCGCCCTGAGTCACCTATATCTTCTCATCGCCCTGAGTCACCTATATCTTCTCATCGCCCCCTAGCCTTGCGAAGGCGAATTTGACAGTCTCCTCCTGGTTCCACTTTTCTTTCCCAATATTCGGCCAAGATGACCGGTCCCAAAGTCCAAGTCCCACAGTTATGTGAGAGCGTTGGACCACAATGTCCTGTTGAGGGCACCGTATATGGTTATTACCCATCGTTAGGTTGGAACGCCTTCTTCGCCGCCGCCTTCGGTCTTGCCTTCATCCTCCAGGTCGGTCTCGGTATCCGCTACAAGACATGGACATACATGATAGGAGTCGGTCTGGGCTGTCTCGGCGAGCTCATCGGATACATTGGACGGATCCAATTGCACAACAATCCCTATGACAATAACGGCTTCACAATTCAAATCGTCATGCTCATCTTCAGCCCTGCCTTCCTAGCAGCGGGTATATACCTCACGCTCAAGCACATCGTCATCAGCTTCGGCGAGCAGTGGAGTCGCCTCCGGCCAAACTGGTACACGTACATCTTCATTGCGTGCGATATCACCTCTCTTGTCTTGCAGAGCGCTGGTGGCGCCCTCGCTGCCACCGCCGACGACGACAACCAGAAAGCGCTCGACGCAGGCACAGATATCATGATTGGCGGCATCATCTTCCAGGTCGTCGGTACGTTCCCCTCCTGCAAACCCTCCACCCACTCACTAACAACACCCAGTCCTCGCCATCTTCGCCGCCATCGTGCTCGAATACTCCTTCCGCACCCACCGTCGCCGCGACCAACTCTCCCCCGAGGCCATCGCCCTTTGGTCCTCCACCAAGTTCCGCCTCTTCGCTGGTGCTATCGTCGTCGCGTACTTTGGCATCCTCATTCGATGCATCTATCGTATCCCTGAGCTGCTTGGCGGCTGGGCAAACGACATCATGCGCAATGAGCCCGAGTTCATTGTCCTGGAGGGTGTCATGATCCTCGTTACTGTTGTTGCGCAGACGGCGTTCCATCCGGGGTGGTTCTTCCCTGCGCTCGGCGGCACGCTGTTCAGCAAGAAGAAGGGAGCCAAGAGTGTAAGTGAGAGTGAGACGGAGATGAGTGCTATGGCGTAGGTGGAGTGCATCTGGGGCCGTGCAGGATGAAGCACCCTTGGGATTGGGAATCTGGGACATGGCCATGTTTCGCTTTCCTCACGGAGTTTGGGATGGAACGGTAAAGGATAGAGTCGGCGTCGAGCGTCAGAGCGATCTTAACGACACACTACACTACATACACTACTCTACATACACTACTGTAATTTCTTTTTTGGCGCCCGTTTCTTCACTTGGGTAACTTAGATTTCATATACCAAGCGATACGAGCTTCGACATCTGGAGACGAGGGCTGATGCGTGCTGCCCCCAAAAAGGGCCTACCTAATCTTGTACAAACACGGCTTCAGCACCTTTGCGTTCTCCCCGTCGTCCGGATCGTCGTCTTCGACCGCCGTAAACTTCTTCCCCTTCATCCCCATCTTCAGCCCGTTCACGCTCGCCGTCACGTTCTTACCCTTGGTCGGCTGCGCCGCTTTGACGAACTGCATCTTGACGAACATCTTGTTGGTCAGGTCGATCGCGGCGGCCGGCTTCTCCTGCGGCGCGTCGAGCACGAAGCCGTGCGCGCGCAGCACCGCGACGAAGGTCGAGACGTCCGTCCCTTCCTTTGCGGCTGCGCCGTCGATGCGGGTTGCGAGCTCGGCTTCGTCGGCCGAGTCGAGGTCGCTTCCATCCTCGCGATCTTGCTTCTTAGGTTTGGGCCCGCCCTTTTTCAGGCTGCCGATGGAGTTGATGGGCGGTTTGCCCTTGCCGCTGCCGCCCTTCGCCTTCTCGACGCGGCCAAAGCGCGATTTTATCTCGGCGACCCAGAGCTCGCCGCGCCAGCGCAAGATGCGGTACGCTTCGTCGATGAAGTCGAGCCAGTTTGTGCCCATGAGCGCGAGGCAGAAGACGGCGACGTCAGCGGAGGCGTCGGCGCAGGGCAACGCGGAGATGTCTGCTATTTTCACGAGCGGGCCGGAGGGACCAGACGGCTTGGAGAGGTCGTACGAGTCGATGTGCATGTTGAGGGCTTTGATGTGGGGCTGCAGGCGGTAGGAGAGCGAGGCCGTACCGCAGCCTAGATCTGCGACTGTGCAGTGGCCTTTTAGGTTCCTGGGGAGCGGTTTGAGAGCGCCTGTTGTGACGGGTTCTTCGACTTCTGCCTTCGTGGGATCGCGGTATCGACCACCCAGTTGTTCTTTCCGCTTCTTGTCCTTGGATGCACTCTGGTCTCGCAACTTTCCGCGCGTGAGGATCGCGTCTACGTAGCCGTCTACCGGGTTCTCGGGCCAGCCTTCAGTCTGCATTGCGAAACCGCGGTGGTAGTCCTCGAACATGGAAGGATCTTCCTTGAATAGCGCAAGAGAGTCTGCAGAAGGTTTCGTATACAGCGTCTCGTTGAGATGGCGGAAGCGGGCGCCAGCGAGTTTCTGGCGCATGGACTTCTGCAGCGGCGTCAGGCCTTTGGGCTCGGGCGGGAGGAGAGATTCGAGAACAGCAGCAGGCGGCAAAACTGCATCTGCGGCGGGCTGCTCGCTCTTGTGCTCTTTCTTAGCCTTCTTCTTGTCGCGCTTCGCTTCGCCGTCTTTCGCTGGCTTCGGCTTCTCTTCCACCGCCTCCACCTTCGCCTCAGCACCAGCTTGCGCACCGTCCGTGTCCTCAACAGCCTTTTTCCCACCAGCAGGCCCCCTCCCCTCACCCCGCGTGCCCCTCTTCCTCTTCTTCCCTCTCTTCTCCTGCTCGCCCTCACCCGCAGGCGCGGCCTCCTTCTGCACCACCTCCTTCACCTCCACCTTCTTCACGGGCTTCTCCACCCTCCCCTCAATAACCTTATTCCACATCTCTCCGACATTGCCCTCATTGACCTGCTCCTCTTGCTTCTGCTTTTGTTTCTTCGCCTTCTTGCCCTTCTTCTCTTCTTTCGCGGGCTTCGGTTTCTCGACCTGCGTGGCGAGCTTCGCGGAGACGTTCCAGCCGGGTACAGAAAACATTGTGGCGGGCCCGGGCGCTGGGAGAGGCGGTAATGGGTGAGGGATGGGCGCGTTGCTCGTTGGTTTCGGTGAGGGTGCTGGAAATTTTAGCGGGTCTCGGAGGGCAAGGTGCCGAGGCTCCGGACGTGGAGTGGGGCGCGTGGGATAGGTTGGTATGCCTTCTCCGCTTCTACACATCACAAGGGCATACTGCTATCGATGGATGGCAGATTGGATGGTCTGGGCCACGGAATCGCCGTGTTGCTTGTATTTGTGGCTTGCATCTCATCTCTGTACCTGGAGCCCTTCTCTGGTGGGTCCACGACACAATGTGTCCTTGCTGTCTACGGGCGAGCAGGTGCTCTTTAAACACACCAGCCTTCATGGGATACTCCGCCACTTCAAAAGCATCGACCACTCTTACACCACACTTGATTATGTCTACCAATTTGTTGATCTCCTTTTTAACTCCATATCCCCACGCGACTAGCCCTTTCATCCTAGCACCTGCCTAATTTATCCTTACTAAGCTACTAATAGTGGCGGAGGCATTGGCAGCAAGGCACCAGCCACAGGCTTCATTCAAGGCCGTACACACGAGGATTTGACGTTAAAATGCAGGCACACTTCCTCTTTACAATGGGTGAGACTCCTTTTGCGCTCCCCGCACAGTACAGGGTATCAATCATTGGAAGAACATGGGGTAGAGCATCCCTCTCAGTTTCCTCTATTGGCTCATGGCTAACCGCCTCAGTTACACCCACTACTACACCGTCCACAGCTGGGATACGCTCGAATGGCAGCAAGCATGGCGCCAGCTACTGGATGAAACGCGACTCATCTTGGAAGCATCCGATATTCTGCTCTCAGGACCAACTGAAGACGACGCCCCCATCACGGCACCCGTCGTTGATGAGAAAGAAGGAATCTTCGTCAATGGTGTTGCCGACGATTCTCACGAGCCGTTCATACTATCTGCGGAAGGCGGATGCTTTGTCAAGACGCTTAGGAAACCGTACGATCTTGTGGTGGCGTGTGTGTTGTTGAGAGCGTTTATGTTGGCGCCCGATTGCGTGGAGGTGAAGTAAGCTTGTTCCTTTTGTTTAGAAGTACAGAGCTGAAGTATGTTTCGCAGTTCAGATGGCCGCTGGACTGACAAGGAGTGGATCGATGCGATCGCTTTGTACAAACAGCTGTGGCCGAACGAACAGATTATGTGTCCCTGGGGTGAAGAATTCGAAGAGCGCCGTCCAGGTATCGTATTATCGGGAAGGCAAACCGACTCATCTGCGACAGCGGACCCACTCAGCCGGTCTATAAAAGGGCTCGAGCTTGCGTCACCGCCGCTGTTGCCAACGACTAAAGCCACGCGATCCACTCTGAAAGACCTTGACCTGGATCCCATCAGCAACTGGCTCGCTACTTGCGACCACGACTCCGAGCACGCAGCCTGCAGAGCTAAGCCTATCCTATGGCAGCAGCTGCCGGGTGTATCACTCAAGATGATCGATGTTGAGCGAAAATGCATCGTGGAGGCACCGGAGCCTTGCTCCTTTGTCGCATTGACCTACGTCTGGGGCAATACAAATCAACCCAAGCTCACAGCACAAACTGCGCCTGTGCTGATGCAAGAAGGGGGACTCGACACGATTTGGCCTGACATACCCACGACAATACGCGACGCTATCTTGCTGTGTCGGAATCTGGGGGAAAGATATTTGTGGGTCGACGCGCTCTGCATCAAGCAGGACTCTATACGCGAGATGAAGATTCAGATTCTGCGGATGAGGCAGATTTACGCGGCAGCAAAGTGTACTATTGCTGCGGTGTCTGCAGAATCGGCTGACGTCGGTTTACTAGGTACGACTGTAATCGATCCTCCGAGTAGTGGCATCAGTACTTGCGAAACAGTCGAAGACCTAGAAGACCTTCTAGAATCCGCCCCCTGGAGCTCCCGCGCCTGGTGCTACCAAGAAAAGGTCCTCTCCCACCGCATCCTCATGTTCACCTCCGGAGGTGTATACATGCACTGTCAACGCACCATCTTGACTGCCACCGGCACCCCTCTGAACCGCCGCGATGGCACCCCAAGCACCAGCAGTACACCCCAAGCCCGCTTTGACTCAGTCGGCGGTATGCTCTCCGTTCCCCTAGGCGAAGACCTAGAATCCTACGTCTCAGCCGTGGAGTTCTATTCTAAGAGGCATCTCACCAACCTTTTCGACAAGCAGAATGCATTCCAAGGTATCTTCAAGCGCTATCAAGGCGTCGTCGACGACTCACCGTCCGCCTTTAGTTTCGGCCTCCCCATATCCGCCTTCGATCAGACCTTCTGCTGGCGCTCGCGCAAATACCGCCTCCAGTCCCGCAATCCGGCATTCCCGAGCTGGTCGTGGCTTGGCTGGCAGGGCGGCGTGGAGTTCGATAGAGAAATGATTCACGCTGCGCGAACGAACCAGATGATATATCCCGAGACTATCTGGGGGAGGCACGAAGCGTACGCGGCGTCGCTGGACGTACGAAAACCAGCGGTGAGGGAAATGTTCAAATTGGAGTTTGGCTTCCCGGCGTCCGCAACTTCAATGTTCTCGAACAATCCCAAGCTGTACGTCAATGCGAGCACGGCCCGCGCGCGGATAGTGACCGATGCGAGGAGTGACGACGGTGAAAGCGGGCTTTACGCGGTGTGGGCGACTTCGTGCCGACATCACCCTCCACCTCCGCCTCCGGCCCCGGTCCGTATGACGATGTGGGAGATCCTTTCGCAGCCGCTTCCTAAGCTCAAAGTCGCCGACGCTGAGACACTCGCTGCGCCCTCCCTGCCTGGAAAACTTCCACATGAGCCCAACGACATGATATCTCCATGTAGCGAGGACGGTGACTGCGTTGCGAAGACGCCGCTGGGGTATGTTTGGCTGGACCGGGAATGGCGGGCTGGTCAAGGGGAGGAATGTGTCATGGATTTTATGGCATTGGCAGGGAGAAAGGATGAGGAGTTGGAGGGTGACTGGGTTATTACGCTACTGATGTGCTTGCAGAGGATGGAGAAGAAGGGGCAGCTTTGGGGAGAAGAGCGAGTGCAGGTCTTGGATTGTGAGATTGGTGAGCAAAAGTGGTTGGAGGCAGGGGCGGAGACTAAGGACCTGAGATTGGTGTGAGGGGGGAAGGAGGGTCGCGCGTTAGGGTTATCTTTGAAGGTAGCGCACTTGGCGTTACACTGCCAGACTACAATTTCATAGCAAAAAAAAAAAAAAACGTCTTGAGGTCTTACCCGTCTACTAGTGGTCCTCCTTCTCCTGTCTCATCTTCCCCAGCTTATCCAGCCCCCCAAGCCCCTGGAACCTCCGATCCGTCCACCATCCCGCAAAATCCCATTTAGCGTACTCGTCTTAATAATCGTGCCCGCCATGCCGCCTCTCTAGATCTGGGCCGATGGGTCCTCAGCATTCCGCAGCAGATCTGTGACTACGTTCTCTGCCCACACATTCCTATCCTCCGCATACGCTTCTGTCGTTTCTCCCCTTACAATCTTGAGTATATCCTCCCTAATCGGCTGATAGGGTGAGTCAGACGGCAGCTCGTAAACGTTTGATTTGTTCCCCTGGAAGTTCGACTTTAAATTATGAGCCGGTCTCAAGATCCCCGACCCCAACGCCAAGCGGTACCAGGTCGATACGCTAGATGTAATTGAACATGGCCACTGCCACCTTGGAAGCAGAGTACGCGGCATGGAAGGGTGTGCGCATCACTGACAAGATCGACGTTTTATTCACAATCACCGCCTCTCTGCCGGTTTTCGCGCTGGCGAGTAATAGCGGGAGAAGCGCTTGCGTCACGCTCACGTATCCTCACACATTGGTATCGAAAAGAGCTTTCGTCTTAGCAATTTCCAAGTGCAAGAATGGCTACAGGTTCGTCGGCTAAGCTCATGACGGAACTTAGTGGTGACCATATCTTCAGTGGAGTCGTTGCTCAACCCAGTGGAGACATTGAGAGCTATACCGCCATTAAAAAGGTCAGATGGCTACCTATCGGCTTCAGCGTGATATCCAATGAGAAACTGGAACCACAGAAGCTTGAATTGAAGGGCATTACCGAACTTTCTGAGAGAGGGCAGAGTCCGACTTCTATGCGCCTGTTGACCGCTCGAGTGAAATAGCTGTATGACAAGTCGCGGTGACATAATATCCCCTGGACTCGTACATACCTACATCATGCAGTTAATAAGACTTGAGCATGACCGAATACTATATGGGATATCGACGAGCGACCGGATGGAGTAGATCTAGTAGAATCGAGTTGGAGGGGTGACCTAAATCCCGGTCGCTATCACGTCTCTGCAGGCGAATATTTCTTTAGGACCCAGAGTCTCCGAGGCTTCGCGGAACGTAATAAACACATAAGTGCGGGTGGATTTGTGACTACCGACTCCGAGTCCTTTACTGTTGCTTGGAGTAAATACACAACAGCTGTACATATGGACTTGAGTGGGCTCTGGGTTGTTCAATAACATGTCCTCACCAATCTGCGGTCAAAACATCCGCCTGATCTTCACTGTCATCCACTGGTACGAGGGCAATCTCGTTTGTTTGTCGTCTGTCGAAAATCCCACTAATCTCTTCCAGTGGCACATCCCTTTCGTCTCCAGTACATGAAAGAACATGATCGCGATGACACCGATCAATACGCCCACGTAAACCAAGCAGTACCTCCAATGAATCTTATCCAAGACAATGGGATTGACGTATTGATTGAAGCATGTGGCAGCGGCTTGGGAGACCCACAATACGCTCGTCCCCTTCGCACGGAGGTGGCTTGGTCAGATCTCGTTGATATAAAATATTGGCATCGGCGTTAAGCCGATGACGTATCCACCACGGAATAAGAAAGAAATGCGAAAATTGCGTAGCTTGCTGCTACGGATCCAAAGATCGAGTAGAGGGCGGAGCAAATGGTGACCAAGCTCATGAAGACCAGCATCGTACCTGCAGAGGTCAAGAACAAGCGCCGTCGACCGGCTCTCTCAGCTAGGAGCGCAGCACCGCATGCAAGAGACCAATTGTATATCTGCAGACCGCCGTTTATACCCTGATGATTTTATGAGCTAGTAACTCCGACGGCACGTAACACAGGCGCCAGATATATGGTAACGACACCATTTCCGCACCACTGAGTGGCGATGCTAATGACTGCAGATAGTACGAGTCGCTTCCGATTCCCTGGCGTACTGTAGTCAGTCTTATGGGCTACTGTTTCCTTAAAATTAGCGTACCCGAATCAGTCGCTTGTATATAGCCCGAAGTGCTAGTAAGACTCACGGATGACATTTTGATCAAAAACTTAGCTTCAAATGAAGCTCACCTTGAGCAGCCTGCCGGTCACCGTGCTAAAAGAAACAATGCATATGAGATTGCTCGGACTGTTCGAAACATATCACGCGTGGCACAGGCACAGGCACGAGGCTGATCATGATAATCTCGATGCGAGTGTATGTCTTTGCTGGCCCAAAGCTGACAAGGTGCCAAGAGTCCCCCTTTCACTCGGCTTTCTGAAAACGCTTGATCAATACGTTGGAGCACAATGAACTGTAGTGGTGCAGACTCTTCCACCTGTGACTGCTCTAAATTCAAATGGAGCGGGTCAGATGGAACTTGCAACATCTGAGGATATCGTTGATAGCTAGGGTCGTGATGGAAATTCAATGAAAGAACTTATACCCTAGATGATAGACACCCAATTCGTTAGCTGATTGGAGCCTACGCTCATAGACCCCATGATCTGCTAACACAGACTCAGTAAGATCGCATATGTCGTCTTTTAGTGTGTCTCCATTTTCCAATCATCTCCATTGCATCCTTGAAGGGTTGGCACTTCATATCACTGAGCTTCGTGATCCACGGCCACCACATCCAAACACTAACGACACACATAGTCAGTACTATCGTAACGACCCAGTAAAGCCAGACCCATTTCGACACCAATGGACCTTCGTTCAAAGGCCCGAAATCCCAGAAGCTGGTGCTGAAGAGCGTAGCCACAAACGTTCCCGGTAAGAATATGAGCGTAACGATAGATATAACCCGCATATCAGCGCCATACTGGTGGCTCATCTCATTGTCTTGTTGAGCTCGAAGAGCGTAGACCTATGTTTGTTAGCGGGGGCCTCAGTGAAGGTTCTCTGCTGCTCCTCACCATCTGCACTTGCGCCTCTACCGATGCTTTTACATACTCGTTTCTCCTCAAGGCACTTCTGATTGTCTGGCGCATAAGTACCATTCTATCTGCAAACGTGACAATATCAGAGGTCTCACAGGTGGAGCTCTTCTGAAAGTCTTTCGAGTACAGCTCCATTGTGTCAACGATGTCAACTACGCCATTCAAGGATGAACAATTACTAGCTAGCGCGTTCGCCAACGCAGTCAATCTCCGCGGCATATCGGTCAAATCCGGGGCGCGCGCGACACGTTCTTCAGCTAGAGAGTATAAGTTTGTCCCCATGGCTTCTCTGACGGACACAAAATCGCAGTATGTGCTCGTGGAGAACTGTTCAAGATCTTCCAGGGCGATGTCGGAAAGCAGCAGAGCCACGTGGATGGGGGAGGAAGCGTAGCTTTGAGATTCTTCCAAACGTGCGACTAGTCTATTGGCATGCTCTGAGGCGATGCCGAAGCATACTGCATACGTAGCGTTGGTGTTACGATCATGCGTGATAATAAGCATACCGCGGAAGGGAAGGCCGTAGACAAGCCGTACAATGAGACCTGGAGCGGATGTGAGACTTATCTGGGTAGATGGAACAAAGCCACAGACCTGTATATGAGGAATCACCAGGGACCGGACTACAGGAGAGGCTACAGGAACCAGCCCTAGCTTGGGCACGAAAGCCAATGTCCGCAATCTTCCAATATGTAATGAATGCTTCGAGGATTTCGGCTGGATACGGAATCCTTCTATCGTCTTTGCTGTAACGACTCTTCCTGGTAATCAACCTGAAAAAACATCAGCTACACATAGGTGGGAGGAAGGCAATATTGCTGACAGTTTCAGAGTCCAATTCGAGCTAGTTGATTCGTGGGAACTTAAACATGATAGCAACTGCTCATCGTTTACATATGACTGCGACATATTGACTGCCTAGGACGTTTAGCTCACCCACTGCCGATTATCAGCGTTTTCGCTTACATCTTTCTTCGTTATTGAGACAAGCAGATGCCCATCGTTGGCCTCTAATAACCCAAAGTTCTTCTCCCATTGACGAGCCTCAAAATATGCACTCATGTTGATGTACACAACAAAGCAAGGAGTAGTGGCATTTGCGAGATCGGAGAAAGATGCAGCAGCGCTCACCGGATGAACCTATCAATACGGCCATGACACGCGAACCGAATACGAAAACCAATGACAACACGAAGCCGTGGTCACACTCGCGCTATTTTACAAGCTTAACCGAAGACAGAATTGTCAGAAAATAAGCACATACAAACGGAAACTGGTGTTGTATCTACTGTAAGCCTCGTGCAGAGTTGAAATAAATCCTTTACTCCTTCCCAGTCGATATCAGCCCAGTAAGCATTATCGCATCGTCGACCAGGTTGTTGAGCTGGTCGTATTGGCCTTGTAGCCACAAATCCAAGATCGGCTGGTCCTGGCTCACGAAGGAGTTGCGAGCAGGTGGCAGCACCTTTGTACACTCTTTCAAGTCGTTGATGTTGTTGACACCAAGAAGTGAAAGTCGCGTATAAGCTTTTGCGTAGTCCTGCCGATGTCAGCCACGGGTTTCTGAGATAGCTTTATGCCGTACCTCGTTCCAATGATCTTGAGAATCATTGATGAATCCCTGCCACTCGTCCTTCACCCGAGCATCCTTGCTCAGAAGGATGTCGCTAGCGAACTTGAATACTCTCTTCGGGGTGCTCGACACGGTTTCTCCATAGAACTTCACATCCCACACACCAGGTGTACTATCTTGTGGGTCGCCGTCTCTTGCGGTGTTGACAAAGTGTTGTTGCGAGGTTGTGTGCGCACCTACTAGTGCGGCCAAATCATGCGGGTCGATCGTTTTCGCCTGGAACAGCTTGACAATCTTATCCGCCGAGTCATTCACGTCAGGTAGAAGACCAGTAGGCCCAGCCTTCGCGTTATCCTTGCGCCCGACGAAGGATCGAATACGTGGACCGAGAGGGCAAACAACCGTGGCGATGTTTGCGCCCATCTGAATAAGATCGGCCATGGTTCTGCGTGTGTTAGGCGAGCGTTATGCAATGGCGAAGTGAGCACTTACACTCCGTACTTGTTATACTTAGCGTACCACGTCTTCATTTGGTCGCCAATAGCTGTAAGGCCGTTATTGTCCGAGCGACTGAGCTCATCAGTGAGGAGAATGCTTCCATCAGCACCACCGTATGAGCTTGTGTTTGACCAGACTCCCGCGTCATGGAACCCTAAACGCACAGCCCCTCGTGCGAACTTGTTGCAACGACCCGAAGTTCCATTGAACTTAGCTGTCATGTCGTATGAAATCCACTTCCACACACAGCACAAATCGGCTTTGCATGCAGCCGTGTCTGGAGTTCCTGCCGGAGCACCAGTATCAATGACACTCGAACGGGCATCTTTCTGGTTCAAAAGAATCGCCTTGATGTCCTTTCCGATGGAAGTAAGTTGGGAATCTTTCAAAGTTTTGAGATCCCCAATGAGCTGCTTCGGTTCTTCGCGAGCGACCTTCGCTGAACGTTGCAGGTCTTTCAATGTCTCACCCATCCCAGGATAGGCGAGAGCATAGGAGTAAAACGGAATGACATTGTATAAGAATGTTAGGACCCTCATAATGAGCTGCGTAAAGTACGGAAGATGATGTTATAACCTCAACTTTTGGGCCTCGAGTTGGGGTGGAAACCCTAGGAGTACTTATACTCGTTGCTCTGAGACTGCCGTATAATCTTGTAAAAACTGCCATGGCATTCTGCAAGTGCAGACTGGACTGATTTTCTTTGAGGGTCTGGAAGCAAGGTGCTAGATGAATACGAGGAGATCCAGATCTGTAAGATCACGAAAGCCGAATGGAAGGGCCAGCTGGATCCATATTTTCGATACCTGCAGCGAAGCCATTGCACTGAAAGAGGCCTATTCTGATAAGCGTCTCAGGGTAATCAGAGCAGACGGCCAAGAAGACATATAGCAACTCCGCGATTGGCCCGGACAGTGGTACAGATGCGTGAGAAGTACGATACCACCGGGTACGAGCTGCGTGCATGGTGTCGTTAAAAATTTGGTCCAGGTCGTATGTATATTGCTCGTGCAGGATGCCTTCTGATTTGGGGAGTAGGGCGGTAGGCCCGTAAGGATGTGATGAGACTACGCAGAGGTGCAATGCTCGCGGCATAGCCTAGAGGATGGAGGGGATATCCGATGACTCCTAAGGAAGGAAAACCCATATCTCTTGTGCACCCTGGTTGCCGGTTCAAACAATTCATCATTTGCACAAGAAATATGCGCTTAGCACCAGGTTAAAAGATGCTAGCTAGGTAGACCTCAGTACGTTCGCGTGCATTATGCACAATCGATTCCACCGGACAGTGTTTGAAGGGACGTATATTCTTAGCCACGAAAAGAGCTATCCCTGGATAAGATGCGGTAGATCGGCGGGAAAGATTATACCATTGCGTATCTAGGGAGAAATATATTGCGAAGTCAGCCGCAGTGGCCATCTCCCGCGGTTATGGGTCGTATTACGAACAAAAAATCCTGGAACTTCCATTTAGCCGGATAAGGCAGCCGGTCCTTGGGAAGATTTGCTAAATCAATACGGTCCGCATGTACCTCAACAACGACAGGATTTGAATGCACGCGCGCGCAAGATGCTTAGAGTCGGTTCGGAACAGCGCTGCGAGCGTACCGCGTGACAAAACCCCATGAAGATGAGTGTGCCAATGCTAGTGTAATTGACAACTGTAAGCCACGCAAGTATAGCTTTGAACTTTTGTGGCCTGTATGAATGATTGGAGCCCACTGCTCCGGCATTAAAACGTGTTCGAGAGTCTGCATTCGAAGACCCGGCGAAAGGAGAGCATGGTGCAGCTGTCGTATTCGCTAACAATAGCTTGGCGCTCTAAGGCTTTCTGTTACAAATTCTAATATACGGACCACGCCAGTTGCTGGACGATTGTCACTGATCTGCCTTCTCTGGGAAATATCTCGCGCGGCTTCCGGTACACAGGTCCGGGCCGTGCTGGTCCCTGAAGGTATGATCAAATGAGGATTTGGAAGACCAAACCCATAGTGTTGGTTTAGCATCAGTTGCAATCACATTGGCGTACGGCCTGCGTTCGTACTCGTTGAGACCAAACCGCTAGAAGGACAATAGAAACAGTGGGGTTTGTTTTTTCGTTCATTCGGACGTGACTAAATCAGTGCTGCAGTGAGTTGAGAGGTTCAACAGGTGTTTTGTTCATAATGGCGCCAGAGCTGTGGATGTGCGCACAGAATTTGAAGCGCAGAGAGCTGGAGTACCATGGGAGGAAACATTGGAACCGACATTCTCACGTGCCCACGTTGTGCTAGACCCCAAAAGGAAACAGATCTCATTGGGTAAAACATAGGAAGTGGGAGAAGATTTGTACACTTAAGTACCAACGTGGTCATGGAAGGTGATGCCATAAGTTGGCGCTCCTGGGCCTGAGGGGACTGGGGCGTTAGGCGTCTCCCATAAGCGGAGCTAGCGCGTAACAGGCTAGAGCCCTGGCTGGCATCTCGGTGACTACAGCACATTGTTCACGATCGAACTCAGTCCCTTTCCGCCCCCATTCATCATGAAAGCCCCGGCCTTCCTGGAGCACTTACGATGTTGAAAGAGCGGTCTACTGCGCTCTTATTGCATACACGTTTGTCGAGATGGAATTCACCGCGCGCGGTACGATGTCCAGCTGGACAGTCAGCTTCAGCTCTCCATATTTTGGCACTAGTAACGTCGTGCACTTTGCTTTTGACCGCTCAGCCGTATGGCTTTCCAAGCTTGAAGAAACATCACCCTACTGCGCATCATTCCTCGAGCTTATCTCTATATATGATCTAGCGCGCCGCGTCAGCGGACGAGCGACCCTTAGAACGCTTTTAGAACTGCTCACTCGCACTCAGACTTCTCCCGCCCTTGTCTTCATTCAATCTTAGCTCTCGATACATCTGGACCACGATAAGGAAAAACATGAAACGACTTTCGGGACTCTTCTCCACCCCGAAAATCACGTTTCAAATTCTCTCCGACCTTTACCTCAACTACGAGCAACAATACCTCACATTCCACATCCCCGTCTCTGCACCATATCTCATCCTAGCAGGCAATGTCGGACAGCTCGCGGATTACGATGCCTACCTGTCCTTCCTCGTCCGGCGATGCAACCTCTACGAGAAAGTGTTCCTCATCCTCGGAGCTTTGGAGTTTCACGGTCTCACGCACGCCGAGGGCTTGCAGCTCGCACATCATATGGAAGAAGAGGTCGCGACTAGAGGCCGATTGCAAATCCTTCATCGGACCAGAGCGGATGTGCCTCATACCAACGTTACTTTATTAGGTTGCACGCTATGGAGCAATATTCCCGAATCGGCGGAAGCTGCCGTGGTCAAGAAGGCACCCGAATTTGACACGATGGAAGGCATCCGGCAGTGGAGCGTTGATAATCACAATGAGGAACACTTCCGCGACCTAGCGTGGCTACAGGGTGAGATCAACGGACCCAGGACATTCGCTGGCGCGGAGTCATCTTCAGCACCTACTTCACAGGTTATTGTTGTGTCCTCATTCACACCAGATCTGCATCACACGCTTGCTCCTTGGCAGGTACATTCACCATGGTGCGCAGCCTATGGTACAGATCTTTTGAATGGGACAGACTGGAACATCGTGAAGTACTGGGTTCACGGCACTACTGGAAGAACGGGCAAGGCTAAAAGGTTTGGTCTCAAGATCGTTAGTAACCAACGAGGACGAGTCGGTGAGGAGGAAAAGGGGATCCTGGAAGATAATGTGCCGAAGAAGGACAAGATAGATTTGTTTGACGTGACAAAGGTCATCCAGGTTTGAGCGAAGGGCTTCAAAGAAATTGAGGATCAAGTTTCTCGCCGCTGCTTCGCTTCCACACATAGTCCTACGCCATGAGTCCTCATCGTGCATCACTAAGTTATCGTCTGATTTCGAGGCAAGTATCGACGTCTGGGTATTCTACCTCAAAGGGTAAAAATATTATGGACTGCGTACCAGAGACTAGTTCATCAGAGTGGCCGCATGAAATTGGGGTGTCCGGTTTCAATCAAACCTAGGCTCCTGCATGGCTGAAAGCATGTGCTTGATGCGACATGGCGTAAGCTTCCACTTACCTAGCCTTGCGCGCGATTTCATTTCTTCCACCATCTCAATCGCTCTCCAGTACAAACTGGTCGTTTGCTAACATAGCACTTATGTAACAAATATACCTTTCGCCGCCCTTCATTTTTAATTAAACAGAGATCCGAATTTGTCTAAAAGCTGCACAGATGGTTTTCTGGTGCATGGCGCTTAATTCCCACAAGTATGCGGGTAGGCGCATACGAGCACCTGGATTGTTCCAGGTGCTCCCTAAAAATTCTGGACCTGCACTCAAGCAGTCTTCCGGTTGAGCGCTTCCCTGCTTCGTGTACTTTCCTCGTCCCGATTTACCTATTACTACTATTCACAAGAGTAATCGTCAAGGTTCATGTGGGAAACGGTTCATTCTCGAGCTCCACCACACTGAAAGCCACTTCAGAAATCGTTCTTGTAGGCTTGAGATTTGCGTCAGTCTTTAAGGACTATAATTCACAGTTGACAGAGCCTAGTTCTAAGGCTGCGTATCTATCATGCGCACTTCAACAAGTACACCTACACGATCTTTTGGACTGCTTACTTTTGCGTAGCCGAGTCGCTGGAGACATTCACCATGGACTACTGCCAGGCGCTGCGAGAGTAGCCCAAAACAGACGCCGAGGTCGTCCTGTTTGTCGACAGCGGATGCTGATTACAGAGTCCTTGCTCGAAAGGCACAAGCGACAAGGATCTTGTGAAACTCCTACATATGTTCTACGAGGTCACTATGGCAAGACGAGGTGTCATACAGACCTTTGGTTTCAAGACGAGTGCGAGGATTGATGTAGTACAGGTACAATCAGTTCATGAATCACTAAGTCTCATTTTGTTGACAACTATCAGCTCCAATTTTGGCGCAGCTGTTTGTCCAAAGGTCGGTCCATCACTAGATCTCGGGCGGCACGGCCCGTACAACAGGCAGTTCTACTTCTGTGATTCGTCAACGCTTCACGGGATCGATATCAGGGACAAGTTTCTCCTAGAAAGCATCATCCACGACATGCACACAAGTTCACAGCAGATCCCGTCTATCGTCTCGCCTCTCGACCAAGTGCGGGCTTTGAACGTAGTTAGAAGCTGGAACCCGCGATCAGCAAGCGTGACAGTAGTCATCCCGGTGTTTTGCAACTTCGCCGTTGCAATCATCTGGCCTGTCGTTTTCACGTTGAGAAATGGAGCCGAAATACAAGCAATTGTACAAACAGGCTTTACAATTGAAAGTTGTGTCGTAACGACAGGTAAGCAACCATACTACCCACCCATTGAATCCATCACTCAAGACCGAAGGTGCCGTTATCATTGCTCTCGTCGCCTTCCTGGACACCAAATACAACTCCAGCGAGCCGACATCAGACGCAGGCATCTTTACGTCGCGGCCACCTAGTCCGCACCCATCCAGCCTGCAACTGCGCAGGAAAATACCTCAGTCTCCGGAAATCCATCAGCTTTCTATTACCTCATAGCCTGCCCGCGCACTAGCTGCGACAATACACTCACATTCTGCACTGCACCTGTTCTATCAGCGCTCCACACAACCCCAGCCTCTGCAGAGATTACTTGTTCAACGATAGGCAGCGCAATAAGATCTGATCCTTGCAAAGGAATTCGAAACAGCTACAGCAAGGTGGGTGAGAAGTAGAGCTTCGTTCAAGTGATGGCCGAATCCATATTCGACCGGCACAACTCACGTCGCCCGTTCCTCCACCGCGCGCTCCAGTTCTTCAATCCTCTCGTCTTGTCTCTCGAGCAGAAGTCTCATATTCTTGATCATCTGTGCCTGCGCGCGAATGGTCTCTTGTTGCGCGGCCATGGTATCCTGCTGCACTTGGATGGTCTGCGCGTCAGACGCGATGATGTCTTCGTAGAGCTGCAGAATAGACTCGGGACGGGGTCCGGCTTCTGATTTTGAAGGTTCGAGACAGTAGGGAGGTGGAGATGGGCAACGAGGGAGTGCCGGCGGTCGGGTGCTTTTGCGCGTTTGAGTTGGCGCAGCTCTTGGAGACCTCTGGGAAGGAGGATCTGTGTAACTGCATCAGCAGGCCACTCAAGTGAGGATCAATGCAGTTTAACTCACTTCTCCGTGCTCCAGTCGGCGATGCATTTCCACGATGCTCTTCCTTCTTTTTCGGCCGTTGACTCTCCGGCGGCGAAACTGTGCCTCCGAATGGCCCTGACTGGATTTGTATCGTTGCTCTTAATACCATGCCGAAACTCGCGAGCAAAATGATAAGGCCGTACGCCCTTGCCGCCCTCAGAAAAAGCATCAGGGCGACAGTGTACACCAGCGATCTCATGAACTCATCCGGGGTCTCCGTCATGACGTGCGTAGCTCTTCTTCCTTCGTTCACTAGATGTGTGATACTCGCACTTTACAAACAAAGACCAAAGTCCGTTAGCTCCCGCATCCAGCCTTCTCGCGCCGGCCCGCGCACTCTCTGGTATATATCCACACGCCTGCGACCCCTCCAGCTCCGTACGCCCCCCTCAAACCCAGCGATCCTCGAAATCTGAAGCCCAGTGTGGCTCACTGACTCTCAATCCATGCTGCAAGAGGTGTGTGTGGAGAACGGGCGTTCACGCGATGTGCTCATGCGGGCAGGGTAAGACATGCACAAGTGCGAGGGTGGTGCGGGAGGAGCGCTGATTGGTTGGCTGACTGCTGGTTTGGGATCGGCTGAATTGGGGCCACACACGGAGTATACAGGGCTGGAACAGTGGGTGTGCGTCACTATTCTTTCTTGATCATGGCCAAGCCTTGCTAGAAATCATCGAGGTTCGAGGTTAGAGCGTGGCGGCTTCTCAGCTACTACTTGCGCCTTTCAGGTCCTGCTTCGCGACTCAGTAGGGGAGGTATTTGCTCATCTTCAACGTGACGTGTCTTGTTTGATAAGGCGCAGCTAAATATACTTTGCTCCCCTTAACTAATTGCTAGTTGCCGCCAATGGTCTGTGGCTCGTTGAAAACTCACCACCTAGGGAACTAAGCAGCATCAGCTGCAGGCTGCACTTGCATACTGATCGACAACTGGGGAGCGGACGCCTTCACCGGTCCAGCCGAGACTCTTCATTATTGCAAATATGGCGCGAACATGACCGCCTGCCTACATCTTGTACGTCGTCGGCTAATTGTCCTAAGGAGGACCCGCCGTATCCTTACAAACGATCGCTCATTGATGGTCTCAGGATCCTATCACAATGAGGATAGATCAATCATGGATTGTATTGTATGTACTCAGCAAGGGAATCTGAGTCGCGATGAATCTTTGAGCCATAGAGATAGGGTGCCCCTTCACCCGACTCTATCCCGCTTCATTCCGCCGTCCATTCAACGTCCGTAAATTCATCGCCCGCGTACCAGTCACCATTATTCGGCTGCTCGTGAGCAGAATCGAGAGGAGTCACGCTGCCGTTGATGAAGCCCTTTGGTTCGTTGAGATGAATGACCCATGCATCGCGAAAGTACTTTGACATCGCAAACCACGCGTAACTATTCGCATTTTTCGATGTTTGAAGATTCAAACTTTTTTCTCTGGGCCGACTTCTTGCACCGGCCTACGCCGTAGAAGACTCATCTGTAATACCTCTTGGGATATTGACATCGTTTGTCTCGCTTGGAAGCTTGACTTTGATGTCGTCGATGTGCCCTTGGGAACCGGCGATATCAGCATGCGTCAGCTCGTGCAGAATGACATGTTCTTGTGTGATGAAGTTGTCAAGCGCGTAGGTTGGCTTGTCAAGTACACGGTCGAGAAGATGGGGAAAGTTTTGGCTCCAAAAATAGTCGCAGAATACCATCGTGGCACCCGGTACGGAAGGGCTGTTCCCGGTATAGGCTACCCTGCGAACATTCAGTGGGATCCAAACACAGTCAGTTTGTACTCATACTTTGGATCTGGAGCGATGGGTTGAAAACATCTTTGCAGTGCACCGAGGCTTAGTGTGCCTCATCGATAATCCCGGCGCCGTAGGTAGGCAAATCGCCAGCTTTCTTTAGATTGTCGAAGATTTTCTAGAATTATTTCCCGTAGATTCTACTGTAGCCCACGCCGAAAAAGCCCATGAATGGCTGATCTTCTCCTGGGGGTGTTCGTGTTGTGTGGGGCGGCATTCTGCCTGGGCGTAGAAGCAGTTGATCCCTTAGAGAGACAGGTCGCACCAATAGTTGCCAACGCGGGATTGCTCAATCAACGACATCGGGGTAGGCCTCGGTGCACTAAGTACTGGCTGGAAGACTGCGAGGAAGAGGAAGAAGGCAGAGAGGATAGGCAAGGACAGCTGCACCATGCACACTCTGATATGATCAAGTGGTGGATGGATTGGTGAAGGGCGTCGCTGACCTTCTCTATGTACACGTCTGTTAGCCACAATTCTACAAGGCTGAAGGCTTAAGGTAGTAGGCTGAAACCCCCTGATGCCAAGTATACCAGGATCCTGGACTTCGCAGATAAAACTCGAATTCCATCTCTAAGATTGCCTTGGATGGACCCCAGAATTTGCGTTTGACGCGCGCTTATTCCTTCTGCTACAGCCACCACTATATCCACAGCCTTTACCGACGTATTGTGACGGCAAATAAGACAATTGGCCCCGGAAAACTAGTGCTCTTCACCGAATCAACAACCACCTCCCACCCAGACCCTCAAGTCGGTATAGTGCCAGAACGATCAAACCCACTACTATCCACGCCCACAGCCCAAAAGAGTTTTCTGTCGCTATACTCGGCCCAGGCGGGGCCGTTGCACTGTCTTTGCCCTGGACAGAAGTTGCGCCCAACGCTACAAGGAAAGGGCTTTGTGTCCTTCATTATCGGTTAGACGGTACAGCGGTGGAAATGTACCGGAGACAGCGTACAACGCGAAAGCCTCAGCGGCCGTGATGAATGCGACGAGCGATATCATTAGCATCGCTGTGGAGAATCGACTCATGGCGAGCGCTGCGCGGAACTCAGGCTATTGGCGTTCGGTGAGTAGGACAACCTCGAGCATTCAAGGTACATGAAGATCTATTTATTTTCTTTGTACGGATTCTTGCTTCCTCCGTGCAGGATTCCCTAGGCTATGAGGCGTCAGCTCAGCCCTGGAGCGTAGCGCAGCCACGCAGAGCCCAGGACGAATGTTAACAGGCATAAGCTCAGCTGGGCTTTTGAGCGTAAAACGTAAGCAGGCACGAGCTCTCGTATTGGTGCAGGAAGACATGTTATCTTCCCGCGGCTTGCAAATAGAGGTGAGGGTGGCGTGACCGGTAGAAAAAGCATTCGGGGCTGGTCTACTCCTACCTAATGGGGGCGAGTTGACTGAGCTCGAAGACGCCAGGCCATCTTGACTTCGCGCAAGGAAAGGTCCAAGAGAGCACCATCTTGTGCTTTTTGGCTGTGGAACTCGGTGTCAGAAGCGCACCGCATCGTGGGCGAGGCTAGGGTGTTCGCACACCGCCAGATGCTGATGGCCAGGGACTAGTCGTGCAAGACTTGCTTGTTGAGCCAGCGCTCTTCGCGAAGGCTCCCAAAATTCCATCTCTTCGCTGCAGTCCGAAAGGCACCATTCACCCAGTGACAGCACGCACGGAACGTTGAGATGTTCGAGGCCTGATTGACTGGTAGTGCCATCGCATCCCGTTTCCACGACGACGAAAGCTTGGCAACAACAGGCGCCCCCCTGGCCCTCGCTCGCCATTTATCAAACACACGTCAAATCTTACCGCTACACCCCTCTCGCCGCAGAAAACCGCCTTTCAGAGAATCCACCTTCATTCACGCATTCGCCTTTGTACGACTCCCGAGCAGAACAATTCATTATGGTGAGTAAAGCCCGCAGACCCCTTCGCACTTCCCGTCCCCAATCACGTTGCGCGCGGGGCGCATGCCTCCGCGCCACTGCCCTGGAAAGCAAAGAGCAACAACGACCGGCCCAACCCGTCCGCGCCTTCCACGGCAACGACGCAACACAAACACGGAGCTTGTGCTACGCCCGCGCTCGCTCTTCGTCTACGCTCCGCGCATCACACTCCCGTCCTCAACCGCGCCTGCAATACCGAGTCCTCGCCCATCACAACACGCCGCCGGCCTGCGAAAGCGACCAGCAACAGCATGGACAACCACACTCACAACCAGCAGGCCTCCACCAACTACCGCGAAGCTTTCCAGCTCTTCGACAAGCGCGGCAACGGCCGCGTCGACCGCGCGGCCCTCGGCGACCTGCTGCGTGCCTGCGGGCAGAACCCGACGCTCGCTGAGATTGCGGACCTGGAGCGCGGTGTTGGCGCAGACTGTACGTACCCATTTCCCCTGCCCACCAGCATCCCACAACCCCGCCATCTACATTCCGCACTCATCGAAACCGAACACTATCTAATGCGTTTGGGTGCACAGTCGACTTTGACACCTTCAGCAAGATCCTCAACCGCCCGGGCGGCTTCCGCGAGCCCTTCGACATCGAGGAGTACATCCGCGGCTTCCAGGTCTTCGACAAGGACCGCTCCGGCTTCGTCGGAAAGGGCCAGATCAAGTACATCCTGACGAACCTTGGCGAGAAGATGAGCGAGGAGGAGGTCGAGGAGCTTTTTAAGAGCACCATCGATACTGGAAACAACGAGGTCGACTACAGGGAGTTTGTCAAGACCATTGCGGAGAACTAAACGGCCGTTGGGAAGGGAGCGAGGAGCGGGGAGGCACGGGGTTTCAGTTCGAATGATGGGATGTACATTTTGATTGACGAGGCCTTCACGATTGAATGAGTAGGGGGCCTCGATGCATGCGGCTCGGCACTGGCGTTGGCGTGTAGGATTTGGACAGGCGAATCGCATTATGTGAGGCCTGGTGGTTTCTGGGATTTCAATGCATTGCAATCATCCACTCTTAAGCCTCGTGAGACGCTTGTGATACTTGAAGTCCAAACACTACCATCAATGGACCACACGTCACTTGATGGACTCGAAGACTCAATATGAGTAATGTGTCATTCATTCGTCTAACTGGCCGGAACTGACTGTTTTTGGTCCACTTGCCAAACGCAATGTATCTATCTGGGCGCTCTCTTGTAGCTGAGAAGCCCTGCGCGTTCGCCGAAGGGGGTATCTGTAATGCGGTAACATGCATAAAAAACGACAGACGCAAAGCAAAAAAAAAAAAAGCAAAAATAAAACCCGGCACCGATGTCACGCTGTGACCATCGAGCCGTCCCGTGTGCGCCATTGCCAATCCGTCCGTTCGTATGCCCATCGTACAAGTGTTCGTATGAAAAATCGTTCGCGCCATCCGCTGATGAAGGAGATGGCCCCGCCCAGAGACGTCGACGAGGGTGCGCGCCTCACGTCTTGATCTCCGCCACGGTGACCATGCCGATGCCGCCCGTCTTGGGCGGCGTCTTCCCCATGATCATCTCGCTGGTCGTGACAAACCCCTCGGGGAGAAGGTACACGACATCGTCCTTGCGGCCCGTGCGCTCGCCGCCGAATTGCTGCCAATCGAGCTGGTACCCAACCACCAGGTTGCACCGCCCGCACCGCTGGAGGTACCGCTTCTCGAAGCCGGAGTCGCTTGTCACCATGCTCGCCGCGTTCTCGAGGCGCGTGCTGAGCAGCAGGCCGTAGTGGTCGGTGGGCGGGGCGACAGGCTCGTTCGACCCGCGGCGTGCTTTGGTTGTGGGCGCGGGTGGTGGCGGCAGCGGCATGATGTGCGCGGCGTCGGCAGAGTTGTTGCGGGTTGGGAGCGCGTGGAGGGGCGTCGAGGTCGCGAGGAGGAGGTGCGTGCAGAGGCAGTGGTATGTGTATACGGTTGAGGAGGCGGCGAGGGAGAGTTTCTCCGAAGGAGAGGGCGACGGCATCGCAAAGTAGTCGCGGGAGGACTGCGTGATGTCCATGGCTGTGAGGGTGGGTTGTTGAGAGGTCCCGGCGTGAAAGGGTGTTGAACTGTGCGTGTGGAGTGTGGAGGGCGGCTGGCTGGCTTTCTGGGGAAGCGTTTGCGGGGTGCAGTATATGAGCGTCAGAAGTCCGTCTGCCTCGTCACTTTCTTCTGTGAGGGTTGTGGCGTGCAGTAGCAGTGAAGTCAGATGTGAAGTCCGGAATGGTCCAATACTCTAGCGACACCAAGCCGGTGTGCTATCGGGCAAAGTTCGGCGGCAGGTGAGGGTCGGCGAAGGAAGAAATGTTTGCTCTCCGTGGAATGGACGCTGAGGCGAATCCCTTATAAATCAGATTTCTGGTGTTTGCCCAGGCGGGAGGCGCACTGAAACGTCCCTTTCGAGACTGCAGCGGTCAGACGCGCTGCGGCGAGGCGTTGCCGCGGGATGGCGGGGTGGTCCGTCGGAAGCTGCAGGCCAAGTCCGCGCCGATTGCGGGCACAGACGGCGGAGCGAGGGTGCGTGTGGCCTGGGGAGTCGCAGAGTGGTGGAGGCGCGGGGGAGTGTCTGAGGGTGCGTGAGGCTCTGGCAGATGGACACGGCCAAGCTCGTTTCTTCTGTGTGTGATATCTCTAGGCGATGTTTCCTCTGCCCGTGAAGAAAGGGTCCGACTCTCAGCCGCTAGCGCAGGGCGGGATCCGCAAGCAAACAAGGGCGATACTGTGGATCCACCGGCGGTTCGTTGATGTGCAGGTGAAAGAATGAAGGCAGACGCGGCCATGTCTGATTGTTATACACAGGCCTCTGTTGCAGAGAGCCACTGCGCGCATCAAGTGTCCCAGATAGCCCAGCGTCTGGCGGCGCGGTGCCCGGCTTGCTGGTGGCTGCATGCATCCTGACGTTGTTGGCCTGCCCATATCGATAGTCGAATTACTGCGCTGGTCTCGCCCACGCGCTGTTGTCGCTTGCTTCGAGGGCCTGTCCGCGCGCTGTCCAGCTGACGTCTGCCCGCCGGTCTGGCTCCCAGAAGTCCCCTCGCTTGCACCTGCACCTCGGAGCGCTGCCTCTCGCGTCGAGTCTGTCCATCCGCCGTCGCCCAAGCCCCGGGCACCGAAGGGCCGCAAGCCGATATCTCCAGCCAAACGCCATCTGCCTTGTCATTACTATTCACATTCCCCATCGTTGGCATGCCGCCGCTAACCACCGATGTGATCAAGTTCGGCGCCTTCGTGGTAACCAACCAGGTGCGCCTTCCCGCCCACGCTCCATGACGTTGCCATGTCTTGGGCGTCCAGATGAGGCTGACGGGAGCACACGCATAGGTCTTCCACCTCACCCCGCTGTCGTACGCCCTGGTGAATCTCAAGCCGTTGCTTCCTGGCCACGTCCTCGTCTCGCCACGCCGCGTCGTTCCGCGCATCCATGACCTGTCCGCCGCCGAGGTCCAGGATCTCTTCCTGACCGTGCAGCGCGTCTCGCGCACCATTGAGCGCGTGTTTGATGCCTCGGCGCTGAACATAGCCATCCAGGATGGCGAGGACGCCGGCCAGAGCGTTTCCCATGTCCATGCCCACATCATTCCCAGGAAGAAGCAGGACCTGCCACGCCCGGACGCTATATACGAACTGATGGAGAGCGAGGACGGCGATTTGGCCAAGCAGCTCAACAAGCGCCAGGAGGGCGATGCGAGGCGAAGTAAATTCCCGGCCGTAGATGCAGACGAGGACCGCAAGCCGAGGAGCGAAGAGGAGATGAACAAGGAGGCCGAGTGGCTCGCCGAGGAGATGGCCAGAGACAATAAGACGGAGGTTGATTCTCACACTCGTGCCACAGCAACCCTGCCACTTCGAATAGAAGACACTGTATAGTACGCAGCATAGACAGCCCTAGGTTACACCTCGGCAGCGTGAGCTGACGCGTGTGAGGATATAGCCCTGGCATCGAGCAACGCCACTGGAAGTTTGAAAGGAAAGCACACGTAAATCATGCATATTTCTGCTCTCATCTTGAATGAGTGAAACCCTGAAGCCTTCGAATGTCTGGGAACTGCCTGTGTCTTGTTGTGGTTAGTCAGCCTATGTGGGGTTTCCTCCTAGGATTGGGGCCAAGGTCGCCTCTTCGGGCCTTGATTCGATACCTAATCCAATCCAGGCTCGGCAAGCCACCTGCATTTCTCTCCTTACACCACTTTGGTAGATGCGTTTTTTTGGATAGAATGCCCAACATGTCCTCAGCAGCCTCTTCCGTTACTTTGGTAAGCAGGCCACGCACGCGGAGAGCTGCTCCCAGAGTAAAGACAGGCTGCAAAACCTGCAAGTATGTCCAGCATTTCTAGACAGTCATCAGCTGCACATGTAGCTGACAAGCCTCGCAGAATTCGTCGGGTGAAATGCGACGAAGAGAAGCCTCATTGCAAACGGTCAGGAGTCTCCCCAAAATGTGTCGCTCCTGCCTGACGAATCAGATGCACAAACACGGGTCGCAAGTGCGATGGCTACCCGATCATCCCAGATGGCAGTCAGACAATCGTATTCTCAGTAACTCGAACGTCTACAGTTCAACGTACTGTCAAGTCTCCCATGGCAGGCGACAAAGACCTTCACTTCCTGGAGTTCTACACCCACTGCGCCGCACCTTCCATGTCCACTGATGGCTTCGACGCAGAGTTCTGGTCCTCGGCGTGTTTACAGATGGCCCAATCCGAGCCTTCAATTCGGCATGCCTTGATAGCCATAGGATACCTCAACAGGTCCCAGACAGGGAGTTTGAAAAGTGCTCGGTCCGGTTTGGTCGCTGCCTCGGGACAGGAGACATTCTTGACACACTACAACAGAGCCATCAAAGCTCTCGCGGAACGCATTTCTGAAGCTTCTTACAGCGCTGAGGTCGGGCTCGTATCCTGCTTCATCTTCGTTGGGATAGAGATTCTGCGCGGGAACTACGACACAGCTATGCTGCACTATTGTAACGGACTCCGCATCCTTCAGACCCTTAGAGCGAAACAAAGGTCAACTCGAGGAAAGACGCTCGGGTCTGACTTGATTGAGAATTCACTCGTTCCTCTATTCCATCGTCTGCTCACCACAGGGATATTGTACGGCGTGCCTACCGAGCTTGCTATGTCTCTCATCCAGAGACCGTCCGATAGCCCACAGCCCGCTTTCCAGTCTATGTTAGAAGCGCAGTCCGCGATGTATGAGCTACGCAACCAAGGCTTATTGTTCATTCGTCACATGGGCGAGAACTTCCGACCGATAACGCCTACTCCCCAACACAAGCTGCTCGACCAACAAGCTTTGCTATTTGCTTTGGATGAATGGTGGATCGCACTGGAAGAGCTTGAGAATAGCAAAGTTCTTTCCAAAGATGACACAATCACAGCACACTCACTAAAGGCCTGCTACTATTCTACCTACATCCTTGGGGCATCGATCACAGATCCTAACCAGTGTGCGTGTGATCGACATTTGCCTCGGTTTAAGTCTCTGGTTGAACACTGTAGACATGTGGTGGAGCACAGTCAGCGCCTAGGAGTTACGTCGCCCGCGGCGAACTTCACGTTCGAGATCACGGTCATCCCATATCTTAACTTCACAGCGTCACGCTGTCGGTGCCCATTCACTAGACGAGAAGCCGTCGCCCTTCTTGAGCGCAACATACCACGCGAGGGTCTCTGGGATGCGCAACAGCAGGCTATGGTATCTCGAAGGCTTATCGAAATCGAGGAGCGCGAAGTCGATCCCATCACTGGGTGGCCGACAGAAAATGCGAGGGTTCTGAGTACGTAAACCATGGGTATGATTGCACAGGCAGAGTTTCGCTTTCTTTGGCCGAGTCAAACAAACATAACCCTCCCTTACCAACGCACGACACTAATTTAGGCGGAATCGCAGGTACTATTGTTCGGGGAAACATGGACGGTAATGGTCGTTTTGCGGTGTACTTCGCAATGGACATTTGGGGCGAGGGTCGTGGCGAAGCACCACTGCCGCCGATTGGCGAACGAGGTAGGATGTGGAAAGAGTGGTTTCAGCTGTGACAGGTGTGTGCAAGACAAACGTATTGCTAGGACTTGCCACCTGCATAGCACCGAGATAGCCATGTCGGTCCCACTTGTCTGACCAGCAAACACTGGACACCGTAGGACTAAAGCTCGCGACCGAATCCACGACGACCTTCACGTCGAAACCCGACGCTTCATGGATCCCACCCGAAAGTTGTTAAAACCTTCACAAGACTGGCGATCATAGCCATCACTGTTCTTAATTCCTTACTGTAAGGATCCAAAGATCTATGGTTCTATCCTAGGCACCATCGAACGGCGCGTATACTACTGCTCAACGCTGCCTCTTGTCAAACTGTTGCAGTTTCGAGCACGTTTGCTAATAGAATATTTTCAAGCCGATACGACTCGCGGAAGACCAATGCTCACCATCCCCTCGTCTCGGCTGAGCAAAGGGAGACGGCTTCACCCCAACGTCAGGGACTCGTCGCCGTCTGTAACGCGCACTGGAAGAAGAAGCATTGAGTCTACCCAGCATGAGTCGAAGCGATCCTCCAATCAAGGCTCGCCACATCCTCTGTCCCCCCGGCCTCATGAAGCCCCCTATCGAGCTCCACGAAAAGATATAGGCGTATGCGATACGAGATGTTCCCAGCCATTTCCCCATCGACAGCAATACTAAAATATCCTAATCTGTCTTTACCCTGTGACACTTCCGTCTTTGACGTTCATCAACCGGGGGCTTAAGACGCAGATCACCCTGACGTGGATACGGAGGACGCGATCCATCCTCGAATGGTCTCATTTACATGATCTGATCCAATTGCTGATGCAATTCACCGACGATTTGCTGTCGGTCCGTATGATAGGCTACCGGTGTGACGACTGGTGCTTCGACCGGTTCGGTTATAACCACGAGACACGCAGCGTCATCGAAGGCTCGGAACTTCTGGAAGGAGTCAAACTTCGCTATAGGCAATCCTATCTGGCTGGTCTATGCTTGGGAATATCAAACACCATTATGACCTCTAATATGCTACAACAGTATACTTCACTGCATAGCTGGTCGCGCGAGCTGAGCATTCCCCTGGCTAAGGACGATAGCCCGGTGACCAAGAACGATATCCGGGTATTTGTTTTTTTTTTCGATGGCGTGCTCGATATGCCATGACTGCGCCATTTAATCATCCAGACAAAAGAAGAGCCCTACACCCAATCGATTGTTCCGAATTGGGAAGACTTTCTCAAAGAGGTTCTGGGAGAGCGTGTCTAAAGCGAAGGCGAAGAAGCTGGATGGGCGCTCCTGGCGGGACGGACTACCGGGACGAGTGGTGCCAAATCAAGTGTAGTGCTGTGTACAACCGTGAGGCGCATCATGACCTGTTGCATGAACATCCAGCTTGGGGGTCAAGTGCACCGCGGCAGGCTTGTGAGGGAGACTGTGGCTTGAGAAGCGTTTGCCAATCTTGGCGGGAATATTCAGGCTGAGACTCTAGTTCACGACAGTTGATAGTGTTCAACTTAATCTCAGCTAGCACATGGAGTCGAGGATACGGTTTGCGAAAGGTGTTATAGTTAACCCGGCTCTGTTCTTTAATGAAGCTCGACCTCATGCCATGCAGCCTTGGGATGGAATTTCAATCAATGAGAACGGATCATACAATAGGTAGTAATAGAATGATATAGTACATGTAAAGATCTATAATAAGCTTATCTCCTCCTTTGTCTATATAGATATAATATTACGCTATGAAAATATAAGACTGTACATGAACTAAAGCATATGTAAATACTTAATAAATTTTATAACTATTGGGATTTTGAATACATATTCATTTGATATTATATATACCCATTATATTACTATAGTAATAAAGCTAGAGTACTAGCTACGTAACTGAATTTGGTTAAATAGTAGTCTTAGCGCACCAATTTGGCCGAAGAAAGTTTTATTCAAAGCGCGTAAGCCCATCTCACAGCGACCTGTGACTTTCCTCAGCTTTAGCCTCAATCGTCTTCTCGTCAAAGTCGGAGCCCTCTTCGCCCGCTGGCAGCTCGATCCCATCGTCGTACACCACCCGCGACACAATGGTCGATGTTGGCGGGAAGAAGTGGCTAAGCGAACAGTATACAACGAATGCAGATGTGAAGCCGTAGAAGTAGAACATGTAGTAGATCTTTTGGGCGTCGCCAATGGACTTTTGCAGAGAAGGGTTCACGGACGCGGCGCTATAGTCCGTTAGCATCAAACAGATAATTGAGAAAACTGGAAAGACGTACAGGCCTGGCAGATTCGGCGTGACGCTGACGAGGAAGGCAACGACAGCACGCCAGTTGGTACCCCATTCGTTGTAGAGATAGATTCCGTGCGAGCGATACAAATCCGGAACATGAATCCGCTGCCGGTGCGTGACCCAGTAGTCTGCGCCGAGAAGCGCGGCGATGGGCGCGAGGAAGCAGCCCAGGCCACTCATGAAGTTCAGCAGCGAGTTGGCGCTGTAGATGATCTTCCACGGCTGCATAATCCAGCCGGCAGTTACAGTTGCAAGCACCGCCCCTCGACGTAGGTTGATGTACTTGGGGCATAGGCACGCCAGGTCGTTGGCGCAACTAATGACGTTGGCGGACAGGTTGGTTCCAATCTGGGCAACGACCCAAGTCAAGCCGACAAAGAATGCGCCGCATCGTCCCGAAGCACCCTCCCAACGCGATGCCAGCTCGAGCGGGTCCCAAATGTACTCGCCGTAGACAACCTTGCTGGATGAGCAGGCGATAATGCCAAAGATTCCTAGGGTTAATTGAATGGCTGGTAGGATAAAGATTTGCCAGTACACGCCTTTGTCGCTCTTTAGGTAGCGGGTGAAGTCGGGAATGTTGGTAGCCATAGTAGCCCTGGGCTGTTAGCATGTCCTTGCATACAAAGAGCCAAACTCACCAAGATCCGGTGTAGCTGGAAACACATGACAGGATGAGCCAGCGGCGAGTAGACCCGCTGACGCCGTAGGGCAGATTCCATATATCACCGGTGCCACCGGCCTTTTGAGTCATGCTGATGACAACGGCGACGGAGGAGACAAGGACTAGGACGGTCTTGAAGACGAACAACCACTTGAGCTTATGCGGTGGAATCATGAGGAAAGGAAACTGGACAGTCCAGAAGATGAAGTGGCTAACCATTTGCTGGGTAGTGAGACCAATATGCTGAGGAATATGGTTGGGGATGTCGAGGTAGGATGGCCAGATTGCCCGGATCATCTGTGTCATCGCGGTGGAACCTGTGTATGTCTGGATGGCATGCCAAAATAGGGCAGTGACGGCCCGAACGATGACTGGGAAGCGCGATGCATAGTATCCCCAGGATGCGCGCATGGCCACTGGGAAGGGCACGTGAAGGCGAGCACCGACGAAGCCATTAAGTACCAGGGGCACACAACATGTGAGGGAGCCGAAGATGGCGCAGACGATGGCCTCGCGCCAGGTCAGGCCGAGGGCCAGGATGGCTGCAGGTTGCATCCATGCCTGCGCATTCAGAGCGTCAGAGAACCAGAAACCAAAGATGGTGAGGGCGGTCCAGGTGCGGCGTTCGACGGGGGTGACATCGCAATCGATGTTAGTCCTGTACGAAAATTAGCTCTGAAGGTGTTCTCATTCAGTGAAGGACCTACCAAGTACCCGGCTCAGCGAAAGAAGACTCCTGACGGGGTAGCACCCAACCGTCGAGCTTCCTCTTGGCCTTAAGGTTGGCCTTGATGGACTCCAGTTTTTTTCGCTGCACAAGACCCATAGTAATGGTTTTGCTACAATGCAAAAGGGCACTGGAACAATCGAAGCAGAGCGAAGACGTTCAATCGAGGCCAGGGCGGGCCCACGGACAGCTGGTGGGGTCTTGTATTCCTCATGTTGATGGACAATGTTGATAAGACAATCGGGCCATCTCCTCGTGGTGACTTACACAACACGACGAGATCTACGAAGTTCGCTATCTTCTCTGGCACTGCCGCCGAACATGTTATCTCAACTCTTGAATGTGCTAAGTTCTCGCTATCTCGACCGAATGCGCCTATCACAGGGCTGAGAGCCTCCGGCGGATTTTTCACTTCCGTCGGAATCGACGTTGATTGGCTGCAGATCCGACGGACGTCGTGGTGGCGGATCGGGCCGAAGAACGTCTGAATGCACCCCAGATGTCAAGGACATGCAATTGCCTTTCCCCGCCGGAGATCATATGGCCGGCGGGATGTTAGAAAAAGAAGATATGCCCCCCATCGCGGTGCTGCGTATCAATGTCGTGGAGTGAAAGTCGCGCAGACACTGTCAACACCATGGCTACAACCGACCAGTACTTCCGGCTGCCTTCGGCGCGTCCTTATGCGTATGAGTTCCCATTCGCGACGACAGCACTCATCATCATCGACATCCAGCGCGACTTTGTCGACCCTGGCGGCTTTGGTAGTGTCCAGTGCGGCAACGATACCGTGTTTTCTAAGGCGCGCTCTATTGTCCCTGCCGTCCAAAAGGTCCTTGATATCTTCCGCTCCGTCAACGGCCATGTCATCCACACACGCGAGGGTCACCAGGCCGACCTGGCCGATCTACCCGCCTCCAAAAAGCTGCGGCAGATCAGCGCGCCGAGCGGTCACCACACGCTCGGCATTGGGGATAATGGCCCGATGGGTCGTCTGCTCGTCCGTGGCGAGTACGGACACGACATCATCGACGAGCTAACTCCATTCCCGGGCGAATCTGTCATAGATAAGCCGGGGAAAGGCAGCTTCTGGGGCACCGGTTTGCATCGCGAGCTGCTGGCCAGGGGTATCACCCACCTCCTGTTTGCTGGCGTGACGACTGAGTGAGTGTCTACCCTCGACATATTTGCTCGTCCGGATCTAATGACGACAGATGCTGCGTGGCCACGACTGTAAGAGAGTGTAATGACCGCGGATTCCAGTGCTGCGTGCTCCAGGACTGCACTGCCGGTTTCGACGCCCAACAGGTCACCACGGCACTGGACACTATTTGCGGCCAGGACGGGCTCTTCGGATTTGTGGGCAGCAGCACCGATTTCCTTGCAGCCACTTCAGGACTGGTGCCAGCCTGTGACATCGGAGGCGTCCCGTTACTTGCTGGCGATAGGTTGCCCAGCATAGGTGCGCTTCTCCACCACTACCGGAAAGGCACTCTAAAGCCCGCGGAGGTCATCCATGCCATTTACGACCGCATCGACCGCTGCAACAGCAGCTCGAACAAGGCCGTATGGATCACCCTCAAGTCACGTGCGCAGACGCTCGCAGCAGCCGAAGAGCTATCCGCAAAGTACGCCAGCAAACCCCTCCCGCCACTTTTCTGCATCCCTTTCTCCGTTAAGGACAACATTGACGTCGCTTGCCTTCCAACTACGAGTGCCCTGCCTAGCTTGTCTGTCATCCCGTGTAGCTCCGCTCCCGCCGTCCAGCATGTGCTCGACGCTGGCGCCCTGGTCATTGGCAAGGTGAACCTCGACCAGCTTGCCACTGGCCTTGCCGGCACGCGCTCTCCATATGGACTCGTCCACTCCGTCTTTTCGAATGAACATCTCAGCGGTGGCTCCTCATCAGGTTCTGCTGTGTCCGTAGCTGCCGGACTGGTTGCCTTCAGCCTTGGTACCGACACTGCGGGAAGTGGACGCGTTCCCGCAGCTCTCAATCACGTCGTCGGTCTCAAACCCACCCTTGGCACCGTCTCCGCCCGCGGCGTAGTACCTGCTGTCCGCTCTCTGGACACTATTTCCGTCATGGCGAATTCGATCGACGACGCGCGGATGGTTTGGCGCACGATCGCCCGGTACGACCCGGACGATGCTTTCGCCAAACCGCCTTCCTCGCTAGCCGTATGGCACTCCGACTTCCGTGGCATTCATGCCGCTGGCTTCACCTTCGCCGTGCCGCCCGTTTCCGCTCTACAGGTCTGCAGCCCGACGTACCGCGCGCAGTTCGATGCCGCTGTATCTGCACTTGAAGCCCGTGGCGGCCGCCGCGTGTCCGACACTGATTTCGATTACACGCCCTTCGAGCGCGCAGGAGCCTTGCTGTACAACGGAGCTCTTCTGTATGAGCGCGTTGACAGCATCGGGGTCGATGTCTTGAGCAAGCACGCCGCAGCACTTCATCCAACGACGCAAAAGGTGCTCCTGCCCACTCTTAATAACCCGCCGTCCGCGTTCACTATTTTCGCAGACCAACTACTACGCCGCACGCTAACCCACGCTGCGCAGCGTACCTTCGATAAGCTTCGCGGCGGCATCGACGTGCTGGTGGTTCCCAGCGTACCGAAACACCCACGAATCGCCGACATGGAGGCCGCACCTCTGGCGCTCAACGCTGAGATGGGAACCTTCACGCACTTTGGGAACGTGCTTGACTTGTGTGGTGTGAGCGTTCCGTTTTCGATGTATGAAGAAGACGGCGTCAAATTGCCCTTCGGAATCACCTTGCTTGGTGGTTCCGGCATGGACGCGCGGGTGTTGGGCATTGCCGAGGCGGTGGAGGGGGGGTTGGGGAGTCGCCAGCCGTGAAACGACGACGCGAACCCCTGAAAGCGAAGTCGCGAGGAGTTAACTACCAAGCGTGCGAGAAACGATCATCGCCATCACATCGCAATGAGGCGTGTGCGTCTGGAGGAAGCCCAGCGTAACACGCTCTAATCCAGAGGCGTGGGGGGATCGGACAATACATATGAACAGTCTCTGCACGAGCTGTTCCAACGCAGATAGAATAAAGCCATGGCTGCTAGTACGGACTGGAGCCCGAAGAAGAGAAGATGGTGCGAACCAAATAGGTCAAATGAAAATGTAGGCATATACTATCCAGGCATGAATGCACATATCCAGTTCTTTGCTTTCTCATCACAATTCGACGAGATCGTTGCATGAACAAAGTCGTTTGATTAATAGTATCGAACATGCTAACATCTAATTTGTAGGAGTGGGCGACGCGACAGCGGTCATGCCTGACCGAGAAGCTCCAGGGGTCGTCGTAATGGCGTGGTAGTCATTCGAACCAAACCTGGCAACACTGAACATATTGTCATCAAGCAGTGTCGTCCTCCCACTGTGCGCAAATGTCCACTCGCAGTCCTCACCAATTCTGTTCTGCGATGCGACTTCTCCCAACGGGAGACCAATTGTAGGCGCATAGCTTGCCTGACAAATAGTCGCCGTGGTCGGAGTGGCCAGTTCCTCTCCATAGTAAGCCTTCGCGTTGGCAGTAAACAGATCTTGAATAGCGAAGTCTGGTTTGTATGAGATGGTGCAGTGCACCGCACCGTGATGATTGGACCTGTGGCACTCCTTGCTCTGGGCCAGGATGGAGTTTGTGGCTTGCGCGAAAGTGAGTTTCGGGAGCTCGCTCGAGATGCTGTAGATTGCGCTGCCAATGCCGTAGGCTACTGAAGAGGATTGACCGGCGTATTTGTAGACCGTAGCATTGTGTAGGATATGGTAGATATACGGGCTTGTGAACGTCAGACCGGATACGACGGCCGTGTTCGGGCGTCCTGGTATAGTAGGCGTGTCAGTCGGATTTGTACCGTTGTTGCAAAATGCTTCCGAGTTAGATTGACTCGGAGTTGGCCAATAATACGCTTCATAGGACTCTGCGTGCATGGAGCATCTTGCTTTCGCAGGTGGGGATGGTTCGATCGTAGGCGGTAAGGAGACAGCACAAGGAGGTGCTGATATCGAGGCCGTTGGATCAATATGTGAGGTCCGCCAGGTGTACGCTTCTGCAAGGCGAGAACATTCAGGGCTTAGATCCTCGGCAACCGTGCAAGTTGGAATAGGTAGTTGCTGAAGCTCAGTAGACCAGGTTGGAGTGAGCCATCCACCTGTCCCAGTCTGGGTGAATTGCAATGTGGACGACGAACTTCGAATGGTTGTGCACTGTTCATAGCAGTCATTCGCACGGGGGTAACCGTCGCAAAGCGTGGTCAGTCCGGGATAGCTTGTGGAGCAACTCACAACAGGCCATTCATAGGTGTTGGTAGTCACAGTTGGCGTGTCATAGTCTGACCATGAGTAAACCGCCCCACTCGCCAGCTGTTGAACAAGGAAGTCACGGGTTACGCCATACGATATGAGCGAGTCCCAACATTCGACAATCGATTTGGGGATGTCCGAAAATTCTGTGGGCAGAGGTATGGCGCTTGCACTGGGGAATGGAGCATGTGTTGGTGGTGGCGTGGTGGGGGGCGTCCAGTCTTCTGTCGAGCTGCTCCTAGGAGCTTCTGTTGTCGCGTCACTCGTTGTAGTCTCTTTAATTCTTCAGCACTGCTATTGATGCGAAGGGGAATGCACGTACGAGCGACGGTCGCCCCCACGAGAGATACAACCGCGAACCAATGAAGTCTTCTCAAAAGATTCGCCATTGTCAGAGTATTTGGCTAATGTGGTATATATAACATTGCTGGGAGAGGAGTTAAAGCCTCTATATAGGTACGTCGATCTGATGTATAAGATCAAGATACGGACAGAGTAAGAAGCATCTCTTGCAACACGAGTTCCCTCATATGTTTAATGTACTACAAAGTGAAGTGGCTGATAATATGATGCAGAGATATAAATTTATCCCCGGATACAGCTTAGCTTGATTGACGCGCATGCCCAAATTGACGCGGAACTGATCAATACGGAATTCTACCCGCTCCGGTCCCAGTAGCTTGTTCTCGAGCTGCATGATCCAATACATCCAAGTCTTGTTGCAGTTTTGGAAGAAACAAATGACTCCAACTGATAATATCTCACCTCGCTTTGTGGCGGAATGACTAGACCATTCCAGAGCTTATGCTGAACTGTTAGATTCCCATCCAAACTGGCGTTTTCCAGGGCCTACGTCATTCCTCAGGTAATTCTAGAAAGTCATCAAAAGAAGTCTTCTCGTGAAGCCGTTTAAAGCGAGCTGAGAGGTAAAATTTCTAGAAGTCTTGCGGTCACCCAAACTTTACAATATAGATGACCTTCCTTCCACATTTTCGGGAACAAGAAAACAAACAGCATCCTTACAATGCTACTTTGTCCAGAACGTGCTGCATTGTGGTAGACTAGGAGGGTGAGCAGGAATTGTAGGTAAAGTTGGCTTCATCTGGTTTGTTATATCTTATCCGCTGACGGCACGATGCGAACCTTGTGTTGGTCTCAATGTTTTCAAGTCCCATGGTTCTCACTAGGGGATAACAGGTCCTGTAATGTTTCCCCATCATTTGATCACATGCCTTACGTATGCACAGTATGACAACAACGATTCAAGTTCTACCTATGATTCGGGGTTTGGCTTCACAAGACTCCCTACCTCGCTTTCTAGTAACTGTAAAGCTTTCCGTGCAAATGGCGCCGCAGACCCACGTATCTGCAACGCCCACTTGAGGTCGTCCACGCGCATAACGCACCATGTCATCTCCTCACCGTCCTCTGCCGTCGCCCAAAGTAACCCTGCAAAGGACCCAATCATACCTACCTGATACGATGCAACACCGCCCCAGAAGGCCGCAGTGTGCTCCGGCCCCAGGGACATGAGCAGGTGGATAGCTGCTTCGAGATTTTTCCTGGCGGCGCTGCGGACCGCAGTATGTAGAGATGGAGGCGCTTGCGGTGTCAGAATTCGTACAAGCGCCCGGTACAATAGCACAACGACAGTATGATATGCGAGGTGGAGCGAGGCACTTGCACACACGGACCGATCGCGCGTCGGGGAAAATGCCAGGACATCTGGGAGCGAAGTTTTCCACTGCGAAAGTCTCCGTAAGATAGGTTGCGCGAGATCAACGGCCGCGAGCACGCCCATCTTGTCCAACGTCCCATCCCGCCTCTGCGCGGTCGCTACGTAGTAAGTCCTGTTTACGTCGTCAAGGATCTGTGAGAGCTCTATATGTGAGAGGAATAGCTGCCAGCCTATATGTGCCGCTACGGCGCCCAGGCCCAAGCCCTCACTTTTGTCGTGCTCCGGGAAGTCCGACGAAGAGCAAGGGCTGAGATCCCAGTCATCTTCGGAAAGTAGCATCGGTCGGCCATGCACAAAAGCAGTCCACCTGTCCTGCATATACAGTGCCCAGCTTAGCCGACGGCGTAGCCCGGCCTCCCACACAGGGATGGACCAGGATTCGCAGTTAACGTGAAGTCCCAGATCGTATGAAATGGCTACAAGCTGAGCGTGGAGTTTCCAGACCGATGATGCCGGCCGCCCTGAGGAGTCGAGCCGACTCCTCTGAAGGAGTAGCAGCCCAGCCTCTAGGGTGCTGAGCTTAGGGCTGTGCATCTCTTCCTGGAGCGCTACGTTGGCCATCCTCTCGAGCAGGGCCACATCCACTGTCTGCTTAGCACTCCAATTCTCCAGCACACTATCGTGGATCTGCCAGTCCAGGGCAAGCAGATATACCGCTGCGAGTAAGGATGGGGCAAACTGTCGGTGCGAGGTCTGGTGTTTTGCAATAAAGACGTCCTTGTGGAGGATAGGGAAACTAGGGTGTACGAATTGAAAGTAAAGACGGACTAGCCTGTGGCCCATCGGTTGCACGGCAGCTTCGATTGCGTCGAGGTCGGAGGTCCTCCGGTCTTCTGATGTGTCGGGATGCACTACAAACAGTGTGCGGTCGTCCATGCGCCGCACAAAGTTGGCACTTGCAGGATGGGGTGACCGCAGATCAAGGAGGATTGGGTCGCGGTAGTCACTCGAACCTATATATTCCGCATTGTTCACAGGATCGAGGCCGAGCGTGTCGTTCAGTATGCTGGGATAGGCCCCCGCAGGACAGGTACTGACGCGCACCTCGTCCTCCTCGTATGAATACGATGTGCGTACGGAGTCAGGCGATTGAGGAGCCGCATCTTCCGCATCCCGTGTTTTAGCAGGCTGTTCGTGTGCTTCGCTGATATGGCCAGCGCGGTCAGGTGGTCTTCGCCGTTGTCGCGGCTTCCGAGCGGGTCCACGTTCAAAGGTACACCTCAACCCGTGGAACGAGCAGAGCACGCAAAGCTCTTCGTTGTTTTTCTTGACGCATCGTGTCTTGCGGAGTCGGCAGGTGTCGCATGCAGCTTGGGAGCGTATTCGTGGATGCATGAGGAAAGTCGCTGCGATAGCGGACGTGTGCATGGTGCAATTGGGCGATTGAGTCCGTGCTCGTCCAGTCGTCCGACGGCTGTGCTGCTGATTGGCCAGACAAACTCCTCCGTCGGAGAACCCTGGTCCTCCGCCGGATCAAAACCGTACTAATCTTCCACAGCCTTAGCTCCAGCTCAGCTTGACTCTTTATGGAGAGTGCGAGGTTTGGCATGGAGCCAGTGATAATATGAAACTGCTCGCTTCATATGTTTTCTTGTCTTGCGCCTTTTCGATTCCTCGAGCTCATCACATCTTCCTAGGCCAGCAAGCAGGACTGAAGCAATTACGGCGCAAATAGCTACTCAGGTAGATTTGGTTGGCACAGAGAGCACCTGGAACCGCGGAGCACAAACATGGGTCTCTCAGACAACAGATGCACTTGTCAGTGCCTTCTCGATGGCCCCGTGAGTCTCCATCCTTGGGCAACCAGAGGAACAGCCTGACCTGATGTGTTCAGGTTGAATACCGCATCGCCTCGAAATCCGATCGATCTGACACAATGGCTATCGCCGTCGTTGGAGCGCATCTCCGTGGTTTTCCTCTCAACAAAGACCTCACATGTCGTGGCGCCCTGTTTCTCCAGCTCACCAAAACTTCTGCAAACTATCGCCTCTTTGCTCTGCAGAACACTGAACCCAGGAAGCCAGGCCTTCGTCGCGCGATTGCAGGCGAAAGTGGACGTCCTATTGAGGTTGAAGTGTGGCGCCTACCCAAAGCTCAGTTCGGCGAGTTCATGGACACGGTCAAATTTCCTTTGGGGATCGGTCAAGTTGAACTGCAAGATCACTCATGGATTCATGGCTTTGTTTGCGAGTACGCCGCGCTGGCTGGTACCTTGGACATTACCGAATTTGGTGGCTGGAGAGCTTACACTAACAACCTGACGTTGCCAGCTTCTTCTGGTGCTTTTCGCACGTGCGACTAGGCAACGAGCCATATAGAGATGATATAGTTTGACTCAATCCGGTCTTTAGATTGTCTCCCTAGAACATCAAACGCGTCCTGAACGCAAGTAGCCTGTTTTCGGCTAGGCTGACAGCACGCTATTTGAAAATCTCTCAGGTGTCATAGGATCCAAGAAGCAAAACTGGCTTGGATGCGTGACCTGCAGTGCCCTTTTCCGCGCACAAACCTCTATAGGCAATCTCATTACAAGAAACAATACCATTTTCGTCTTACTGCAAGGCTTAGCCACAATACAAATGTTACCCTGCCAGGGTGTGGAGCAAGGCAGCAAGGCTGCGCTGCTGTTGCCCCGCCCTTTACGCAGCGAACTTTGACAGCTGAATGGCTTTGCACCTCCACTTTGCACCTCCCATCACTGGGCAACACAGCGCAGAATCATGTCTCGCGCGCATGATGATGTGCTGTACTCATATAGGTACGGTTCATCCCATACGGCTACAGTTCAGCTGTAAAATACTTTTCTAAAATTAGCCACAGCCTTGCTTAGCGATATTACTTGGGGGCCACAGTGGACTTGGCAAGACTCCCTGCAGCCTCATCCCCTTAGGTTTAAACACAAGTCCAGGATGGACAGCTCAATCGCAACAACCGACCTTCTTTGTTCTGTTTTGTTCACGATTTGGTTGTCGTCCATGCTTTCCAGTTGATATACGATTTCAGCTCCATCACATTGCCGAAACGTCTAATGCCATTCATCTAGGCAGTCTTGCACCCTAGTCTATACATCCTCCAGGGCTACAGGGACGTTCACCTCATGACTCTCACATTGCCAACGGGTTCCATCGATAAGGATATTTACAAAGGGTTCTGGATCAACCAGTCACTTGGCACAGTACGTGGCGCTACCCTGACGCTTGACCGCCAAGCTGGGGGTCTCGTCATTGCGTTCCTGGCTTTATTCATCGCTGCCACGGCACGCAGCCTCTGGAAGATCGTACGGTTCCTCGTACATGCTACTAGTTCGACTTGCAATAAGCAGGACGGCGTCTACCACCAACGACAAGCCATCTTGCGTAACCAGCCGTTAGCACTTAATGCTGTGCTAGACTTCTGTCGGCTTGGCTATGCCTGGCGAAATCGAGCCACTGATGCCCCACATCGGATACTGCCGGTTTCCCTGCTAGCTTCTGCGATCGCAGTGGCTTCCATCGCTGCTGGTATGTGCATGGAAGCTGTTCCGATGCTAGTTGGCTGATCTCCTCAGGTCTTTTGTCCTCGAGGATCCTAACTACCTCGAGAGACGAAGTTTTAATAGATGGAAGAAATTGTGGGGTACAGGTCAACGATCTGAACATCCAAGCGTCTACCATCGAGACCATTATGAATCGTCAAAGTCAGAAATGTCTCGAAGATTTTGCATATTCGACGCAATGTTATCGCGAGGGCGATACTTCTCAGAACGAACTATGTGAGACTTTTGCGACTTCGACGTTACCTTTCACATCAGACAGAAATGCTTCTTGTCCATTTGCTGGGGAAATATGTAAATCAGCGACCGGTAACATTCTGCTAGATTCAGGCGTGCTAGACTCTCACTTACACCTCGGTCTCAATCGAGGTCCACGATTCACTCTTCGCCATCAGACGCATTGCGCGCCTTTAAACACAAAGGGCTTTACGGATACGGTCACGACCGCGAAGAGCTCCCAGAGTAGACAGGTCTACCGATATGGGAACAGATACGGACCGAACGGCAATGAGACGTATGTTTTCGCAATTGACATTAAGAACGAAAAGCCGGTCTTTGACGGCATTAATATTGGTAACTATAAAGTCTCGTAAGTCTTTCAAATTTTGAAACTCTTCTAGCATACGTTGACCTGTGAATAGGGTTTTGATGACCGACCAGGAGAGGAAGGTTGAATTCCTCAAAGAACTAAGAAAGCCCAATGCGTTCGTATCATTACTATTTCTTGATGCTACGGAAGTTGTATATGCCGTACGAACAGAAGATCCCTGGTTTTCGGCTACAACGAGGGTCTCGAAGAGCAACTCATCAGCTTCGGGCTCCCATTTTGTTGCTGACGAACCCGTTGGCGTATTGGGCTGCGTGACTGAGAGGTCATATTGCAACCCGGCCCTTCCAGTCAATGTCGGATGCATCGATGGTTTTTCTATCATTGGTGGAGATCCCTTTGACTCCCTCGCAAGAGCCTGGCCAGATACAACTGATCAATCTACGATTCGCGCCTTCATAGCTGCATTGAGCAATCAAGGTGCTGGCCTGTTGGACATCTACTATGCAATACCAAACTCACCGTCGCTTCTATCCCGCAATACGATAATGGGTAACATGCAGACAGCAGCTATACCAAAACATCGATGGCAGGAGGAGCGCGAGCATTTGTACAAAGCTAGTCTTGCTGCTATACAATCTATGATGGTCGACCATGCTAGAGGGTTTGCTCTCGGAAAAAATCTCTACTGCATTGATCAAAAGATATGTCATAGACTCTGTCAAAGTCAGGTTTGTAACCACTCCTACATAGACTATCTAGACTAACATTCATGATTATCAGAAAGTCCGCTCCGCCAAGCACTATTCATTCAACGCTTGGATGCTAGGAGTGATTCTTCTGGTGGGGAGCACGTTAGTGCTCATATCGACGTTCATAGAGGAAATATTCGCCCTTTTCCTGCGATATCCTCGCCTTCGCAGCGAAAAGCTAGTCTACAGCTACGCCGAGTGGCAAGCTGGATCCACATTACAGCTGCAACGCCTAGCACATGAGAACCTCGGCACTGGAAATTGGACACGAACGAACGAAGCGATACCAGTCACAGAGCCTGGAGACACTCTAGCCATACTGGACGTTACTGACGCGAAACATGCACGCATGGTAGTACCATCCACTGAACTTGATGTTTTTGGCCTGGCGGAAGGGTCTTTGGCTCATGCCAAGCGACCTGCACGGTATTCACGTCTCCCGAGTACGGAAGTCATCTAAGTCTCTCTATTTCCTATTCTACTTCTTCAGCAATGGTAAAATGTTAACTTTTATCAAACGCCCAACGAAACTGCCGCAATACATTTCCCTGCGACCTGCCCATGTGGTTTCTCCCAAATCATTCCAATGGCCAACAGCTGCAAGTGTATTCATTCTCAAGAATCTTGACAGCGGCATACCAGACATTCACAGGCAGGGTGTTCATCGAGCTGGTGTTTTCCAAAATAAGTTGCAACTCCTCAAATGGAACGACAGACACAAGATGCTGTCGGAACCTAGAATATAGTTCTCCATATCCGCTACAGTACTCGCTGGTCCGAATACAGTGTCTAGAATGCGAAACTAGGGTCAGGATTCGCTCTACACAGGCGGGCATCCGAGGGGGAATGGTTGGCACTGGTGTAGCAACACAACACCGAGAGCTAAGTGCGCATCAAGCGGTCTCACTTCCATCGAGCATTGTTTCAGGATCAGGTGCAAATAGCAATTGAACGATAAGAGATGGACATGTTTCTGGAAGGTAGAGGGGGTAGACAAATAATCTTGTGAGAATGCGTATCTTCTGCCAGCCCTTTGCGAGAATGATCTTAATGCTGAATCGGCTCAATTCTACATACTCCACAGTGTTAGAGTCGAGGTCAGCGTTCAAGTGGAACTTTAGCCAGTCTGCTGACATGCCTTATGCTCGTAACGATATTGATGTTCTTCGAAAGCCCGGAGCCCAACGAGCGTAATGGTATTGACAGCAACGCGTCAAACGGGAGCGTTATGACTGAGTTGGATGAAATCAGAACGGCGTGTCTTTAGCGGTGGTCAACATCACACTTGAATGAATGATCAGACTAGCTGCATGAATGCATTGTTACGAGGCTCACTAACACTCTTGAGATCTGATCCCTTCTTCATCTTGGCTAAGAATGGGAATCAGGTCCAGGACAGTGCATACTACCTTTCGCGAAGTCTCAGAGCCTGTCAGGTCCTCAGGGCGGCGTATAAATGCGCATTCTGGAAAGGAATCGCCAAGTATGATTCTTCCGAAGCTGCAGTATTTGCCCTTGTGACATCGCGCTGATCAGGTCCAATGATGACTGAGCCCGGTGTCGCTCTCTGTACCCCACCGATTGGCAGTAGTCTGCCTAGGAACGCTTTGACCGGACGCATCGACCTAGCGTCTGTCTTCCCGTCGTACACAACATTCGGCGTGGCGCCTTCATCATCGCGATTTTCGGCCCTGTCACCAATCATTGGCGACTCGTCAGTACCGCCACAGTATTGGCGTGCCGCGGTTGCGGTAAGTATATATTTCATTATATTAAGGATGAAGTCCCACCAATTTTACTATCTTCACATTGGATTGTATGCGTTGCACTATGCCTGCCCGGGTTCATGGCTGGTCAATACGTCTACCAAAGTTGCTGATGGAGCAATCCAACTTTGCCATCTTAACTACCATTACGGTTTCCTCGCCAGTGCTCTAGCATTTATAGCACTGTACTGGGCGTTCCCTTCAGCCAAGGTTGACGAATTTGTGACCCAGGAATAAAGCTTAAGAGAATTACAAAGATAATTCGAAGACCGTGGGGAAATGGTCGCACCGGGACTGTCGATTGTTCTGGGGGTGACAACGCCGCGTGACCTTGGAAATTGAAAGGATTACACTATACTTGAAACATCATCCTGCATAATCTCATTGTTTGTTCTAGGGACCTGACTTGTTTCGGAGGTGAAGGGTCATAGTGAACAATACAAGGTCTTCACTGACATTGCTATGGTAGTCGATGGAGGCCGGGCTGAACAGAGCCTACTCGACCACCTTGAGGAACATCATTTCCTGGCTCGGCGGCGCCGCTGCAGTAATATGGTCCTTGACCTTTTTCCAGTAATCTTCCTGGATGAACCCGTCAGGAAGGTGTATGTCGAATTCATCCACTATTCTTGCAATAACGCTCCTCATTTCCATGTATGCAAGTCGTTTGCCAACGCAGTCGTACGGTCCTGTGCTAAAGGGAATGAAAGCATCCTTGTTGATCACGAGATCCGGACGTGTCGTCCACCGCTCAGGTATAAACTCGTCTGGATCAAGAAAGTTGCGAGGATCCCGGTTGATGACGAAAGGTTGGATCTGCACAATAGTGTTGCCGGGAATGAAGGTTGAGCCTATCCGCACACCCTCAGGTGGGGTCACACGCTGGCCCAGGAAAAACAGAGACGGCCACAGTCGTAGTGACTCATGGACCACGGCATCTAGAAGTGGAAGCGCTCGTTGGCAAGAGTATGTAGCTTTGCTCTCGCGATACTCTTTTCGGACTGAGCGCATTACAGAGGGATGGGTCGCAAGTTGTACAAGTATAAAAGTCAGAGCTGTTGCCGTCGTTTCGCTGCCTGCACTGATAATGAGACGCGACTCTCCATACAGCAGTTCCTTTCCTTCAGGGGTCTGTGGGGTGTTTTGGATGAGATGCTCTACGAGGTCGGACCTCGTCGACTTCAGCTATCTGGCGTAAGCGTCAAAGGAAAGAGACCTAGCGTACACAGAACTTACTGCTAGGCGCTCGTTCATGTTCAGCACACTCCAATCTCTCCATGCTTTCAAAGGTCCAGCAACCGACGTGAGAACACTAATTGCATTCATGAACCTGTAACGAACAGTCAGTCATGATCGGAGCAAAAGGAAAGGACCCGCCATTATATCTGAGCTGATCGTCTAATAACAATGTTATCTTACTTACCAGGGTATATGGTATATCAATCCCATAGCATCCAAACCATCTGATAACGTCTTCAGAATACTCTCTGCCACATCGCTCTGTTCGCCTTTGATGAAACCCATCGGCTTTCCGAAAGCCAGATCGCTCATGACATCGTAGCTGTAGTGAGAACAGCACTTGAGCAGCTGCACAGGCTCGCCGTTTGCGTTGCGCAGCCGAGTGACAAACTGATCAGTAAACTCTTCAATACGCGGGGCATAATGAGAGAGGGCTAAGTACGTCAGCGTTTTCAGCGCACAATGGAAATCCTTGAACAGCTAGATTACGTACAACTTTTCATTGCGTTATCCCAAACCCGGCGGCGTTGCTTGTGGAACGTTTGATTGCGGGTCATGTGAAGGGTGTCCTCCATGATATCATAGAAAGGACCTTTGGGAGACTTTGACGAAAGGCCAAGTATGGGTGCTATTGCCGCTGGGTCGTAGATGGAGATCTCTCGTGGTCCTGTTTTCATCCAGCACTATTCAAGTATTCAAAGATTCAACTTCGCACAGGAAATGAACATACCTGTCCTTACGTAGTCCCCATACTTTTCATGCATCGCTTGATGCACGCGATGCATATGCCACTGCGTGGTCCACGTCTTCTTCGTTGTCCACCATTTCGTTAACTTTGCCCCGAATGGCCCTGGGAACCTTTTGAGTGGGTGCCAAAGTGCGCGATACAACAGTGTCCAGATTGACAGAGAACTCCAAAAACCGACCGATAAACAGAACGCATCGCTGAATCCAATGCATTGAACAAGGATCCAAAATCCAGCAGTGTAGATCGCAATTCCGTGGAGCACGAGATGGTCAACCTCCACGCGACGCAAAACGAGTTCATGTAAAGCAATGGCCAACAACAGCGGCTGGAGTAGCACGGCCATGGTGAGGGGAGCCATGGTAAAAGTCGCGAAACGTGGAGCCGGACGAGACCACTAGATACATATCCCAGCCTAGTGAGCTGCTGCTCGCTTGTCATTAGTATGATACAGGTGCAGAAATATTATCAAGCCTTGCAAGCATGTCCCATTGCCTCGGGCGACGTTGCGGGACGCATCTTCCGCGCGTTCCTGTACAGAAGCGGTAGGTAATTCATTCCCTGCACGGCGTATGTGGTCTGATGCCAGCTTTTCCAATGTTTGCAGTGACAGCACGCATGTGGCACAGTGCATCCTATATAGGCGAGCGGCCAATGGGATTGCCTAGCGCTTGACGCGACACAGATCTACACCTGATGTGGGACTTGACACTGCGGCCACCATTTCCTTCTTCTGTCAGGCTTAATTAATCCTTCGCACCGTGCGCCGCTCTTGGTTTCAGTCCTGTGTTCTCCTTGATGTTCATGATGAGTTGTCGCCTTCCTCTGAATGCTCAACCTCCATAGCAGTATAGCCACGACCTGCCGCGTACCTCATTCAGAAGTCTCTATGCTATTGCAATGCAGGGCGTTGTTCCTCCACCCCTCGGTGTTTCCCAAGCACTTGGTATTGAGAGAACTGAGTTACAAAAGCAGTGAGCACATGTCTTTCTCATCGCATACACTTAAGAATGCTAATCTTTCCGTGATACATGTAGAAGCATCGTGGCGTATACAACACTGACAACGGTCGCAACAATATTTGTATTCTTGAGGCTGTACACACGCCTCTATTTAAGAGCAAGTCTAGGATGGGATGATGCGCTGGTTTTGCTAAGCTGGATCGGATGCGTCGCATGGATTGCAATTTGCATGAGTGGTAAGTTTCGGCGCGTTTGGCCAGTAGTACAGTACTGATCAGTCGCAGCATTGCAATATGGATTTGGTGAACATATGTGGAACGTTACACCGCTCCAATTTGCACAGTATCTGCAGCTCCTTATTGGTATTAGCATCGTCTACGTTTGGACGCCCGCACTGTCGAAATTGTCGCTACTTGCTTTGTACCACCGTATCCTACCAGACATTCGGAGTCGAGTGGGTGTATACACACTCTTTGTTCTTATCCTCGGATACAACCTTGGTATTACGATCACCATTGTGGGACCTTGCAACCTACTCAAGCACAGCGATCCTACTTGTCTGATGAATGCAAACCTAGTAATGGCTATATGTAGGCGTCGTAGACGTTCGAAAGGCAGTTGTTAGACTAATCAATATACAGTAAACATTATGACGGATGTCTGTATCATCGTCATGCCAACTCAGATACTTTACAGGCTGCAGATGGATCGGAAGCAGAAGTGGTTCATCGGTATCATTTTCTTCGTTGCATCAGGGTCAGTAATTGCTGAACGTCGCTTCCTTCGCATACTCATTATGCACTCAGGGTGATCATCATTTCCATCGTCCGCATCATCTATGTGTACAAGTACGTCGGCGAGGTTGACGTCACTTACTATCAAGCAGCCGCCGCGCTGTTTTCTACCGCTGAGCTCAATGTCGGCATCATTTGCACCTCCATGGTTGGATTGAAGCCCTTTATTGATGCATGCCGGGCCTTCATTTATGAGTGGTGGAAGACCATAAAGGACTCTAGAGTCAGTGAGAAACCCTTGATTGATGACGGACGGACCGGCCTTGACGTACATGATGCTGCGAGCTGTGATGAAGAAACCAGTAGGCTGGGCGCCAAGCATCAATGTTCTACGCGGTGAATGCAGAGAACATGTATCCACAAACGTAGACCCACAGATGAACCATGTATCCTCTTAGCTAGTTCACTAGCGAATCTTTATTTTAACTTGACAGCCTAGGCCTACGCTGGTCATCGGGAAAAGACGCAAAAAATTAGTGAGCGAACCTCCAGTGTACTGTGGCAGATGCTGCCGGTCCCGCGAACTTCCAAGCGAAGAATATCTCTCCATCAGCGCTTGAGAAAATCAGTAGTCTGGACAAATAAGAAATCATCCGGAGCATGACTGGTCACAGCAGGAGGCGAATGTTTTCGTTCCGACACACTCCAAGTTGTTGGGACGCCCGATGAAATTTATCCAGAAGGGGAAGGCTGATTTCACTTCACCTGGACCTGGTATAATATGAAGAGATATATGAGAAAGTTTTCACGCAGTATCAGTTGGGATTGAGCATCTGTCTATCCACGTCAGTGGACGACGAAAGGGGTGGCCGTGTTAGATTGACCTACGGCGAGTCCAGAAGTTCTCCAAGTCGTCGTCGTTTGAAGCTGACAAAAATTCTGTGAATGGCTTGAACGCAGCTAGGGCAGCTGCTAACCAGCCCCGCAGGCTTGATGAATGGTTTTTTTCGCGTCACTTGTTGCTGGAGACATCAGGTCTCGGTACCGCAGCGCGTGACTGACATAGAAGAATAGGTGAAGCGGAGCTATTTCAGCTAGCAATGCAACTCTTGCGGTAAAGTGCTTGAGCGGACCGTTCCAATGAATTCCAGATGGCCCACGCTGTTCAAAACCAGATAAAGATGGAATTTCGTAGTTCCCGTCTCTTCTGTCCATCTCGAGGTTTACCGTAAGTCTGAGGGAGTAGTTTTGCCTGACTGTTGATCGGGGTTGGCCTGACTATTCGATGGTTAGAACATGGGGAAGGCAAAGGCTAGACCTGTGTAGGATGAAGGATATGAACTTACAAAGCGCACTCGAGATTGTCGTGGAGATGACGACTGAGCTTGATTGCCTCTAAGACTCTTAGCCCTTCGGCAAGCCTGGATCGCGATACTACTGAACGAAACTGATCTGCAAAATCACTAGAAACTTGTTCATCTGATTTATGTCACGCATGTCGAGAGGTTGGGTGTCGAACGAGGTAAAGTGGGTGTGCAATGCATTGCCATGGCAAGCAGACCAACATTTAGCCATGTAGGTTGCCCAGCACAATTATCTTCTCAAGCTTTTCTCCTATGCCGCAATATTCACTCCGTAGGGTCGCCGTGGAGACCGATCATTCAGGCGCATGCTATTCCTTGTGCTGCGTTTCAGCGCTGTCAATGTCTGGAGGCCTGCAACGAAGAAGCCGAAGACATGCTTGATGTTTAAGCAAATTTGGAGCCTCAAGTTCGTGAAGGGGAGCAGTATGAGCATTGCCTACCAGCTCGTGCTGCTGGACCGGACGTACTACAACAAAGCCGCGGTATGCAGAATATTGAAAGCAATCGAATTTATTTGATATGGAGTGCAAATCGCCGGGCTGTGTATGGTACTCGATGCTCCCGTTTATACGAAAATAGTGAAGCTCAGTAGTATGCAAGCTCGACATGCAACGTTTCCGTCGAAATAAAACAGCGACTACAACTAGGCCTCAGAACTGTTGAAAGGCACTTCTGGCGTCCGGAAGGTGCCCCGGTGTACAGGAAATGGCGCACCTGCCTTCTATAGGTGACTCCACGCAGCTGATCCGCTCCATCTCTCTTACACCACTGGGTTACTACGTCAGGAACTACACCGGAAGCTGACGCAAGACTTGATATTCTCGGCACGCTCAACAACCTCATATCGTGTTCCTCAGCCCAGAAGATCATCGCCAATACCCGCTTTGTCGAAACAGCCACTAGCGAGCTTGCTTTGCTTGATAATCATGCCTGACGACACGCTTTATACTTTTCCCCTTACCAATCATCCGCATCGTCGAGCTCGACTCTGCTCCTATTCTTGCATGTTATTGGGGTCGCAAGGAAGACAGAGAGATCAATGTCTTGGTTGCTCGCGGGGTGTTCTTCGTCCATTCTCTTCCTACCCTTGCGGATTCTCACGACGGCCTGCTCCGTCTCTCTTCCCATCTCTACGACAGCCCTTTCCACCACCAATGCCTTCAGCTTCGCTGCGGTCTCGTTACGCCCATACGACTCCGCAGCAGCAATCGGTACCGCACATCCCGACTTTGCATAGAACTCTACGTCGTCGAGGGGGACCCCAAACTGCGCGAGGGCGGAGACTAGTGTGGTGTTTCCTGTCTGCGCGGCGATAATCATCAGGTGCGCGGCGCCGAAGCCGGTATGTTCTTCCACGGCGAGCAGGGCTTCGAGATTGACTGCTTTGTGCTCGAGGAGGAAAACGGCATGGTGGAGCGCGGTGGTCGCATCAGTAAGTGTCGGAGTGGAAACTGCAGGCCACGGCGCGACGGAGGCGAGGAGCTTAAATGCTCGCACTGCAGAGAGGCGCACGCCATGATCGAGGAGGACGCGCAGTGCGTCCACTGTGCCCGTCCTCACGGCTTGAACTAACACATCCTCCAGCGGAACGCAGGTCTTCAACTCCTTCGTCTTCTCGAGGAGCATCCGCAGAACGGCGGGTTCGTCCGCCTTACACGCCGCAACCAGCAAGTGGCGTAAACTAGGCCCCGTCCACGCCCTTGTCTTCGCGAAAGCCCCCGCCTCAATCAGCAGGAGGAGAAGCTTCTGCATGCCCTTCTTGCACGCTTCGGAGACTGCTTTGCGCAGGTAGAAGCTCATACTCCCGTGGCCGAAGGCATGTTCCTGCGTCCGCAGCAGCGCGATAGCGACGTCTTCCTTCTCGAGCTCAACTGCAACTGCGATGGCATCTGTGACATCGCGTATCGACGCGCAGAGCACATCAACCACTTTCTTCTGGCTGGTGAGTACGGCGAGGAGCCACGGCGCGTGGCGCGCGCGGACAACGTCTTTCAGCCATACTGCGTGCTCGAACGCCGCGCCGTGCAAGAGCAACCGGCGGACGAGATCCGCATCGTCGGCGATGATCGCGGCGTGTACGGGGAACCCGAAAAAATCGCTATGCATACGGTTGAGGTCGGGGTTCTCGCGCAGCAGCTCTACAATCACGGGCAGCTCCTTCAGATGCGTGGCCGCAACAAGGAGATGCTCTTTGAAATCCCGCCGCGAGACATCGCCCACCTTTTTGCTGACGAGCAGGTGCAGCGACGCCTTGCGGCACAGCGTTGTCACCATGTGCGCTCGGCGCTCGGCGGTCTGCGGGCGGAGCCAGATGATAGCGTCGACGACTCCATCGACCAGCGCAGGGAGGTGGTCGTTCCAGGGGGCGATATCGGCATAGGGGCGGAAGAGTATGTAGCGCGCGATGAAGTCTGCATATTCAGGATGGAGGTCGAAGGCGGAGGAGGGGCGCGAGGCGTTGGTGGTGAGGAACTGCACTTCCTCCAGGATGAGGAAGACTTCGAACTCAAAGATGGCTGACCACGTGTGGTCAGCACAAGTCTTCTATGGGTGTACGAGACTTACTGTTCACACGGGCGAGACTGATGACATCGGTGTTGACCAATAACGGGCATCCTCGCCCTAATCTCTGGTAACTAGGGTGAGCGGGCCCGAGCACGACGTCCCTGATGATGGGGCGGAGGAGCTCGATGGGAAGCTCGAGGAGGCCCATTTGATCGATTCGATTGGCGTTTACGATAGGATGGGCTGGGCTGGGTCCGACGGGTCGCCAGTGTTATGTTCATGGCTGCCTGGCGTGAGGAGGCCAGGCACACCACAATCGCAGTCACTGACGCGTAAGATGGAACGTCAGCGCGGAGTGACTGTGTTTGTTTTCGAAAAGACATGACGATGTAGTTGGAATGTTCCAGGCGGGGAATCAAGAATATTGCTTGGGGGACCTGGGCACCTAGGGACAAGGGAAGGTCAGCAGCACGTGATTTGGCAACTCCCCTCCTTCAGCCTACTCAACTGACGAGCAAAACAGCACCACGGGAGACACAACAGTTGGAGATATACGATGGATAAGAGAACTTGAGCTTTTGATATGGTGACAGCGCACGATTGTGCAATACGACTATACTACTTTGATAAGATGACTGGAAAACGCCGTCCTCGCGCTGAAGCGAACAGATGGATGGATGGATAGACGAAAAAAAAAGAACGATCCCACGCTATGCTATGCAGTGAAAATGGCAATGCCTAGAGGCAAAAGGGGAAGGGGGCAGTCTAGGGGTATAATGCATCTTGCAAGCCCGCAGACTTCCAAGGTCACAAGTTCGCGCGCTCGCACCTAGTGCTCCTGCTGCTGCCCGTGCTGCAGCTGGACCGACTTCTCGTTGTCCTCGTCCTGGTCCCTTGCGACATGGAAGCTAGCGCGGATGCGCATCTCGGCCTTGGTCTTGGTCATCAGCGCGTCGCGGATATCCTTTTTGGTGCGACCCATCCAGGAATCGAAGCTCTTCTCGCTGAGGGGGCCGAGCGGCTTGTTCAGCGGGCTCCTGAAAAACTCTGCGACGTGCGGGCGGGGGTTGCTCATGATGTAGTCGATGTCGGCCTCGAGTTCGCGGCAGAAGGCATCGAGGGGTAGGTCGTTGACGTCCTCGCCGAAGGGGTTCTCGATCTCGCGGCCGATGGCGGCGATGCCGAGGATGATGTAGGCAGCGAAGATGGAGCCCGGGATCGTGACCCAGCGCAGGTCGTCCCACATCTGGAATGGCAGCATCAGGACGTAGACCCAGGTGATCTGGGAGATGGCGATGGAGTAGGCGATGGGGAGGGGGGTGTTGAGGACACGGTCGACGCCGACGAGGACGTCGTTGAAGGCGACAATGGAGGTGACTGCTGGGGTGTTAGCGAGCCAATTCGCTGTCTTGGTGAGCTTGTAAGGAAAGAGACGCACTCAGCTGGTTGTGGTACAGGCCGTTCTTGAGCGTCTCGTTCTGATTGACGTATTCGACGTAGGAGGACATGTGGGAGAGGATTTCGAGGGGCAGGTTGCCGAGCGGCCTCTTGGAGCGCTTGATGCGCTTGCGGGGGTTGGACTCGGCGAAGGTGACGCCCAGGGACTCGCCGACGGCTTTGATCTTGCCCGATTTCTTGGGCTTGGGAATCTCGGCTTCGGCGGCTTTGGCGAAGGTTTCGAGGTACTCGACGCGCGACTTGAGGTCGGGGTAATCGATGCCGGGCTCGAAGCGGAGCTTGTGGAGGAGCGAGCGGGAGAAGGCGACGACGAGGTTGAGTGCGGAGCTGCGAGATTGTCAGACACTTTCTTGAAATGGGCATCTGGAGAGGCTACATTTTGGCAAGCAGATCCTCCTTGCCGAGCTCGCCGTCGCGCTCGGCAACATGGACCCAAACAGTTCTCGAGAAATTCTGGCCCACGAGCAGGAGCTGCGACCAGTACTTGCGGCCCTCGGTGTAGCGCTCGTACGCGGATGACGTGCGGAACGAGATGGCCATACCGACCACGAAACCCAGCACCGTCAGCAGCAAGCTGCTGACCTTGAGCTGGTACACGAATTCACACAGACACGTGATGAGCGTGGACCAGAGGGCAACGACGATCAATGGGAGGATCATCTTGGGGAGCACGGAGCCGTGCATGCGCATGAAGAAGGGCCATTTTGAGTGCTTGGCCATGTCGCGGGGACCGACCTGTTCAGTGGGTTAGCCATTGATGGTCCGCAGATCCATTGCCAGGTACGCACAAAGTAGTCCTCGGCGTCTAGCGAGGCGGCCGTGTGCTGCCGCGAGGGCGGCTGGTACGTCGCCGTCCTGTGCCTCCACGAACGCGGCGACATGGGAACATCATTGCTGCCGCGCGAGGTCGGGATCTCAATGGTGCCCGGCTTCAGCGTCTTGCTGCCTTCGGTCGACATGGAAGAAGCCATGGCGGCGATTGCGCTGGTCTAGCGTGTGGGGAACTGTCCAGCAGTCGCGGTGTATGTAGTCTCAGTAAGGCGTCTGGACGTGCTCGCCAGTGTATGGGATGCGGAGCAGAAAAGTGGACTGTGTAAGAAAGGGCCGGAAGAGACGGCAAAAGAGCGATTGAAGAAGAAGATCGGGGAGCAGCGCCAGATATACTAAAAGACAGGCCTTTTTGTCCCAGGGAAAAAGATTCGCCCCGGGCTGCGCGTACTCGCTGGTGCGACCCCGTGGTGTCAGACGTGCACAGTGTCCCCCAGCGGCCCCTGCGTCGCCACCCCTGGAGCCCAGCGCAGGCGGGCCAATGGGCGCGCCGCCGCCCGCCGTGGCAGGCAAGGGGCTGTGACGCGGAGACTTGTTTCATCAAACAAGCCCGCTGGCTTGCGACATGCGCGCGAGCGTTGTGCAGCCTCCACTGGCGGCCGTCAGCCTCGCTGCGGGAGGCGCTTTTTTTAGCCCCGAGCGTGCGCCCACTGCCCTCTTCGGTGCAGAGCAGCACCACCTGCGCAGACTCTGCGCTGCGTGGCCGCCGCGTTGGGGGGGCCGCGCAACGAAGCCTGCCGCAGACGCTCGCTCGAGTGGAGTGCGCGGTGGAGCCCGCAGTCGATCTCGCGGTCTGGACAAGTGCGTACCCAAGAATCGAGGTTCCAAGACCGCGTCGGAGCGACAGGACGACGTGTGCGCATCGGCCCGCCGCGGCGGCGACGTTACCCCTGAGGGCCGCATGCCATGGATGGGACGCGGCACGCAGCGAACGGCGTCGCCCTTCATCAAAAGGGCCAAGGCCTCCGCTGGCGGGTCGCCCGTCGGACACTCGCTCTGATTGACGGCGACACCACCAGTTGAGCGCTCTTCATGCCTGCGGCCGTCGTCTCACCGCCATCGCAGCGATCAGAGCAGCTCTCCACCGCCGGCATTCTAGACGTCGTCGCAGCCAGAGCCACGCCGAGGGCAACGGCGAGGCCATCAACCGCTTCGGGGACCAAGGTGCTGACTGTTACGCTCGCTAGCCGGATGCGCACCCTCGGGCGAGAGCCCTTTTTCCCGTTCGGATCGTGGGCTTGTCTGACGAGAGAACAACTGCATTCTAATGCATGTACCGGTGAAGAGGCAGGGCTGTGCGGGATGCGCTTTTTCCATTCACCGACCCATGGACGCAGCACGGCAAACATAGTCGCTCACTCGCATTGCACGCAGGCATTTGCCAAAGCGAGAACGTGTCGCTAACGCTGCCGAGTCGAGGGCTGCTAACCATTCCCATGGCGATGGCATTTGCATGGCTGGCGACATGGCTTTCCGTGGCCATGGCGCCGTCGTAAGTCGGTGCGACGACCACCCCACAAAACCCTCCCCAACGGCTGCCAGACGGTCCGGTTCAGTGCGACCACCCCACCGAAAATTCCCTGGTTTCTCCACAGTACTGTGGATTCGTTGGTTGTCTAGAACTCGGTGGGACATCTAGGCTTCCCCACGAGGTCTGTGATTCAGTTTGACCTTCACAGCAAGCCACGCTCAATACCAACGTCCCATGACCCAACTGTCCAGGGTGTTGCATGGCCCAATGCCTAAGAGCGGTGCGCCATCTGCCGCCACCCAGGCCAACCCAGTTTCAGACAATGCACCAGAGTGCAGACCTGTCCGGCCCCCACCTCGACGCTTCGATCCACTTCCCACCACCAACGCATCACTACTTTATCTCACGCCATCTACCACCAACACCCCAATGCTGCACGCGACCCACTGACACCTCACCACGGACCCCTCTCCGCAATCCTCCTCCTCTCTCTCTGCCCCCGTTCCAACACCCCCCTCAACTCCCTAACCCTCCACGTCTTCCCATCCACACAAACCCTCACCCACCCAATCCTCTCCAGCAAGCCACCATACAGAATCCCCTTGAACTCATCACCCGCCCAAATCTTTCCCCACACACCAACCAGCTCCCGCGCCACAGTCCGCGGATGCACAGTCCCCTCGCCGTCGCCATCGAGCGGGAAGTCCTCGTCCAGCAGCGTCGCCGGCGCGCCGTCCACCGGGGGCGGCGGCGGCACGACGTTGAGCACGAGTTCGCCGATGTAGGTAACGCTGGCAGAAGGTCGTTCGTGGTCTGCAGCGAGCTCCGGCCCGTGATAGAGGAGCCGCTTGAGCGCCGCGCAGACAGCCCAGCCGGTGCGGCCCGCGGGACTGCTGGTGCGGCGGTACTTGTCTTTGCGGTTGCCTGCGAGGCGGACGTCGATCCAGAGGCGGGGGATGCGCGTTGTCGACGTTTGGGGAGGGGACACGATACCCCATGGGAGTAGAGAACCCAGGAAGAGGGCCGTGTAGGTGCGAAGCCACGGCGGGAGCACGGAACGGCTTTGCGCCGGCGGGAGGGACGTGGAAACGGTCGGGATGGATACGAGGGTGAAGTAGTGCCAACTTTCCTCCACCGCCAGACAATCCAACCTCACCCAAACCCCCTCCTTCCTCCCCAGCCTTTCCCGCGCCTCTTCCATCTCTTGGTTCACCTGCCTGTTGCACGCGATGAACCCCGCGCAGGTGGAAGGGATAGGCGCCAATGAGTACGCACACCCAAACTCCCCACGCAGTGTGCTCGGCGCGTCGTAGATTTTGCGGAAGGTCCGGGATGGGCTGGGGTTGTAGGCCATGAATTTCTCGTCTGGGATGGCGGGAATGGGGGCAGTGGAGAGGAGGAGCTGGTCGTAGATTGCGTCGCGGAGTTCGCGGGGGAGAGAGAGGAGGTGCTGCGGCATCGCCTTACTTTCCATCTTTCAGGACCGGATGTTGCGTAGAAAAGTAGTCGTCCCTGGGTAATGGAGTGTAGTGCCCGATCGGGAAAGGCGGCACGCTCCGTTCGCGGTCGGGTGGTTCCTTCTCTCTGGTACCTTCGCCCGATGCGAACCCGCGATCTCGCGCCCCAGATCTCAATGACGGATCCGTGCTTGCCTTGCCTTGCCCTGCCTCGCCGTAGCTTCAGATTCTGCAGTCGTCGAAAGATGGTAAGCGTTTCAGCTGCACAGCGTTGTCGGAGCCGGGTTTCGCCTCGACCTCGGCAACCCCTACCCAGCTGCACACATAAGCCCCGGCAATGTCAAAGAAGTGAAAGTCGATGCAGGAGGGATACAAATCTCCTCAGTGAGATGCGGAAGGGAAGCCAGGTTCGAGGGCATTAAAGTATGCACGTTTGCTTTGTATGCGTCACGTCACGCGCGCAGCATACTCGCCGGCGCGACTCGGCTCGCCCGTCTCGGACCTGCGTCATTGTCCCGTTCCGAAAACATGACTGCGCCGCTCGTCTTGCACTACCATTTCTCACTGCTTCTGCTCTGCGTATGGGCGGTGAGCGCGTACTTAAATACAATCAACGCCGCAGAAGCAACCCTCGCTAGCCCTGGGATAGATAGTATTGTGTGCTTTTTCCGAGCATGTCCGAAACGACTGGTTGCCTTGGGGTTTTGCAGCACAGGCAGAGGGTCGCTGGGTGTGAAATGAGAGGAGATGCTGTGCGAAGTTATTCGCAATGTAAAGTGAGGAGTAAAAGTGGTGGATTCTTCAGGTGGGCGAGGTGCCTATATGGGGCAGTTGTGTTACCTGCCAGCTGGATTCAGGGCAACTTCCGCTTCCAGATGATATAGCAAGACAATGTGTGAGTGGGCAATGACGCAGTCTGTTTACTTCGTGATATGAGTAGTAGTACACCAAAGTGGTGAGTTCGTGTACATGAATACGATACCGCTGGCATCATAGCTGCACCATCATTTCTGAGAAGCCAATCTTCGTTCTCAAGCAAGCATTACATCCATCAGACTGTCCTCTGGTTACATATTTGTCTCCTCCGTCAGAAGGCCGACTCGCAGTGGCCCGCCTTCCCTCCGCTCTCCACCATGCCTACACACTCTCCTGTCTCGCCTTCTTATCGCTCGCACCCTTGATGAATCCCGAAAGGTCGCCCACTATCCCCGGGTCAGCTCAGCATTCACCCCTCATCTCCATGACTGTTGACTTACCTGGGAGCTCGAACGGGAAGTCTAGACTAGCTAGCATAATCGCGATGAAGATCCACCACCCAAACAACGTAGTAACGAAAGCAAAGGCTCCGCCCGCGATCTGTAGGTTGACAGAGCGCGTCATGTTCCCGTTGTTGGCTTCAAAGAATGAGCCGGCGAGCATGCAGAAGGCAAGGACGAGTGTGAGGAAGATCATGAAGAAGCAGACATTGGTGCGGAGGGAGCAGACTAGGTAGACGAGGCAAAGGATTGCCATGGCGATGAAAAAGAAGGCTAAAGGGTGGGGTCAGTATATGTAAGATTTGCGGTGACGAGATTTGATAATTACCATAGCTGGAACGGAATCCCACAGTCGCGAGGCCGTCAGCGGCAACGCCGGTTGTCGAGTACGCACCATATGCGTTGTAGAAAGGCTGAAGAGTGGCTGCCCAGCCAAGCCAGAAGGCACCGAAAGATCCGAAAACCACGAAGGGGAATGTGTTGCCGATGAGGAACTGCTAGAGTCAGTATGAACCGAAAGGGACGAAATGCTCCCTGCTTACCTCACCGAGAGATCCGAGTATCATTAAAAGGCCGCCGAAGAAATAGTATGTACCGGTTCCGGCGGCGCCTGCAGAAGTGTAATCAGCATAATTGGTATCATCGCGGATGTGTAATAGACCCACCGTTGCCGCCTGCGCCTCTCCAGCCCATCAAGTCCATGCTCAGCGGCGTGAGCGATAACAGGAAGCCGAGGAGTGCCCTAGAGGATCAGCAAGAACAGCGATCGAGACAGACTTAGACTCACAAAGGGGTCGGATTGCCAACGGTTGTTCGCAAATCACCGTGTACCCTTGTCTTCGGTGAGAGATAGAGCTTCTCAAACAATTCTGGCGTGATCGAGATGCTGCCAGCCGTCCGCATCTTTCTGAGGGCAGTCTCGGAATCATGGCTGGCGTCCAGATGCTGGTGGTATCCATTGCTGTACGGGCCTGTCTGCCTGTTAAACTTGAAGGCGGGAAGGTGACCAGAGGGGGCATTACTGTTGCTGAAGTCTTTCTCTAAGGGAGCACTCAGGTCTGGCGTGGGTGCAGTAAGATTTTCGTTGTTTTGTGTCCGATCCATCAGATCTCCATGATTTCCGCCAATACCAGCTCGATTGATTTCGGGGCCAGCAAGATTCTCATTGTTCAGCGTCCTCTCGCGCAGACTCTCGTGGTGATGTGCCATGTCAACGTAGTAACAATTGCTTCAGAATGTATCAAGATGGGGGAATATGGGAATCCAGGGTAAGCCGATATGTCAATAAACACCACTTATATCTGCTAAAGTTGGGGGTGAAAGCAGACTGCCGAGTGCTAATGTTGAACAAGGTCCGTTCCCCGCATACTCAAATACTTCGAAAGAAGCGCCGCGACGGCACGGGGCGGAGCCGTGCAGAGGGTCGAGGATTGGTTGCATGTTGCATACTGACCCCCTTCTGGTGTCGATCAGCCCAGGTCTCTCACATCCTGGAGCAACGGGGACACTAAGGGAGGGGCTGACATGCGCTCTAGTATACTACGAGCATTCTCTTAACTGTAAGTGGCTACGCACGCTCGGTGAAGATGGCATGGCTATGGTCCGACGGGGCATTAGCGTTCAAATGTGCACCTCCTTTTATCCTTGTGAGTCCACGTCCAGGGCGCAAGCGGGTCCGCATGGTGCTACGTATACCCAGCAGTGATAGATTAGTTGTTGCAGCTGCTGCTGATGGTGAGTATTAGCGGTTCGAAAAAGCTATGTGTTTAGTTAATGCCAACGAGCATGCAGTTTCGATGACTGAATGGTTTGCACTACAACGAGACCAGAGCTCGGTCGGTGATGCGGACGTTAGAGCCGGTGATGCGGAGATTTAAGTGGAGTCGCCAGCACGCGGAGATCCTTGCGAGTGTGCGGACGGTACGGATGATGGCCAGATCCGCTGGCTGCAGGGAGAATGTAGACTAGACCCCGGCTATCCCTGGGGCGGTTGGGGTGTTTGCGGGGAAAGATGATGTGGCTGTAACCAGCTAAACTGGAAACTGTAAGACGCGTCGCTCTCCACGTTGTTTGCAAAGCTATTGAAATTATACTCGACTTGTGCTACTTGACGTCTTTGAGCGCTGTGGTGCATTGCTACTGACGAAAGCGACCGTTTCGAATCGTCTGCTTAGTTGGCGCAAACCTTCTTTACGACCACGCCCGCAAATCCGAGAAGAATCGGCGGGCAAGTATTCCGGACTCGGGCAAGCGGTGATTCCGGGAGCTTGGATGGGGTGAGAATGGTTTGATGAGTCGTTGTGTTGCGGTCATCCGAAGGTGCGCCATCCGCACGCGCCTACGCTAGTGTGGCCTAATTGGGCGACCATTGAGTTTGAGGAAGCTGCGGTGAGCGACCTCTCGAATAACAGCGATCACGGAGGAACTGTCTGATGCCAGCGTCCGGACATAAGAGAAGATCGAATGCCGAGAAATGAAGAACTAGGTACATCATCTGATGCTCACTCGATGCCAGAGCGCGAAGTCAGTGTTTGAATCACACTGTATCCATGCGCAATCGATCTTACCTGAGGAGCGTCTTTAGAGAGATTTTCTATGTATTGCTAGTTGTTAAGATTACCGCAACAGCGTACTGTAGACGAGCCTATCGAACAACCATGCGCGATCGCCCGCTGCATGGACCTAACTGGCCCCAAGACACCAACAGCCTTGCGCGGAACCTTCGCAGTGACATGATGTCTTTCCATATCCCCAGCAATGGTGCTGACACGCACGCGCGGGCAAAATTGCCTTGAGTGTGCGTCCTGATAGGCCTAAAACCATGTGCAAAGCGTGCCGTCGAACCTTGAGAAACCGAGGTCCTACCAGAAAACAAGGTTGCGCGTCCAGCTCAAGTTCTCATTATCGATCCATGGAAATGTGCCAGAGTGACCTGAACACACACCTTAAACGACTAGAACAGAATAGTCGCTATGCGGCAGGACTCCTACTTTAGCACTCGCGGAAATTCCGACACAATTCTTTACTCTATATTTTCTCAAAAGGGTCGAGTTTCGGAGAGGGTGTCTTGGGCTTTAGTAAATATGGTATGTAGCTCCGCAACTGGTGGAGGACCTTTGCCTCGTAGGGTCCACAAACAAGCACGATAACGTCTGGTCCAATGGAATTACGGATCATCTTGATTAGAGATAAACATTGCATCCTAATATGAATGTGAAAGCAAAGTTGCGTCCCCACGCCCCCATTGCTCACGTATCATGGCAACCTCCCATCTCCAAACCCAAAGCGTTCAAGACCCTACACCCTCTCTAGCCCAGCCCACTTACCCAAGTTGGCCCCTCACCGCCCCCGGCACGTACGCCTTCGTATGTGTATCCGTGAAGAAAGCCTCCGGGTTCTCCACAATCTGCTTCACATGGAAACCCGTCCCCGTGTCCACGCCATCCGTGCTGTTGATCCCCGTCTTGAACGGGCCCGTAAGACACCCTGTAGAAACACGGCGCTCATCGGGTCCTTTCGGGTTGGGAAACGCGATGCGCGGCGGGCCTGAACGGTCCTTGCGTGCTTCGTGGATGTGTGTGGCCGTCAGGGCGGCGGACTGGTAGGGGCCTGTCACGCCGAAGAGAGTGATATTCTTCACCCCGGCCAGCATTAGCATGTGTCGTGATGAGGAAGGAAGGGTTATTGAGGATATGAGGGGACCCACATAGCAGATCGTATTCTCAGCAACATTAATCCCGTATTTGAACAGGCCTTTTGCGCCGGGCTGGCCGGGAGCAGGGGTCTGGGTTGTGTTGATGACTTGGTCGGGGGTCGCTTTGACGATGTAGAATGCGTCGAAGTCGAAGAGTCTTTCGTGTTTCTTCCAGGTTGAGGTTGGCCTGTTCCACTTTTCGTTGAGGTCTTTTTCGCAGTCTTCGAGGTAGCTTTTCTTGTGGGAGGGGTTGGTATTTGTGGGGGCAGCGATGGTGAGGGATGCTGCTATGAGGGCAATGAAAGCGGGTGCGGAGATATGCATTCTTGATATACTTTGAGGAGTAATGAAGTATCGATATAGTAATTCGAGTCAATGTCACTGATAATTGAAAATTTGAGAGTAGTCCGCTCTTCCTTTATACAATTGTGCGACCGCCCTGCATCTTGGATATGGTTACCAGATGCCCGAGCCGTTTGTCTGCCATTACGTCGGCGTAGCATAGGAGAGCCTGGACGAGAGTCGTAGGGTCTTGGTTGTTATGAGTGGTGTCTTGGTGGACTTCAACTAACAGCGAAGCCAAGACTGCTTCGGCGATTTAGATTGAGAATCGTTATAGTGAACTGCAGTTAGCTTGCACGGAACAGCGATTGCAATCAGTAGACATCCAAGCGCGTGAGCGCTGTCTTGGAAGACGCCTGCTGTTAGGTGCCTCGTTGGAAGATCTCCACTGTGTTATAGTCAATTGGCGCATTTTAAGCACCATGTCTTCATTGATCAATGAAGAACAAGGAACAAAACATGACCAAAAACAGCACAAGCTGGCCTCAGATACAGGTGCACCTTTCCTACTCACTCCAACACCAACCAAGCATTTGCCTTTCACAGTGATCGCCGTCCAAGATATCGCCTAGATGCCTTAGTACGGAAGGGCTCCTTTCCGCAACATCTAGTATCCAAAATCACAAGAGTCTAGCTTACGTCGAGTCCGAATGTGGGTAAGCATAGACGTCAGATTACCGCATCGGTCGTGATGTGAAGGTCAAAGTGGCCGTGTGGGGTGAAGCTAGCAGCCTGGCTCCGATCGTCTTGACTGGCGGGGACAAACCGTGCTGGGCGTCTGTCACGAAAGTGGACGTCAAGCCACAGGCGCGGGGCAGCCTTGGCCAAGAGCGATGCCCAGGATTGTTGTTGATGCATGTCACAGCCACCTTGCGTCTCTGTATGCCTTTCTTGGGCTTTCTATTTTGTGAATAGTTGCTGAGATGGCATTAAATGTACCAAACACAGTCATGTCCTTCATTGGGACAGTATGAGTGAAACGCGGAGTTTGGTCCTTGGATGCACGTGAGCGTGTGAACGAATATATTTGGGACATGTAGCTAGGGTAGCACGACATATCATTGCGTAAAACAAAACTAAGAGCTTGAATCCTGGGCGATTATCAAAATATCAAGTAGAATTGGAGTCCGAGCTCCAAAGACCTCACCGCATGGTTTGTAAATGCCGGAATCGCCGCCCTCTCCGCGCTCAGGATATGCAGATTTTCCTCGTAGAATCCAAATGTGTAAGGCCATCTCACCTCGTCTCCGCTCCCCAGACGTTCATTCCCCTCACTCATCCTCCCTTTCCCCCCAAACACCCATCTCCTCCCTCGCTACCTCGTCCAAATCCACCATCCCTATCCCCTTATCTTTCTCCTCGTCTTCCTCCTGCTCATTATCCCTAACCTGCTCCCTGCTAACCTCGCCCCACCCCGCGCCCCACCCAGCATCGTCTTCATTCCCTGCAGTGTGCGCTACAGGCGGCGAAACGGGGACGTAGTCATCCATAAGGTTCTGAGGGAGACCAAGGGGTGTGGGGCGGCGGAGGGAAGAAGTGGAGATGGGCGGCGGGGTTAGAGGCATTAGGGTCATTTCGGGGAAGTTGGAGGGTTCTGGGCAGGAAAGTGGTGGGGGCGTTGTTGGGGGTGCTTGTTCTTCTTCATTCGTTTGTGCTTGGGCGGGCGCTGGGGGTGAGACGTTGCGATCGCGGTGCGGGACTAAGGGCGCTGCCGTCTGCGTCTCCGCTTCCTGAGGTACATCTGAGCCGCTTGGTGCGCCCGGAAGAGGTCCGTTGACGCGTGGTTCGTTGGAAGCCGGGGGTGGAGCTTGGTCTGTCGCCTGCTGTTGCTGTTGCTGTTGCTGCGCGACACTGAAAGGCGCGAGGGAGTACAGCGATGAGCCGAGACCGAGACTGTATCTATTCACCTTGTCCAAAAGTCCAGGCCGCTCATCCTTCTTCATCTGTTCAGCACGCGAATTTGCTGGTAGTGATACTGAGTGCGCATGTGCTGGCTTCGTGTGCCGTTGTACTGGGCTAGCCGGCTTCGTTGTCAGCGTCTCCGGTAGGGGACTCTGACACATCTCACAGGCTTTGAGCTCAGGGTGATTCAGAAACGTGCATGCTGGGCACTGTTTCTTCTGAACGGATGAAGGCGACCGAACGCCCGGACTCGCGTTATGGAGCTCCACTTGCGGCGGGAGTGCCTGTCGCTGTGCTGACTCCTGCGGACCAGGCATGTCGTACCCAGGCGTATACCGCTGGCTAGTCTTCGACGGATTGCTTCTTCTTGGTGCCGACGTATTCGGATTACTTGGCCTCCTCTGCGTCCCCTGTGACCCCTGTGGTGCTACACCTCCAGGTGTCGGATCGATCAACACCGCAACCTGCACATCTCTCAGCGTCCCGCACTTCAGACACCGACACTGCCGCACTACGCTCCTCGCAACCGTATTCTGCACATCCCCGGGCGTCTCAAACCTGATCTCAAACTTCTCCGGCTCCCCAAACCCTCTCGCCTCCCTCTCCCTATTCCTGCTCTTCGGCGCATTCACAAAGCTCGCCCCATTTGCCATAATCGCTCTGATAGGTTCCACGGGTCCAGCAGAAATATGCTCCGCGAACGGCACCAGCATCAGCGTCCCCGCGCTCTTCAGCGCCTGCGCGACCTCCGGCCTGAACGAGAAGTCGTCCTCGGCCCGCAGCAGGCGGAAGTACTTGAAGAACATGTACCCGTACCACTGGCGAACCTGAACACCTTGCTGCAGCAGCTCCTTGGGCAAGTTCGCCGGGGCTGGAGATGGCCAGAGGCGGTCGATTAGCGCTTTCTCTTTCAGCGCTTTGCGTACCATCAAGTCTCCGCGTAAGCATTCATACAGCTTCTTTTCGAGGCGCTCGTGCACCCGGTACTTTGCGTACCGCACGACGATGCCCTTCACGAAAGCGGCGTCCAGATTCCATTTCCGGATGCAGTACTCGAGAGACTGGAGGTCTGCGTGTGCGCGCGGGTCAGCAGGGCGGAAGGAGGTCGGGGAGAGGTGGTCCCCCATGGCGAGAAAGCGCTTTGCCTGAAGAGGCACCGCATCGGCCGTGGAGGCGAAGATCCATCTGATGGGGGCGTATTCGGCTTTGAAGTAGTTAAAAATGAAGTCAAGGAAGTCGGCTTCGCTGAGTGGAAGAGGCCCGGGTGGAAGATCCATTTTTTTTATCTTGTTGACCTAGGTAGGTGCACCGGTTTTAGGGATGCTGTTTGCTGATGGGCGTCACACACAACCACACTGAAGTGGTGTTGAGAGCGATCGTGGATTCGAGCCTCGTAAGCGTGGCGAGGGTTAGCGGCTGGTTCAACAAGAAAGTTGCTGCCTGGGAGGCAGTGGAAGACTACGTGTGCAACGCAGCCGTGCGTTTTGTTAGAGTGGTTGCGCCACGCCACCTCGTGAGATGACTTCCGCGTGAACAAGCTCGGCCCAATAGCATGCGAGACATGGCGCGGGTTCTGTGAGGTCTTCACCAGCGCGACGTCATCTATGTGGCTGTGCTGTTAGGATGCGCCACCTGTAATCTGAAAGCTGAGCGCGCTTCACATATGTCCAGGCCTACGTGCGCAAACATTTCAATCAAATGCGTAGAAACAACTCCAAGCAAATGCACACGCTGTAGAACGAGTATTGTAATTTGTTCAAGTTCCATCCGATATGCCGTCTATCCGGTATACAAAACAAGTTAACCATGCGCCGTCGCCATGCCAATGCCGTTATAATGTACACTCACATGCCTGTATGCAAGAACGACAATGCGATATCCGAAGCGCTTCGCTCCGAACGGGTATCACGCAAGAACGCCGCCATGCTAAAGTCTCTTTGTGGGTGGCCTGGACCCTTCTCATCCTCCTCCACTGCCTGAATTCTCGACGTCTTAGTTCCCCCTTGTCCCCGTCTTCTGCGGCACCGGCCTGCGGAACGGATGCGCCTCGGTGTTGAACACCCACTCGTCCAGGCTAATCATATCAGGCGGGCTGAACACGAGATAAAAGTACTTGAGCGTCTCGCCGAACCAGAAGCTCTCCATCTTGTTCTCCGGCTCAGCCGGCGGATCAGCAGTAACGTCGAAGACCTGGCCATTGGCGAAGGGAGTCTGCGTTGCGCGGACAACCGATGTGAACATGTCCCACGCGTGGTCGAGGTACTCTTCATGGCCGGTGATGCGGTACATGATCATGACGGATTCGATGGCCTCGGGGCGGAGGAGGTAGCGCTTATCGCGGAGTGAGGTGAAGCCCAGCGGGAGTTTTTCCTTTTCCAAGATACCCGCAAAGTCCGCGTGCTCCTTGTTATAGCCGCTGCGCCGGAGCACCTCTTCCTCCCAAAAGGTGGCGTTCCAAGAACACGAGGTACGGTCAGCGCAGGGCGCAATGTTGAAAATCTCTGGCATGACGCCGCTGGGCATCGCGGCGTAGGCGTAGATGCAGCCTTCGGTGAGCTTCGCGCCAAGATCGACGTGGTGCTGATCCGGCATGAGACGTCCGCCGAGCGCGAACATGCCGCCGATGAAGCAGGTCAAGTGCTGCATCTCTGCTTCAAGCTTGATGTCCTCGCCCGAGATGCTCACGTCGCCGCTGAAAAGTAGGTCCTTGCCGGGCTCGGTGTCGGGGAGCATAGGCCGGTAGAGCATGTGCTTGTCGATCATCGCGGCGGAGTCCTTCCACAGCTTTTCGTACGTCGGCTCGAGACCACCAAGCAGAGCTACCATCTTTGGGAAGTATTCATAGGAGCTGTCTGCCATTGCGCCGGCCGTGAATGACGTACCGACGGTGGTCTCGTGGTACGCATTGATCCAGATAGGAAACAATCCTGGGATGTTCGTCTCATTTTGGGTGCGGGCCAGGAAGTTCGTGACGTTGGCAACAACGTGGTAGTACTTGTCCTTCTGCGTGACCTGGGCCAGTCGCGTGAACTCCATGGTCAGAGAACCCAGCGCGGCGAAACAGATGCTACTGTCTGCATTGAAGCCGCCCTTATTCTTCGCATTCTCCAACATGAGTCTGTCCAACGGGAAGTTGTTGGGCTTGGTGTCGAAGGCACGGTACAGCATCTCGCCGAGCTGTATGGCCTTGTCTAGCAACACCTTCTCGTGGCTCAGGTCGTATGCCGAGAGCAGCCCGCCCAGATAGCGGATCGTAGTCTCGAATACGCTGATTGTCACCGAGTCGGAAACGCCAAAGTCAATGGCAGCGACCGCCTCGACCGCCTCGTAGAACTCGTCTTTCAGCCCCATGATCCATAGCGTGTCCAGCGCATCCACGAGCGTCGCACCCCAGCCTCCAAATGACTCGGCACCTTCTCCTGTGATCGGCGCAAGCTCGTCCTGGCCCCATGCGAAGGTCTTGTAGTTCTCCCAGCTGCGCTGGAACTCTTGCCTGACTGCAACCCGTCGCGCCTCCCGCTTCGCCTTCTGCGAGGATGTCTCCGGCGGGAAGTCGAATTGCACTTTAGGCAGCTTCTTCGGCGTGCCAGCAGGCAAGCGTATGTATTCGGAGATAGTATGGACGAAAGGCGCGGTCCGCCAGTCGTACGAGTCTCCTACAAGGATGCTACGGGTGTTTGCGCGGTCGTTCATGTATGCCTGGTGCTGGTCGAAGGGCACAGCCATGGGGTCGCCTGGACCATTGAAGACGTATACAACTGCGAAGACGAATGCGACGACGAAGGCGTACGAGAGGTTGCGTTTGTGGCGGCGCGACAATGGCTGGTTGGGTGCCGTCCGGCGCGGCATTTTGATTCTGGGACGCATCATGGACGCGGAGGAAGAGGAAGGAGCGTGTCGCGGTCGCCAGACGTGACGTGGAGATGTTCCTGTGCACAGTTGCTAGGGGCTTCACGTCCGGCGTTGCTCAAGACGAAGCCGACCAGAGAGAGACACGACGCCAGCGGAGGCCAAGCGCGTCATAGAAGCTGCAAACGCAAGTTCACTCAGGTGTAGCCGCGAAAGGAATCACTTTGGCAACATGGGAGCGGAAAAGGACACATGGGCGTCGGGAGTGCAACTGGTCGTCTAAGCTGCCAAGATGGACAAACACAGCGGTGGGCGCGGGCGCGGGCGCGGGCTGAGCAGCCAGTGCCGGACGAGGCAGGAGCATGGCTCTATAGGTGTCTTGAGCGGAGCGTTAGTCAATAATGATGGGTACTTTACGATATGCGGCGACGCTGGGCCAGAGACTGTGTTGCATTTCGCGTGCCAGGGACCACTAGCATGCCGCCGTTTAGATGCAAATCACTTTACTGAGTAGAGAGTTTCCGCCCGCTCGGCAACTGTTGCCGGCCCTCGTGACCTCGTAGCATCACGGTACTTGGACCGGTATGTTCGAGACACAGTTCAGCTGTCGCACCACGGTTCGGAATGGGACACCATGAGGCGGATGATTCCGCCAGCGTATAGCCGACAACTCAACCGCCCGAAGCTATCTGGATCCGCAAGCAAGTTCAAATACAGAATTTTGGCTCAATTGTGCAGCCATACTTTTTCGCGACCCCAGTCCTGCCCTGCAAAATCTCCCCTGAGTCATCATGCCATTCTGTCTCTAACGTCAAACATCGTAAAATCGTTACCGTTGTCTATCTAGTCGCTGGCCCGATACTTCTCCCTGTACTCATCCAGCCGCTGCAGGTCCTCGGCGCTGCCCAGACCCCGCAGGTACTCAACCACGTCGTCGAGCGTCAGGATAGCCAGCACCGGAATGCCGTATTGTTTTCTGACCTCGCCAATGGCGCTCGGCCTGGGCTGACCATCGTCATCGGTCGCACTCGGCGTCTTCTCCAGGCGATCAAACGCAACGATGATGCCGACAAGCTCGCCGCCTTCCCTCTTGATGATGTCAATGGCCTCGCGGATGGCGGTTCCAGCCGTGATAACATCATCCACAATGACAATCTTCTGGCCCTTGAGCGAGGCACCGACGATGTTGCCGCCCTCACCGTGGTCCTTCGCCTCCTTGCGGTTGAAGCTGTAGCTCTTCTTGCCGAACTTGGCTACGTCGACGTCGGCGAGCTTGTCGACAGCGGTAGCGGCAAGCGGGATTCCTTTGTAGGCTGGACCGAAGAGGACATCAAATTGGAAGGACGGGTCTGCCTTGGAGTGCGCTGCCAGCGTGTGGGCATAGGCTGAGGAAATAGAGCGCAGCAGGTCGGCGCGGTGGAATAGGCCCGCGTTGAAGAAGTAGGGCGAGATGCGCTTGCTCTTGAGGGTAAAAGTGCCGAACTTGAGGGCACCTGCCTCGACGCAGTCCTTGAGGAAGGCTTGCTTGTACTCTGGGAGCGACATGTTGCGTGTTGTAATGGTCGTGAATATTGCTGCGGAACGTGAGGATTTCTTTTCCGAGCTCGGAACCAGGCGAGGAAAGACCGACGGGCGCAGGCGGCCCGAGCGCCTTCTAGTCGTCACTCCTGGCCAGAAACTTTTATCGCGACACTCACGCCTGCCCCGACGAGCCGTCATCCCAAGCGCATCCCCCGAGCGAGTCCTGATCATCTTTCCTTGCTGCACCGTGTTTCTTCTCGCATTCTGGGCGTTTGGGAACCATCGCGCCTGCCTCTGAGAGCTGATCTGCCTCGCGCCTTCGGCAAGACCACCACACATCCATCATGACCATGTACGCCTCCAACCACATCGGCATGTTCACGTGTCATGCTAATATTTCGATGCAGCTGGGACACATTGACCGGGCGCAAGTCCGCCTCAACACAGACGGCGACACCCGCGGCGGAACCGCACGACAACTTCTCCCCGGCGCCCTTCGACCCATCCACAGCCATACAACAACCCTCAGACTTCATCCTCGACCCCACACAGCTGCACCCGCTCGCCGGCCTCAACCAAGACACCCTCGACTACCTCCAGCTCGAAGACTCAGTCCTCTCTGATCTCCCCGGCTCACAATCCGCGCTTCCCTCCCGCGGCTGGTCAGATGATCTATGCTATGGGACCGGAATTTCCTACCTCTCCGCTCTGACTGTTGGTGGCGCGTGGGGTCTGGCCGAGGGCCTGCAGAAGAACCCCGCGTCCATGCCGCCGCGGTTACGGATCAACGGCGTGCTGAACGCAGTCACGCGCCGGGGACCGTTCCTGGGCAACTCGGCGGGTGTGGTCGCCATGGTGTACAACGGCATCAACAGCACAATCGGATACTACAGGGGAAAGCACGACATGACGAACAGTGTCCTTGCGGGAGCGTTGAGCGGTGCGATTTTCAAGAGCACACGGGGTGTGAGGCCGATGGCGATTAGCTCGGGCATCGTGGCCAGTGTTGCGGGGTCATGGGCGGTAAGCTGAACTCTCACTCATCTTCAAAACTCAGACTAACGGCGTACAGCTCTTCCGCAAGGTCTACTTCGAGAGCGAATAAACCCGTCCCGCGTCCCACAATTCTAACCTCCTCCGCCACCCTCATGCAACAAAACAATTGTGTATAACAGCAGTGGGAACTGTCCGGCGTTCTTCCCTTCAAAAACCTGCCACCTTTACTGCATCTACCTCCTTTTATTCTTTCTCGCTCACCACTCTTGCGGGCTGCTCCGCATTGTAAATTAGAATGGCGTCTAGAGACGGCGTGCGCGTGCGCGATATCCTGTGTTTCGGGATAGGAAAGTGGAAACATCGGATGGGCGGGTTTAATCGAGTGCTTGCAATTCGATTGGATTGGGCATGTAAGACCATGAGCTGTGAGATAATGACAGATGGATCAAAATCTATTCAAGATTATAAATCATGCGGTTCTTGAGTAATGGGAGGCGTGCAAAGAGACTTGCTGGCTGCGTCTTGAGAGAGTTTTGCGGGAGAATCTAGACATCGCCAGACCAGCACCAGCATATGGCAAGGACTGCATTGGCGACTATGTTCAAGGATATACTGTCGCAACGAAGTACTAGTCACGCATAGTGACACTGTACTCACCTGGCCAGTAACGCTCATCTCAACACAGCCGCGGACCAGAACACTACCGAGACACTTCATGGGCACCCCGCCTCCCAGCAGCGCAGTATGCACGCACCCGCCCCTGGTCCCACAGAACTATTCTCTCCCATCTAATTTCTACCTCTCATTATAATAGACCAATCCCAGTCCTGCGTTGGTAGAAAGTTGGGGAAGCTGCACTGTGAGAGGACGGACTGATTTAGAAGAATATGGTCAGGTGGATTTAATCGGGCGGAGTAAGGAATGGGAACAGGGATAGTAATAGGTGACAGTGCACGTTAGCAATTCTGGAGTATAATGCGATACGGTATTGTCCCGAGCATGCATTCGAGATTCAGGTTCGGGCAGGTGTTGGTGGCGTGAGTTAGGAATGGAAGGGACGATTCCGTTTTTGTTTACTGTTATAAGATACTGGGGTCAAACTCAGTGTCACTATTACCACAGACATCCTACCCACCTATGTCCAAGAGGTGGTTTGATAATCTGAAAAACACCTGTGGGAAGAAAGGAATGTGCACATCGAAGAAGCAAGGTTCTTTTGTGTGGGTGCGACGAAGAAAAGGGATAACAATGCGTGTTGTGACAAGTATACTTGATCAGTGAGAGTTTGGGATGCCTAGGTCTACGGAATGAAGCAGCTTGAGCGAGTGAAACGCTGGAGCTCATACTGCGCTCAGATCAGTCATCGCGAGCGTCATTGGTGTGAGAGTAGAGACGCGCGCACGTGTTGAGGAGGTACGTGAACTGAGTAATGGTGAAGTTCCTGTGAGGTCTATCGGGGTGATGACCGTGGTGATGGTACTTAGCCTCAATATTCCAAGTGACTCTCTATGTGCACTCTGCTCGACGATTGTATAATTCTGATACCACGTCTGTTTCGCATTTCGTATGACTGTAATGCCAATTCTGTTCTGAGAGTCATGAGAAACCATCGAGCTAGAGTAAGGACGATCGAATCTTCTGCGCTCACAAGGCCTTCTGTCGTGTGGAAATGTAGAAAGTGCTGTACGAGCAAAGTTATATCCAGGGAGCGTCGTGATTAGAGCGAGCCGGTGCTGTTTTTGGTCCATATGATTATGCGATGTGATGCTATAGCTGCTGCGGTGCGGTGCATGAACGACAAGAATCTTCGGACTCGTAACTACATATTCCACTAGCGCTTAATAAGAAAGCTGACTTCAGCAAGATACTGACAACCAAATGGGAGAACGACACCGGACGATAATGTGATTTCATGTCGTAGTGTGGAGAAAACTAGGCCGTTTCTCCCATCTGCTAGAACCTATATAGATTATGAAATACTCTGCTATCTTTTGATGTCGTACAGTCCGGGAAGTATCTACCTCTCGTGGAGCTTTTCCGGTATGATGACACTTAGTCCAACTCTGCCTCAATCAGCAACGAATCCTGGCCAACCAGGCTATCTCTTCGGGCGATGTCAAGCACATCAAATCTTCTCCGCCGGAATTTTTCGACGTGGAATATGAATCTCCTGCGACTTCGATTTCAGAATGACCACTGTCGCCTCAAACATCGTACTAGGTCTCTCAGGTCTGTTCCTGTCCTGCGTTCAATACCTGGAAGTTTTCCTCCGCCTGCACTATATCGGTTTGAAACTATCACGCTGGGGTGTATCCAAGAGCCTTATTGGTACCAATCGACATGGATACGTAAAGGCGGCTGAGATGGAGCTCGAAAAGCTTCGTTCATGCCTGGAGAGCATCATGAGTCGCTTCGCTGAAGCTCAGAATGAAAAGCAGAAATTTCGAACTAAAGATCGAAAAGAACAGCAACGCTTTGGACACTCAACGCCTGTTGATGCTCAAAGAAGGAGACATGCCACACACCGAGCTAGACTTCAGAAAAATCATCAGAGGCTACGTGACCAAGTACGCGACAAAATATAGAACGGTGTCAAACGGACTCGGTGGGCACTTTCGAACGAAAGGTGCTCGAGCATCTCATCGTGGACTTGCGATCCGACGTCAATGAGCTGATTGAGCTCTTTCCTACACTGCTCCACCAGTAACCTCTAAAACACAACGGCCTCCATGAACGAGTGGAGTAGTGAAGTGAGGTCAAGGTCTCTCGACCTGAAGTGCCGCAAAGCCCTACAAAGCACAAGCCCCTCAAAAATCGGACGGCTTCTTCTCACACTACTCGCGAATATCTTGCTAGATCGTGAGTCAATAGCCAAGCTGCACTCTGGTACCCACGTGAATGCGGCACAGCACCACGTCCACAAGGCTGACGCCATCGCACCTCGCCTCCACATCCTTGTTCGTCCCGTCCATTCGCCGCGACCTTAACTCGACGTCCTCACTCTCGGCTGTCTAGGCCATTGACTCTGGACGTTGCGCCGACCAACATGCGTAGAAGCAGCGGTGGGTTAGGGTCGTGGAGACCTAGGGGGAACAAAAAAGAATGAGGGAAAGCCATGTGTCATCGTAAAGTATATTATCTATTGAGATAGAGCATTGAAGCCAAAGATACAACAAGGGGATATCGAAGCGTCGCGTCAGTCCATTTCCTCCTCCCACCACCACCATTTTCCTCCACTCATTCCAATTCATACACAAGAAAATCAAATCGAAGCGAATATGCGTCAACAAACCACCCGCAATGCCACAAAACGCAATCGCTAATCTCGCTTCAGAAACAAACAAAAAAACGCCCTTTCTTCCCCTCCCACCCGTTGTTTCTCCCGGGAGATTGAACCTTAACCCATCTCATGCACGACCCCACCCGCACCCGCACCCTTCTGCGCATACTTCGCCGTCTGCCCCTCCATCTCGACCATCTGGTGCCCATGCCCGCTGCCGAGCTCACTCGGCGTCGGCTGCGGACTGTACTGTGGGACAGGCGCGTACGCAGGCGTGGGACCCTGGTGCGCATACGGATTGTGTTTTCCGTCGCCGCCATCGACTTCGGAGACGTTGGCGAGTGCGCCGGACGCCTTGCGGCGCCGCAGAAAGAAGATGGCTGCACCGATGAGGGCGAGGCCTAGGATTGGGCCTACGACGGCACCCGCGATCCAGGCTTTTGAGCCGCCGGAGGAGGAGCTGTTGGAGTTGGAGTTGTTGCTGTTGTCAGTGGAGTTGGAGTTGGACCCAGAGGAGCCAGTGCCCGACTCCTTGGGTTTTGCGCCCGTCAGCACGGCGTACATGCTACTCCCGACGTCGTTGAAGATGCTGCTCGTGTTCTGGAGGTAGCAATTGTTGAAGCCGCCCTGGAGCGTGGAGTCGTACACGACGCCGACGCAGCCCTGCTTGTTGCCCGCGCACTCTTCCATGCAGGCCGTGAAGTTCTGCGATTGCACCATCGTCATGTTCGTACCCTGGTTCGTCTGTCCGCAGTGCACGGCGAAGTTCTTGCTGTCGTCCTGCGTCGACGTGTACGTGTCGTTCTTGCATTCAGTGTCGGGGGTCTTGATCGAGTCGATCGTGGCGCTGTGCGTGATCTTAAGGAGCGTGTTGGACGCGCTGAGGGGAGACGAGAAGCCGGTTTTCGGCCAGCAATTCGCGTAGCCGCCTGTTAGGCCGGGTACGTAGACCACGCCGCGACAGAGCGGATGTTCGTTTACGCAGTCCTTCAGGCAGTCCTCCAGGGAGGTGGCGTGGTAGTATGCTTGGAACGGATTGTCGTGGAACTCGTAGGACCAGTGCGTATCATAAGATCCGCCAATGTCCTTGTTGCACTGCACTGTGTAAGATATGCCGTCGAAACCATCGAGGTTGTGGCGCGATTTGTCGTCGGCGGGGCAGTCGGTGTCGAGAGGCTTCATCTGGTTAAGGTCGACGAGAGCGGAATGGATGCCATCTTCGTCGATGAGCGTCTTGGTATATATGGTCTTGTTGTTGGAGAGTTCGGAGGTTGTCGAGTTGCGCATCCAGCATTGGCTGTCGCTTTCTCTCCAGACGACGCCGAAGCAGCCCTCACCGCTCCCCCAGAAGCGCGAGCAGTACTCCATGCACCCGGTCATGGTGTCGACTGTAAAGGGAGCCAGTGCATCTGGCCGATCGTCAGACAGGTTGTAGCGCGTGATAATGCGACTCACCATTGTACATGTTGTTCTGATTGCACTGTACATTTGTGAAGTTGAGGCCATTGCCAGATGTGAACGACGTGACGCATTTCGAATCAGCGCGAGGAAACAACGACAAGCCACGACCGATTAATGACTCAAGGACTGCAGTATGTCAGTCGTCCATCCCCAACACCACCAGCACATCGCAACAACTTACGAGGTGTAGCCAGCGTCCTGCTCGCCAACAGGAGCGCTGCCAGGCTCACGTTCTTCGAAAACCCTAACATATCCCAACCCTACCAGGCTTTGCGACGGGCGTACAGTAGGCAGCAGATGAATAAATTTCGGACTGTGTAGTCGTGAAGCCTCACGGACACGGACAACGCTCAAACAACACCACAGAACGCGAGACAGTGACACGCCGCTGAGCGTCAGGGATCACCGAAGGTTATGTCCAAGTCCGACGGGTGGGCTCAAGGTCAAGGAGCTGGGCTCAAGGTCAAGGAGCCGCTGCGCTTGGTGCACACACCAACACATTTTGCATCTGGAGCGCTGATACATGCCTTTTCCGAGCCAAGTGTCTCCCCAGCCTCCGGGCTAACAGGGTGTGCGTTCCGTATGAGTGGTTCGCGCAAAGACTGGTAAGGCTGAGGTGCTTGGGCTGTGGCTGCGGCAGGAGATTAGCGTGAGGCCCCCCGTGAGCACTGCGTCTCGAGTTGAAGGATCGCGGTTCAATAACGTGGTGCGCTCTTCTCCCTTGCCTCCACACGAAGCCTTCAGCGTCATACGTACGGGGCGTTGCCCATTACCACACACTTTGATTCTCCTGATCAATTGTGCGCTTCACCGACATGCTGCGTCATACTGCGCGCGTTGGGGGCCATGTTTAGGGCAGAACGGCAAAAGCTTCGTTCGACAAGCCTCGCGCCCGATAGGGTTTACCCTGGGGCTCGCATGACAAATGCGACCGAGGCATACCCGCTACCCGCCCGTAGAGCATTGTCGTCAATCCCATTATTCCAGTCGAGCTTGGCGCCACTGGGTTTAAGGCGTGATCCAATTGATCCTATTTTTGCACTGGCGAGAAATAAGCTCTCGCAAAAGCGAACAGCCACGCACTCAACCTTTACCCCTTCCAACGATCGATCTGACATCAAGCCTGTGTTGAGAGGCCGCGAGCTGCACTCCTTAAACGCAAGCTGGCACACTCTACAGCCATTGTTCACATGCACGTAAACCGCCACCAACTCGTCGTCTTTCGAACCGTGTCGTACGATTTCTGGGCTTGCTGTCCTTATGCGACACGAGCTGTGTTGGAGGCCCGATGGAACGAAATGCGAGGTGAAGGATTTAAAGCTAGTGGAAAGTGCCGGGAAATTGCGATTCCATCTCTGCACAGCTAGTCGTTGTCTCGATGCGGAAAGCCATTGGGGTGCGAATAAACGAGTAGTCTGGTTAAAACCTGGTGGTCGGGATAGATTCTTGTGTAGAGTAAATGATTAGGGGAAATTCCGCCGCGAAAGCAACATTTCCCCGATCTGACAGAAGTTGGTATCGAGAGAGACGACCCTTAACGCCGCTAGATGATCTAATGCCCATGCACCACAAAGTCGTTGCATCAATAAACGCCCGAGTTCGCACACAATATAACCAATGAATGCTTTTACCGCCTGTTTGTCTTTCCGTTGCCACGCTTGCCTGCAACCTATGCGACCGTTAGCGTTGTGGAATATGTAGGATGGGACAAGTTCACTTACCAAATGCTTGATCAAGGAACCAGTCTGGTGCCTATCGGCTTCACCCTGTCTGGCCATTCTGTTCATCTTCTTTTGTGACAGCTTGGCCAATCTCTCAGCGTTCGAGCGAGACTCCTCGTTTGTAACACCATCAGTCCTGCGGTTGGTGCTCTGGCTCCTACCACGGCTCAATGCGCGTGCTAGAGCAGCCTTGGGGGTATCGATATCCATAGCATCGCCGTCCACACCTTCCGAACGGGCACGAGCCAAGCTGCGACCGCGGCTCTGGCTTCGGGCGCGCTCAGCAACCTTGGAGGTATCGTAGCCAAGACTTTCAAGATGTGATTCCATCTTGGACATCTTGACAGCTTTGGCAGAGCGCGGTATGACGGCCCTGTTCTTGAGACTCTTACGCATTTTCGCTTCGTTGCGAATAAGCTGCCTCTTCTCGCGAATGAGCTCAGCCTTGTATCGAATGTCCGCCTCATCGGCATCTTCGACATCATCGTCGGACTCGTAGAAGCCCTCGGCTTCGAGCTTCTCCTCTTCCTCCTCCAAGGCTGCGAGCTTAGCCTCGATGTCGGGATCAATGAAATCGTAGACGTTCTTGCCATCGTAAACCTCGGGTATCCTGTCCTCCTTCCATTCTGGGTTCTCAAGGATGTAGTTCTTCCGCATGTTGAAGTTGTATACACCAGCACCGCCATCTGCTTCTTCGAGGTCGCGTTCCAAAGTGATCCGGTCAGGATCAGCAGGGTCGTACTTCTTCCTGTTCTTGACAGCGTCGGGGATTGTGGTCTCACGGGTGACTCCACCCATCGGCTGAGCGACGTGGATGCGGCGAAGGAGGTCACCAAGTCTACCAGTAGGCTCGCCGGAGCTGTTGGTGCCGGCCTTGAGCTTCTCAGCGTTACGGGCGGCGAGCAAGCGGTCGCAGGCCTGGTTGCGGACTTCCATGAGCCCCTCGGTTGTAGTGCAGGAGAGCTGGAGCAGCTCAACCTCACCCGACTTGAGCATTCCTTGGATCAAAGCCTGGCTTTCCGGGTCCAAGTCTTCTGGTCGGGTGACATCGATCTTGTTGATAACAACGAAGACCAGCTTGTTGGCGAACAAGGGCCTGATGGAGTTGAAAAGCGAGACTTGTGCAGATACGGAGTAACCACACTGTTCGGACAGATCCATGAAGTAAAGGACGGCGGCACGCAAGTGAGCAATGGCACAGATAGACTGATGCTCAATTGTGTTCATCTCTTCGAGCGGGTGGTCAAGAATACCGGGGGTGTCAATCGCCTGGAAGCGCAGCATCTTATAGTCGAAGTGTCCCACGAAAAGACTCTTGGTGGTGAAGGCATAGGGCTGGACATCCACATCGGCCCTGGAGATGCCCTTCAAAAAGGACGATTTACCAACATTGGGGTATCCGCAAATAACGAGCGTGCGGGTGTTTGGGTCAATCGCGGGGAGACGGCCCAGATGCTGGCGGACCTGCTCAAGATAGACGAGCGGGTCCTTTAGACGCTTGCAAATGGTGGCCATGCGACCAAGCGCGGCGCGCTTGAGGTTTTTGCACTGAAACAAACTCTGGCTGCGCGAGGATTAGCAGCTTTCAACGCGTTTACTGCTATATGACATACCCATATTTGATGAGCCTGACATAGTCACGGGCAACGGCCTCGATCAGAGACTTGGCCGTGTTCAGCTGGCCCAGGGCGATTCTGAAGTGGTCGGCATCGTACAGCGTGTTGAGCAGATCGCGGTGGAACGGGTGGATGTCTGCGAGGCGCGGGAAGCCGTTGATGGTGGCGGATAGGCGCTCGGTGAAGGTCTCGGACGTGTACTTGACTTTGCGCGTGTAGAAGGCTCTGATCCTGCTGATCTTGAAGCCCGCGCGGATTTGTGTGGGAAGGCGTCTCTGGCTGCGCACAGTTAGCGGGGCGCAGCTTTCTGCTGGAAAGGAAAGCGCACGTTCGGGAGAGCACGATGTCGAGAAACTCCTGCGACGTCGGCACGACGGGAATGTCTTTCCACTGTGTCTTGGACATATTTGCAGCGACACTTGTGTGGTGTGTTGTGCGAGAGTGCAGAGCGGTCTGCGGCGATTAATCGATAACCAGAAATTTTGTCTTGACTTGCCAAGATTCCGCGCTAAGGGTCCCACTAGCCGAGCCCTCTCAGGGCGGCGCCCCGCTTCCTCCACCATGCGGTGTTCACCTTCACCACACCCTCAGGCACCGTCTTGCATCTCTCTCTGACACGAGACCCATGCGTCTTTTCCGCCGCAGATGAAGTGAACGTGAACCTAAACTTGCGACAACAGCCGCTAGCCTGCTATTCTCTCCCCGACCATGCCACTCATGCGAGCTTTCTCGTCACGTGACTTGCTACTCCATTTCAAAGCATCGCGCCCGCATCGTGCTTTGTGGGTTTCGGCATGAGCACGGGTGCGATATCCTTATCAAGAGAGAGTCGTAGTCCGTTCGATAAAATAAGGAGCACCCGTGCCGCGCTCAATGTTACGCATCGAACTGCTCCCGCAAGCCTGGCGCTCCAGATGTCCTCGTCCAATCCTTCAAAGAGGACCTCCTACCGTCCGATTTTGTGTAGTGCAACCGTCGAATGCGATTCTTGGCCTCAAAATGTGGTTCCGCCCTTTTAGCATCCCCTGCCCTTTGTTCTAGCCCCTTCCCCGCCCAACAACTGGACTTGTCACATCGTGCACCAAGCTGAAACTCTTCATGGGAATCGTTCTACCACCAGATCGTTGTATCTGAATCAGGGTTTCGATTGTTCCTGCGTTGTATTGCGACAATGGGCGACCTGTGCCGCAAGCCAGACTGCTCCTGGCTGGCGCTGCCATCGTTGAAGGACTTGAAAGAACCACCAGAATTGGTTCCCAATCCCGAGCTCTCTGGCGTAGGAGTACGATTAATTGATTCATTTTGATCCCGAGTGTTACTGACTGGGTATACTAGGTGATACTTGGCTTCTCCATCACCGCCTACCTGACCGTCTTTCTTCTTTTGTTTCACTACCTCACGGTATATAACCCGCGCATGATCGGTGAAGTGGCGAGGCCATACATCAATCCCGTTGATAAAGGCCTGCTCAACTTTGTGCGCGGAAAGGTGACATCATGGACACCAAGCGTAAGTGTCGCGATTGATATCCGACAGCATCGTACTGATGCTGCCGCAGCGGCGCTTCGAATACGCCATGGAAAAGTCCGTCCTCATTCTCAGCGACACGCAGCTCGTGACGGGCCTCGCCATCTTGATTGCAGGCTACTCGCAACTCTCCTGCGGAATTGCATCGTACCACTGGCAGATCCTGGTGTACGTCGCATGGTTCTCATCCTTCACTTTTCTCTCTGCCATGGCGTTCCTGGAGGGTTTCTTCCTCGCAAACAACAGCCTGCGTCTCATCCGCGTGTTTTTCATGTGCATCATGGGGACGCTGCAGATTGCTGCACTTTTGCCGACGGGGAGTCGGAACTGGCTGGATGCTGCCAGGGAAGCCGGACCGCTCTATGTTGGGCTGAGTGCTGAGTGCTTTTATCAACAGTGAGTCCGTCCGGAGATCCACTTTAATTTGGTGCTGATTTCGATTTGCTTCTAGGCTACCCATGGCTAGCTATAGTAGAGGAGGCCCAAGAATGTGGTCGATGGTCTTCTCGGTGCTCGTCGTTGGCGTCTCATACATCCATACTGGCATTAGATTGTTCGATCCCACCGCAAAGTTCAGTCGTAAGCACTTTCGCGCCATTCCCGGATCATACGTCAAAAGTTTTCTCCAGTTTTTGGAGCACAGAGCTGCCTGTCGAGGTATACGGGCTACCATTTGGACGATACCATACTTGTTTGCCTTCGCGGGGTACGCATCAGTTCGAGCAGCGTATGATATAGCCGAGTCCATGCTTGGCGAGATCATTTGGCTCTCTTTTGCAATCGTGAGTTATCAAACTACTTCTTGTCCCATATACTTACTAATCGAATCGTGTATAAGGCGTGGGGTTCGCTCAAGGTGTGGGATACGCGATCATTGGTTTGGTTCACCCAATTGGATGACGGAGACATCACATTCAAAAACACATACAACGACGACGATACATGGTCGTTTGGACAAATACTCCCCATGGTCCTCTTGCTGCTGCCAATCCTTTCCATGATTCAATCTTACTGTCAGTGACAATCTTGAAGTAGAGGTACGGAATATACTAACAGGTCAAAAGTGGACAACGATGCAAAAGCGCAAGATGCAGTCCGCCGGGAATCCAACCTTCTGATTACGCACGACGGTAAGCCTTTTCAGACAGTCGGCCCTGCTGCAGTAGGCTCTGGCACAGGAACAGACGACAAGCAAATAAGCAGCACGCACGACGCGACTTCGGACGGCATAACGCGCTGCAATCGCCGCCAGCCTCCCCCCAATACGTTATGTGGCAATGCCACCCCTCCCGATGAAAACAGAACTGCTCCGGCCAAAGAATCATCACCACCTGATTCCGAATCTCAGACCTCCCCTTGCCTCCCGCCCAAGGCCGTCCTTGCTTGCGTTCCCCGCCACCCCTACCCTCACCTGTTCGCCTACCACTGGTACCGGGACCACGTCTACCTTCTCGTCTGCCAGCTCCTCATGATCGGCTGCGTAATCCTCTGGTTCCAAGGTGTCATCGTATCGATCCTCGGGATATCGTACATCCTACGCAGCCGGCTGTTTCTCATATGGTTATTCGGGTTCATCCCGCTGTCAAGCTTGGTGCATCTTGTAGCGTGGTACCTCGCGGGTTGTGTGGTGAACAGGATTGATGGCGCGGAGGAGTGGTTATACGGGACGGGGAGGTATGGGTGCGCGGGTGGAGAGAGGAGCAGGAGGTGGTGGCGCAGAATGACGAGGGGGAGGTGCGTGTATTATCTACTGGTGACTTTTCTTAAAGGAGGGCTGTTGACGATGACGTTCCTGGGAAGTGCGGTCATTGCGGGGCCACAGAATATTGATCTGGGGACTGGATGAAAGTGGACTGCGGGTGCTACTGCGGTTGCGTTCATGCATCTATCGTGTCGTACTTGGTCGCAAGCGCGGACATTGCATTCCTACTTCTGGGGTGCCTCAATGTATTCAAGAGGCCTTGGTAACTAATCTTTTGGGTGATGCTGCATGGTCGTGTACTGCTTTATTCGTAAATCATAAAGCCCATCGAGCCTTAGCGCTCATCCTGCTCTTTGATGTTTGACGCAACACGCACATTCATTTAGCCCCGCCAACCTCCTCAATGACCTTCTTGAGGTTCTGCATGTCGTGCGCAAACCGCCCCAAGAACAACCCATCCACGCCTTCTGCGATCTTCGCAAACGTGCCCGGTCCCGCACTGCCTCCGTACAGTATCCTCGTCACACCTTTCCGTCCACCAGCCAGCCGCCGCAACTCCTTTGTCACATTCACAACGTGATCCGCGTCGGCCGGCTCCTTGGCGCCTATCGCCCACACAGGCTCATACGCGAGAATCACCTCACTGTCATCCGGAACCGCCGCAAGCACCGACGTGACCTGTGGCGTACACTCGGAGATGGCTGCGCCGACAGCGGCCGAGGGCGACGTGGTGTTGTGTGTCCGCTCGCCGATGCACACGAGGGGAACCAGGCCGTTCCGCGCCGCAGCCCCCGCCTTCTTCGCGACGCTCTCGTCCGTCTCGCCGAACAGGGCGCGCCGCTCTGCATGCCCGAGTTCCACGAGTTTGGCGCCTGCCTGCTGCAGCACGACGGGCGAGACTTCGCCTGTGAAGGCGCCCTTGTCTTCCCAGTGGGTGTCTTGCGCGCCGAGCAGGATCGAAGACGGCTGGAGGATTTCGGCGGCGGAGACGAGCGCGACGAAGTCGGGGATGACGAAGAGGTCGAGGCGCGCGTTCCAGGCGAGCCCGTCGAGCTGCAGCATGCCGCGGACGTAGGAGAGCGTGGATGGGAGATCGAAGTACATCTTCAGCGAGACGCCGACGATGCGGCGGGGTCGCGTGAGGGGCGGCATGGCGGCGGCCTGGGAGATGGCAGCTGCGTGGTGGAGCGGGCGCGATGGAGAGACATGGTCGCAATATCACACATGCTAATAACTGACGTCGTGAGGGGCTCCAGGGTTACTGCAAGGGGCAAGCCCGAGATCGGGGCAGGCGGGAGGCTGTTCAGGAACAGGAATGGCAATGTCTCCGGATACGAACGCCTGATGTGTCTACCTAGAATCCAATTGCGCCGCGCAACATGCAGAAACACCACTCTGCGGACACTGAGGAGGCATTTGGGACGAAGCAATTCGCGCTGCGCTCTTGCATACGAACCTTGCAACCCCACGCAGCAGGGGTCGCTGGGCAGTATCACAGCGGGGTAGTTTCTCCGACAGAGACTGGTTGCTCTCCCCGCACGACGAGAGACGGCAGTGGACGGCCAATTTCAGTTGAATGGCAAGATGCAGTGAAGACGGAGACAAAGCAAACGGGCCGCGCAGAATGACCGCCCGAACGGGTCAGCGCTTGGCGCCCCCGATCTCGCCGACGCCGTGGGTTCTTCAGATGGCCGCTAGCAATTGTTTCCCCTCTGCTGCACCTCCCACTCGCATACGCACGCTAAACACTTTCCCACAATCCACTCGTGGTTCATGCATCGCCAGCTCGCGGATCGTTGGGCCCGCAATCGCTACTTTGGATAGCCAGCTCACCTAGATTCGACTGCAGCTGCTGTTCCGCAGGGCGCCTGCTCGCTGCTCGGCTTCCGGTGTATGTCATAAAACCCCCGGGTGACATCCATATACAGCGTGGGGTTGCGCTGACGAGCCGCCGCATAGACAGCAGAGGGGACTTCACGAAGCGCCCGATTCTTTTCCTTTTCGCTTTGTAGCATTTCGTTTTCTTCACCGCCACCATGCACATCTCCAAGATGCTCGCGCAGTCGAAGGAGGAGGGAAAGCCCACCTTCTCCTTCGAGTTCTTCCCGCCGAAAACCGCCCAGGTACCTAGAAACCCACAGGGAAGCCGTGACCGAGGCACATAGCTGATTCCTCGCAGGGTGTCCAGAATCTTTACGACCGCATGGACCGCATGCACGGCCTCGGTCCCAAATTCATCGACGTAACCTGGGGCGCCGGCGGCAGCCTCTCCAGCCTGACCTGCGAGATGGTCAAGGTCGCCCAGAGCGTCTACGGTCTCGAGACGTGCATGCACCTGACATGCACAGACATGGAGCGCTCCAAGATCGACGAGGCGCTGCACACAGCCTACGAGGCCGGGTGCACCAACATTCTCGCCCTGCGCGGCGACCCGCCGAGAGAGTCTGAGAAGTGGCAGGCAGTCCAGGGTGGGTTCAAATACGCGAAAGACCTTGTCAAATACATTCGCGAAAAGTACGGAGATCACTTCGATATCGGCGTGGCGGGGTACTCGGAAGGGAGCGACGACAACGACAATGTCGACGAGCTCATCGACCATCTCAAGGAGAAGGTGGATGCCGGAGGAACCTTCATCGTTACACAGATGTTTTACGACACGGACATCTTCATCGATTGGGTGCACAAGGTCCGCGCCAAGGGCATCAACGTCCCCATCATTCCTGGCATCATGCCCATTTCCACGCACGCCTCTTTTCTCCGCCGCGCGAAATGGTCCAAGATCAAGGTCCCCGAGCCCTGGACGCAAGCTCTCGATCCCATTAAGAACGACGATTCGGAAGTCCGTGAGGTCGGAAAGGGCCTAGTGGCCGACATGTGCCGCAAGCTGATAGACGCCGGCATTCTACACCTGCACTTGTAAGTGAAGCATGTATCGCGCTATGAAAGTCTATGCTGACCTTGAAGCTACACGATGAATCTCGCCCAGTCCAGCCGCATGGTCCTTGAAGAGCTGGACCTCCTCCCCGACGTGGAGAGCCCGCTGCAGAAGCCCCTACCATGGCGACCGTCCCTCGGTCTCAAGCGCCGCGAGGAAAACGTTCGACCTATCTTCTGGCGCAACCGCAACCGCTCGTACATCGCTCGGACGCAGGATTGGGACGAGTTTCCTAACGGTCGCTGGGGTGATGCCCGTTCCCCCGCCTTTGGTGAATTCGATGCATACGGTATTGGTCTGAAGGGCAGCAATGAGCAGAATATCAAGCTCTGGGGAAAGCCAACATCCATCAGGGACATTTCAGAGATCTTCGTCAAGTACATGTCCGGCAATCTTGAGTCGTTGCCCTGGAGCGAGTCGGCCATTTCCAAGGAAGCTGATACCCTCCAACAGAACCTCATCGACCTCAACCGCCGTGGCTTCTTCACCATCAACTCTCAGCCTCCTGTGAACGGCGCCAAGTCGAACCACCCAGTGTACGGATGGGGCCCAGCGCACGGTTACGTCTACCAGAAGGCGTACCTCGAAGTTTTGGTCTCGCCTGAGTACATTGCAGAGCTGATCACCCGTATCGAGCGCGATCCTGAAATCACGTATTACGCCGTTAACAAGGACGGTGACCTGAAGACCAACTCCCCGGAGGGACCCAACGCAGTCACCTGGGGTGTCTTCCCCGGCAAAGAGATCGTGCAGCCAACCATCGTCGAAGCGGTCAGCTTCCTCGCCTGGAAGGACGAGTTCTATCGACTAGGCCAGCAATGGGCGAATTGCCATGCCTCCACCAGCCCGTCGCGCTACGTCATTGAGGATGTTATGGACACGTGGTACCTGATCAACATTGTCCACAACAACTTCCAGGAAGAAAACGGCCTCTTCCCTCTATTCAATGGGCTCGAGGTGACTGACATGGAGAAGGAGCTCCACTCTACCGGGATTATCAACGGCGACGTGACCAACGGCGAATCAACTGCCGACGCTAGCCCTACCAATGGCGTAAAGACAACGCTGAATGATCTTGTCGAGGCTGCAAAGTCCGCCACGTCCACTGTGACCAACGGCATCACGGCATAAGTGTGCAGCTTAACTTAGCACACATTTCCACGATTCATTTTCACCTCCTGTATTCAACAAACCAGTCCGACCGCACGCACATTTGGGCTTCAACTCGCGGCCGGCGCCTATTTCCTCCTTACTCATATTGGGTCCCATTACTCGGCGTTTCTGGTGTTGTTAAAAGGCTGCATCTCGAACTCATCATGCTAGAGCTTGAGTGTGCATATACACGGCGTCGCTTCAACCTGACGACCCTGAATGAGACTACGAACGAATGGACGCGCATTTGTATTGCGAAGGTAAGGTTAACGCTTGGAATAAGCAGCCGAAAAGTACTCAAAGATACCCGGCCAGTCCCTCAACGGCGCTGAGTCACATCTACCTTGATCTTAAAATTTAATAAAATCTGTCTGAGTCCATACGGGGGTTTTGGGAGTGATTACGTCCTATTCGAGTGATTTGAAACTATTTCTACCGTCGTCGGCTGAGACTATCAACGCCGACTGCGCACGTTGACAGGGTCCTCATGCCTTTGAGACGATGCTGTTAGGCCTTTCTTCATACGTGGGAAAAAAGTAGCCCCTGAACCCCAGTGAACAGATGCTGTATCACAATTGTTACTACTCGGCTCGGAGATAAAATAGGGATAGTTCGCGTTACGTCATCGCGACACCTCCACATCTAGTGCCGCAACATCCATCCGTGCCTCGGGAGACGGTGCGTGACTTCACAAAGGCAAAAGACATCTTATCTCAATTCAGATAAATGCGGTTGTTGCTCCGTCCGCTATCCGTGTCCTGTATACCCACCACTTCAAGCCGACTCATCCTGAGAGCACGCAGTAGCATCACAGCGACACTGCAAAGAGCCAGGCCCTCCAGCCTCTCACTACATCCCCAGAACCCTCACCGCAAGGCCTTTAGTACATCCCAACCCACCCTCCAAAAAGAGAAGAGAAAAATGACAGACGCAACGTCCCACCCCCTCTCCGGCCTCTGGGCGTCCACTCAAATATCGAAGCTGTACTACGGCCCTTCGACCGTCTCAAAGCACCTCCTAGATTGCCTCCCCAGCAAATCAAGCAAAGCCTTCATCATCACGGGCAACAGCCTCGCCACCAAGACCCCGCTCGTCAAGCAAGTTGAGGAGCTACTAGGCGCCCAGCACGCCGGCACGTTCAGTAACATCGGGGAGCACGCGCCGGTCGCGCAGCTGGATGAGGCGACTGAGATGGTGCAGAAGGACGAGAAGATCGACACCGTGCTGAGCATTGGCGGGGGCTCCCCGATTGATTCCGCAAAGGCGATCAGCTACCGCGTGCACGAGAAGAGCGGGAAGTGGATGTTTCACATCGCCATCCCGACGACGCTGTCAGCCAGCGAGTGCACGATGATGGCAGGCTTCACGCAGGCGGATGGCGTGAAAACGGGCGTCCGCGCGGTGGAACTAGTGCCAAACGTTGTCCTGTACGATGCCTCCTTTGCTTCGCACACGCCGGAGCGGCTGTGGCTGTCGACTGGTATGCGCGCGTTGGACCATGCAGTCGAACTGCTGTACCACCCCACGGCGCCGGAGATGCCGGCGCGCTGGACGTGTTTGCAGGCTGCTGCTTCCTTGTTCGAGGGGCTGAAGGCGTATAAGGGGGGAAGCAGAGACGAGGATACCCTGACGAAGCTGCAACTTGCAGCATTTGCTAGTCTGGGGTTCCTCGGTACGAATTTGAAGGGCGGGTTGGGCCTGAGCCATGGGCTGGGGTACGCGCTGGGGAGCCCGTATGGCATTCCGCACGGCATCACGAGCTGTCTTACGCTCGGACACGTTGTCAAGCTCAAGGCCGCTGCGCCGGAAGCTGCGGAGCAGATTGCGAGGCTGCTTCCTTTCCTGGGAGAAAGCAAGAGTGGGGATGACAAGAAGGATGCGGAGAAGGTCGGTCAGCGTATCCTTGACCTTGTGCAAGACCTCGGGCTGGATAGCGATCTGCGGAATTACAAGGTAGACAAGGATCAGATTCCGGTCATTACGAAGAGGGCGACGGGGCAGGAGGAGGGAGGGGAACTGTATGGGAAGGTTCAAAAATTGGTCGAGGGCCTGTTTTGACCCGGTGGCGCGAAGCTGTAAGGTACATTTACGACAGAATCCAAGATTGACGTATGAGAGAGGTTGACTTGGAGCTGTTTCCCGGTGTATCACTATAGCGTCTCGCAATACAGCCTTCCGGGACAAGTTGTGCCACGGAAACTTATCAAGATTATGTTCATAGCCAAAACATTCGATTTGGCCTGGCATGCTCCATGTTCATGGTAGTATGCTTGCTGTGCCTGCTTCAGCGGAGCCTACGGCTGATTCTGAGTTGCTGGCGCAGTTTCTCGATGTCAGAAGAATGTGTAGCTTCATCACCTTGGTCATGTCACGTTTCGGTCTTGACCATGACTATGGAATCGCCCGTCAATTCATATCACGACTCGTAGATGAATTTCCCTGATACACTCATCCAGCCAATGTTAATGTGCATGGATAGGGGATTATCAGCTGGCTCCGATCCTGATGAGCAGTGCAAATCGAATCGTGGATCGCATCTCCACATGGCGAGAATCATCTATTAGCTTAGAGATAGGGCTTCTATTATCGTACCCCAGTCCTTTGGATATCTTTACAACAATACAAACCAGCTCTTCGGCCATGTCCGTTGCACCCCCCACTACACCTCCGCATCCGCACACCTGACCAAGATCCTCAACTCCGTCCCCCAATTCCACTTCCCCGCATGAAACGCCTCCTGTAGAATCGTTTCCCAACTACTCCGCACGCGATACGGACTGTTCGGCCTGTGCAACCTCCACAGCCCCGCCGCACCGTCGAACACCCTCAACCCATCCTTCGAGTACACTGGAAACGAGCGCAGAGAGGCACCGCCCTGCACATGCACGCTCCTAGTATTGAAAAAGTCCAGTATGCGGTCAAGAAACTGATTTACTTCTTGTGGAAGCTAATCGGGTCGCAACTATTAGTTGCGTGATCTACGACTGAGACGACCACAGGACGTGCGCATATGTGGACAATCGGGAACCTACACAATGCAAGATATGTCGAAGGTAGCATGAAAAAAGAAATCGCGCTTTAAGCTTGAGGATCGAGGCAGAGCCGAGTAGGATCAGATTGCCGAGTTGAATATTGTAGTAGGAAGCGCTTAGGGAAAAGTATGCAGAGCATCCTTAAGTAATTACATAGTTCCGACCGGCGTACGTAAGATGTGAGCTGCCCTACGAACTTTTATGTACACAGAATATTTAATCTTCTGGCGTATTTTGCCTTGATATGGCACTGCCACTCTAAGTTTCATCTTCTATTGAAATTATGCTTTCACACGTCGTTCTCCATCGCCTGTTTACTGACAATTACTTCCGCAAAACAGATCACAACCAAGCATCTCTCGGATGACGTCGATTTCCACATCAGTAATATGACTGAAGCTGAAAAACCGGATCATATCAACTCTGCCAATATCAAGATCTCACCAAAATACGGACTCGAGAAAGGGGCTCCGGAGACTGATTGTGAGATCCCCAGTGCTAGACGGATCGGCCAACGTCCTAGACTGGTATGGACCCAACAGAAGATATGTTCTGGTTCTAGGAGTGGCCTATTAACAAATATAACAACGGCCTATGTTCATACATGCGCGAAGACGGGATTGCTACCGCACACGTAGATGCTTTCTTTCCGGAACTTGACACGGAAAATTGCGATTTTGACATACCCAACCTAGATTGCAACGGCCGACAAGACTATTTCAAATACCTTGCAGCGCTACGCCTTGTAATAATATTCCAGTGTCTCAGGAATGGGAATGATGGGTTCGCTCCAATTAACGCCGACAAGACTGCATACACGATTGATGGCCTGGGTGGACTCCCTTCTTATCCAGGCCGGTGGATACATGTCAAGATGGCCGACGATCTAGCCGAAGGAAAGAACACGGCGCGGGTGCGAATGGATGCGACCTTTTTCATTTCCATTGAGAAGCGCTATGATTCATTCAATCCATATCCATGTTTCCAATTCGCACTCCCGATAATTGGAGTATCTCGTCGCTCGTTCATGCTAGCACATTTGGATCCTTGGGAAGTCTTCAAACGTTTACAATCTCAACAGTCCTCCACATTGTAGCATTTGTTGCGTGTCATGCTTCTGTCTCCACTCGCAGATTGCTCCCCAGGTCGACATACTTGATCTGGACCAAATAATATGTTCTTGTAACTGAATAAACTGGGATTTCAAGAACATCAGCTTGATATTACTTTAGAATGAGGATGATACACTGATATTTCAAATTGCCAGTGTTAGCTTGCATATGAACCAGAGTATTAATGTTGGTCTTTCTGTACTATAGCGATCCCTGCTCGGGTATTATACCGAGATACTAGGAAGAATAGCGGATACAGTTTCACTCGGCCCTCACGGATATCTCCGATGGCATCTTAGGAAGGAGAAGGTACATTCGGTCCGAATATAGATAGTCTTTAATTTAAAACTTCCAGCCTAAACCAGGCTTTATGCTGTCGCCCTAAATCTTCTTATGTTCTTGGTACAGCATCGATATTGCAGCGCGTGGAAAAGGAAAGGAGAGGACCTAAAATGGTGAGTGGCATGATCTTCGTCGGCCGCATCTGACTATCGATTTGGACGATCAAACACGCTACCACAGTATAAGAGACCCAGTGTATGCCTACCTTCCATGGTATTTAATTCCATCACAGTTCGATTCTGCAAAAAGAAGCAACGATTTAGTTTGATATACGTACTCGCCCGTTCACGATGAGATCCACCCTCGTATACGCAATCCTTGCCATGGGCGCCGGCGCAGCTACCATTCAAAAGCGCACCGATCCCGGTTGCCCAGACCTCATGCCATTTCAAGCATCACCGCCGTGGATTTTCTTGTGCACCGCGTATGACCTGACATATGTAAGTTCGACATAGGTGGAGATTTTTTAGGCTGCATAGACACAGTGGCCTCTGACAAGGCCACGAGCTTACTTCGCCTCTAGGAGAACGCGTGTGACCGCGATGGAAGGACTGATAGAGGGTACCGCACTTGCGCGTCTATTGGGCCGCTGGCTTCGTAAAGAGGTGGATGGAAGCTCTGGGCTAGAGGTCCTCGGCGGGACGTGAACGCCTTCTCAGAATGCTCGAGGATGCGATTGGTCAAAAGGAGGATCTTGGATCCGGATATAAGCATTTTGGCTCGGCATAGCAGGATTTGTTCGTTTCCGGGAAAAGTCTGTACACTGTAGGATGGTCATCTTGTGCAAGGATCTGCCCTACGTCATCAATTTGAGCAGTTGATTAGTAAAGTAGAAGTCGCTGCGGCTTTCATTGAGGTGCTGTGGTACGTTCTGCTGCTACTAAATGGTTGATGCTTGGGCTCTCATCCTGCTAGAAGTCGTGCGTTATTGTATTCTAAATTCTCTATTTTGTCTCGATTACGCGCGATATACTGATCGTAGTCGAATTTCTCGTGTTCGGATCGGAAACGCTACGTGAACATCTAACAATCACCGCTTACAAGTGTTCAGCTTCGTGATTGTTTGGTCTTAGAGCACATGTGCTCACGGTGCTGGAAAGAACGCATATCCTATCACTAAGCCTAACAGCATCTGGTACAATGACCGTTTCACCATTTCCCATCAGGCTTATTCTATACCGTGGGAGATAATTGTTGAATGCTCTGAGAATTTTGTCGCTTTGTTGAAATTAAAGACGCTCTTGTACTGCTAGGTTTAGAGTATGATAGACCTTGAAGTGATCGAGGCCTATCAAATGTACGTACTCACGGCTATAGCTAATCATATGAAGATGAAGTCTAGCACCCAACAGGAACATAGCTAAGATCCGTCGAAATTGCTCGTAGTATGGTGATCTCTTATGCTCGCCGTAGGCCACATCATTTCCAAGGTTTTTAGCTGCGGAAGAGTCGTTGTCAATACTCTCTATATTGACTAAGTTCTCAAAGTAGCCAAGTTTACAGAGAAATCGATTCATCTGCCTTTGGGTGTCGTAGATGAAATCGAACTGGCTGCCTTTTTTCTACTACCCGTGCATAGCGGCAACCCGGAACAAGCAGCTCAAGACGGCTTTCGTTGCTTGGGATCGTGGAACTTCCTATAAATTGCTTTGTTTGATAGAGACCATTGGAATTCATCAATATCTTCGTAAGTGAAGTGCCAATATTCAAGTGGAAGATTTTGGGACCAATCCGGTACCCATGATGGCATCTCTTCATGTGAATTTCGAACAACGCTGAGCAAGCGAAGTCCAAGCACGAGAAGCAGAACATCGCGACACAAATGAAGCATTCCTCTGCACTCTTTGTATAGTCAATCGGCGGGTCTAAGATCGATTGCCATCAACGATTTTAGTTCCCAGGCTCCATCTTTTGGATTGCTAGCCAGGTGCTCTCTGCTCTGGTTCAAGTGCTTCCATAATTCCAACATGCTTCACAGCTCAACCGTAACTCCCCGTCAATGCTTCATTACATCACTCCCTTCGGATAGTTTTCTAGGCCTCCTAATCAAACTCGGCCTCAGCACACTCCAAGAGACCGCCCGTCTTTACGCGATCATGCTCGCCGATATCCGAGCAAAAGCCTCTGGCTCATGGCGCATCTCTTGCGTCCACCCAATCCGGTCCACACTCTGGGCTGCCAACAGCACAGCCAGAGGCGGTCACGTCCTCGGTTTGGAGCGCTACTACGAGAACTTTGACATGTACAAGTTCACCTTTCGAAGCCAAAGACGACGAACTCTTCCTCACCCAGGGCCTCGCGTTAACCAACGGCATCCACAGTTTTGTTGAGGAGCATGACACTGTACTGGAATACCTGTACCTCGACTATGCCGATAAGGACCTGAATCCTCTTTCTGTGTATGGCGCTAAGAAAGTGGCGTTCATGAAGAAGATCGCGAAAGTTTATGATCCTTCCGGCGTCTACCAGGATTTAATGCCAGGGCCTTCAAGATTTTTGATGTCTAAAAGGTGTCCGCTTTCAGATTTCGTATACATGTTACAGTCACTGTACGACCCAGTTGTATCGTTGCGCTTCATTTACGATTCAAGCAACAATCCAGTAGTATATTCTCATAGATTACCAGCTTTCATTAATCGTGGATTCAGGAGAAACGTAAATTCAAAACAAAATTGACTACCATTCCTGGTAGTCTGGATTTGTCGCGGTGAATTCCTTATTTCGCCAGTCGAGAAACTCCTTCGTGTGCTTGTTATCCTCGTCCAGTTTTTGCAGAAACTCGAGGCCTTCATTGTCGACCTTCATCTCATCCACTTTTTCCTTTACTAGCTTCTCCCGCTCTTCTGGTGGCATGTAGCCACCTTGTCGCATGCTGCGATTCGATGCCGCGGTAATCAGCTCACGCTCGTATGGGACCCAGTAGAATCCATCCTTGTGCCACCCTTGCTGAGGAATGACGAACTCTGGGATAGATACAAGGTCGTTCTCGCTGTCTGATGGTGTGGCCTTACCCCAAAGGTAGGACCAGCCGCGCTTTAGTATTCCGGGTTGGTTCGCTTTGTACGTCTTGATCCAATGGTGACCCAGGCCAGGGCCCAACGGCTCGCGCCTGAAGCCCTGCAAAGCTTCAGGAATCTTTTCGCTAGGCTCCCATACTTGCTCAAACGTGTGATACACTACGGGGTGCATGTATTCATTGGTCTGCTTGTGCCTGTGCTTGTGCCTGTGCGCTGGGTTTTCTTCGTGTTCCGCAGCATCTTTGGCCTCGGGGTCGTGGTTCAAGAAGTAGTGGCCGGGTGTGCGAGCTTCAGAGCCAGCAGCGGTCATGATGCCCTCGTACGAATCAATGATGGGTGCAATACCCCAGCCACCATAGTGGCCATGAGTGTTCGGGTGCTCTTTGGCGCGTCTCATGATCTTGTCGAGAGCCTTGTAATAGTCGTTCATGATGTGGTCCTCGATTTGAAATCGTAGGAAAGGAACACAGCGGTCCACCATCCAGAAGAAGGTGGTAATGCTCATGATCTCTAGATCGCCTTTGCTCTTTGCGGGGGCTTTCGAAACAATTGAGCCAAGAAGGCGTGGCTTCGTGACGTCTTTAGGGCCGTCTGGGTTATCGCTACCCTGCTTAATGTCTTTCATCCCATCACCACTGCCGCCTCCGACATTGATGTGAACCTTTTGGAACAATCAGCTCTTGAATCAACTAATAATGAGGATTGAACCTACACCCGGAAACCAACACTGAATGAGGTTGGTGTTACTATTTTCTGGCAGCGACCACAGTGTTGGACCGAAAGCTTTCCTGTGCTCTTCGAGGGCCAGTGCATGGAAGGCATTCTCGATCTCTATTACGCGTCAGTTTTGACATAGCTTGCTGGAATGATCCACCTACGCGAATGGATGTCGGTGTTGTGGAAGCCATAGGGCTTGTTCTTTTCCTTGGTCTCAACCCATACATTATCAGGGTATCCGAGACTTCCGACGGTATCCCATACGCCCACCACCTTGATCTTGACGTTCTTCTCAGAGCTATCAAGCCAATCGGCCCCTGCGCCCTTTGTAAATTCCCAGTCCTCGCCTTTGACTTTGATGGTGAATTTGGGTGGTGAGCCCTCCGCTTCCCACCGCTCTCCCCATGCGCTCTTTTCGAGAGCTGTACTCGGGTCAATAGACTTGTACATAGCATACATCTCCCAGAACTGTCCCATGGCCCTCGGTTTGCAGATACCAGCCCGACACACAAGCCCAGCACAAGCCCGGACAGTGTAAGCGCCGCGGGAGAATCCGAAGAAGAACAATTCGTCTCCAGGGCTGTAATTGTTCACGAGGAAGTTGTATGCCTCGCAGACATTCTCGTCAAGACCGCCACCGAACGCTCCTACGAGAGATCAGCGATGTCTAAGTTGCATCTGGGACGAACTTACCCGTCCACTTTGCTTCAAGCCAACCCATGGCAGTGCCAACACCGGCATCGTAGTATACAAGCTGCGGGGCCTTCAGGCCATTCTCATCCACGTACCAAGAGGCAATAGAGCGGCTCATCTTTGCCACATTTGATGGAATGGTCTGCGTTCCATGGGCAGAGCTTTGCCAGGTGCCGTCGCAGCAGATAATTATCCTCTTCTTTGGCTGCGGAGGTGCTGGTCGCTTCTCTCTGGTTGCTGACGCCGGCATTTTGAAGGCTTCGTCGTCCGGAACGTTCAGTGTATTACCATCTTCGTCTCTAAATCCGCTCTGTGAGTAGCCTTGCTGCTGTTGGGGCGCACTTCGAAAGACACTGTTCGATACAGATTGGAAGCCGCCTTGAGAGAAGCCATCGTTCTCAGGCTGGAAACCTGTCTGGGAAAATCCTTTCGGGTGGGAGTCGGACATGATAGTGAGTGCGACAGACTATAAGACGCTTGATGCAAAAGACCACTAAATTGAAGGTTATGCGAACATCTTTTATACTTTTACTGCCGAAGTGGATGCATCGAAGAAGGCGCGTGTTTCAGGCGTGCTCTTCCAGCTCGGCAGACTAACGAACAGCCTAGCCACGCAAGCTGAAGAAGTGTGCCCATACATGGAGTAGGAGTGGGCATTTCGCCAGTAGAGTCGGTCTTCCCGAAGCTGGGGGAAAGCCCTTTCCAGCTAGTTTTGTAGAATGCGTCGCTCTATCAGCCGACGCTGTCCCTTTTGGTACGTGCACAGAAAGCCCTAGCCAGAATGGTTCATGGTTCGGGTTCCAGAGCGCGGCCCGTCGCGAGGTGGCTTGGTTTCGGCGCGTCGACTTGAAGACGCCTTTCTCCATTCGGCCATTCGCTTCTGTATACGGTCGGTGGAAGCAAGCGAGCTCATTGCAGCCAGCTGAGAGCACAGCGAAGCGAAAGGCTATCGCTGGTCAGGTGGTGACTCAAGTATACGCTTAGGTGCCGACGCGCGAGATGCAGTTGTTGGATGGACTGGATGACTATGTTCCTCGGTTGCTTCCCAATACGTGCTAGCGTCACACTCTGTCTCTTCTAACCCTAGCCGGGTCACACTTCATAATCGACGACTAATACGACTCGTTGAATCTCAAACCGATATCGAAATCTCTAATGCCGTTCCGCTTACACATGGACATAAGTCTCGGCATTGCGCCGTTTGTCTTTCAGAGCTTCCCACACATTCCGCGTACAACGTCAATCGATCATCGCTCCACACGGGCAGGTCCTACGGTCGACAGACTGCCCGATATGTGCTCTTCCTCTAGGTTGCAATTTCACTATTTTGAATATGAGACTTCAGTTGAAGCTCCAGTCGCTGTCCTGCTGCTGATGATCCCGACTTAAGTGCATCCCTGTTTTGACTTGCATACACACACCGGTCGTGCCGCGCGGGGTTTTAAGGCTGCGGTCACCCAGGCTCTACCTAACTCCTGTACCTTCCCTTCATCATCGGACCTTCGACAGCACCTCCAGGAAATAGTGAATTCGACGCCCGAAATCGAGGAGTCGGTTCACGTATGTCGTGACAGCGGAGGTGTCTTAAAGTAGCCTACTTGGGAGTCTTCCACGTTCACCACATCAGCTCCCGTTGTTGCCCAACCGCACGCCCTACTCATCCAATATCCCTCATGGCTCGAACAATGTCTCGAACCTCATCTACCGAGAGTGTCATTGGTCTGAACACAGAGGCAATGGGAGCTCCTGAGACCTCCAAACCGTCACGGCGCCCATTAGGCTCCAACCTTCCAGGAGCTCCCAGCCTTACCAGCTATGTAACTGCCCGGTCCACCACCTCTAGCTACAAAACTGCACGGTCGCATTTTACCGAAGCAGGATCCATTGAATCTTCATCACATCACCGAAGACGGGTAGATCGCATCATGTATGCTTTCGCTCGATCCAAGGGTGGTGCAGAAATGTTAGAGCGCACGATAATGCACCGAGACAGCAATGTTGCGCAAAAATCGCAGGTTCCGCAACCGCTGCTAGTGGTTGACAGCGAGTGGACAGAATATCTTCGTGAACGCGGAATACTGCTTGACCCCCTGTACGAGCTCGATTGGTCCGGTTGGGGACAACACCTTGAGTACAAATCCAGCGAAGAGACTAAAATACCACTCGACACAGAGAAGGCACTGGGTTATAGTGGAACCGCACTTGTTGAGAGCGTCATGTGCCGTCGAATACGGCTAGCCAGAAAGACTGTCCGATGCAGCCGAAGGGTGACGCGAGAAGAGGCCATAGTTGAAGTTGAACATCTCCAGCGACTTCTATACTCTCACATTTTTAGGGTTGTGGGAACTTATACCTTGAGGAAGGACCTCGCGATTCTGTTGTATCCAGCTGCTGAGTACAACCTCGAGCAATACATGGATCACGTGACAGATACATCGTCCACCTATCCGACAAAACCACGATCCGAATACCTCAGTACCTTTATGGGGTGCCTTGCTAGAACGGTAAGATTCCTTCATGAGAGCAATGTGAAACATATGGACATTAAGCCAAGAAATATCTTGATTCGACGAAAATTCGACTCAATCGATCAAGAATGGAAGGTACGCACCAAAACATCCATCCGATTTCTAACTCATGGATCCTTTCGATATCGACTTACCCTCTCAGGTATATCTGGCAGACTTTGGAATCGCACGCGCCTACTCGAGTGCTGCTGAGGCCGAATCTGGGTCACCTATCTCCTACACCCGCACCTACGCTGCCCCTGAGGTGGTAATGCAGGAGAAGCGGGGTTTCGGTGCAGATATATTCTCGCTCGGTTGTGTGTTTATCGATATGGTGGCTACCTTGGGGTCGTGTTCCCGAAATGATTGTCTTGCGCAAGATCTCTGGGCCACATTCCATGAAAAACTTCGGCTCAACGCCAACGACAAAAATCTTGGCGATAGCTCTTATCAGGCCAATATCGATCGAATAAGGCCTTGGCTCATGAATAATCACCACAAAGTACGGCGCACTGTGGGAGGTGTTCCTAATGCGTTGCTTTGTTTGATACCTCGAATGATCGATAGGTCGCCCGATGCAAGACCGAAAGCTTTGGAGATCATGTTCTTCTGGCACTGAGCCGTTCGAAGCCGCCAGAATTTGGCAATCGTGAGGGATGCTGCGCAAGCAAATCGTACAATCAAACGGTCTTTGGCATATCCTTCACCATCTTTCCGTGTGCAGCGCCGAATCATCTTATCACAAAATATAGGACAGCTGACTTTTGAAAATTGGGCAGGCTCAAATTTGATTCATTATGAAGATGCTTTGAAAGAACGAAAGGGATGAGCAAAGTGTCGGGGCATAGAGAGCGCAGATATGATCTTCATCAGGTCGCTGACCATCGCCCTAGTCCCAAAATACACTTTTCGGTAACTCAAAGACCGAGCCTCGTCGAGAATACATGAAATCCGACATCTTTACCTGTTTGCACGTGCAAAACAATGCAAGTGAGCACCTGAGCACACGCCTGCAACTTCCCAGGAAACCATAAATGTATGTAGCTCATGGACGCCATTGATGGTGCGTGAAAACAAACTGAAGCATCAGCTGAAACTATTCTAACGTCCATCCAGGTGTGCCGGGACGGACGGTGTAACGGGACGCTTTCTCTTCCGTACCTTCGGATTGTCTCCAAGTGTCCTCGATAACAAACAAATGCAATGCGCATCTATTCTGTAGCTCTCGTTCTCCTAGCATGTTAGTCTCCGACGCTAAAAAGCGCGCTGTTGACCGTGCTGTCGCTCATTTTATGAGTGTTGTCTTTTGACTCTCCTCTGTGACCCCCCCTGTCTGTTTGCGACGTTACATATCTGTGAAAAGCTCGGTAGGCTAAGAAGGAGGCTAAGATAGCAAAGATCAAGACTACAGCCTCGCAATGTCGACTTAGGGTAATATAGGCACATGCCGGCAGTTTCTCCGCGCGGACAGCAAGATCGTCAAAACTGTTAGGATCCCAAGAAGCGGGCAAGGGCAGAGGTCGCTTATGACGGCATACGACCTCGGGCCCCACAAGGATTAGGTAATGTCTCACGGTTGTCCCAAGCGCCAAGCCATGGGACACTGGGATCACATGACGAGAGCGTCACGTGACTGTACCATGGGATCCCACATGTACCAAGCATGGGATTTCAGGGGAGCATGGGATATCATGGGATTGCTCAAGTATATAGGAACTTGAGTATGAACTCTCATACTCGTGTTCAACCTGTTTCTCAATCTATCGTTTGGATTATACTCAGGCCATATTGTTGACTCGTTATATCTCCACGATACTATCGTCTCGACAAAACCCCTTCCCTTCCCTCAGTTGTCTTGCCCGAGAACCAACCCTAACCCTTTAAGACTAGCTACCCTTCTGGATTTAACAAAAACGCGTTCCCCAGGACGTGCGCTGCTCGCAGCACTTGGCATGCAGCAGCTTGTAGTAGTGTGCTCAGATGTGACGGTGTCCCACCGGATTGAATTCGACGCTATGCCTGTAGCAGATCACATGCTAAGAATGGCTGCGGCAGTGTGGCGCTTGCCGGCGGCTTTCTAGAAGCGTCTACGATCTCGCATTTAGTATACACAATACCTACACATACTAACAGCCAGAACCTGATGCGTGAACACTACTAAGCAGGGTAATAGCTATCTATGGCGATTCTCGAGGCTTTGATGTGGCAAGAAATAACATATATATTCATGTCCATCTCCATCCCTCTCTGAGTGCCGATTTAACATAATATAAGAGAAGGCGTAATACTTTACCACTACAGATATCACAGAAAGCGACAGAACCAAACCTTTCCTGATCCTGTACCTATGCCAACATATCTGCCCGACACAGCTGAGCACGCTGGTCGATACTCCGTAGGGAGCCACAACATGTTTTGAGCATTATTAGAAATCCAGGTATAATTTGTACTGATCGTTACTCCCTGGGAGACAGGTTGCTGGGGTTCTGTTACAGTCTTATCAGGGTATAACGACGCAAGTATACAGATAAGATCAGCCGAGCGGACAGTACTGCTATAGCCCTCGAGCGTCTGCAGGCACGCGCCGCTGCTCGCATCCCAGATCTTGACGGTATTGTCGTCCGACGC